ATGCAAAGGTACGTGTTTGTTGACTTTGGATACTTGTTCAGGCTTACTCACATGAATGGAACCAGGGGTGAAATTATTCAAGAACCTTTCCGCCGGAGTCTAGGTTATGCTATCAGTGGTTCGACGTCCTACAGATAGAGGGTCGAGCACCAGTTAGAAGCGGCCTTACAAACGTGTCGTGATCGTGTAGAAGCTTCGCAGAGCGACTCCTGCGCATCCGCAATCACCTGGAGCCAGAGAAGAGAAGGGACCTGCGGGAGCGCTGCGCTCCCATCCTCATACAACGCTGTCCAGCTTGTTTTGGAGGTGTTCAATTTGGCCGAGACTTGAATAAAGGGGGTGATATCCATGTTGCTACTGACGGAAACTTTACCATCGACACCGGCGTTCAGCGGGAGATTCACCACATTTTTACGACCCTTCTTATTTCCTTCCAAAGGTGCAGGTCGAACGCTATCGGTCATCACATCACTCGAAGTCGCAAGTCCGCGCCTAAGCTGCACGTATCGCATGTGCCAAATGAGGCGATCGATCTGTGTGAGAATTCCTACGAAGCAGCAGATGGCAAGAAGCAAAAGGCAGCTATGGATAGTTTTGACGATATGGGACTCATGGCGCTGATCTGCCGCCATGACATACCCTTATTTTTTGCTAATATCGACAGTCCTGGTGAGCAACAAAAATACTCGGTTGCATTGATCAACCATCTCTTTTCATTGCTACCTCGGAGTGCTACTGTCGTCACTCTCTATGATGTGGGGTGTGTCCTATCACGCTCGTTAAATCAGGTCAGTCTTAATTCGTTCGCCTGTCGCATTGAACTGACATTAATTGTCAATAGTATGACATCTTGCCAGACTCTATCATACAACGCTTACGGTTTGCAACTACTGCAATGCACGCCTATGGTCATGAATGGGCTTGTCAGCTCGTTTACAATCGCGAATGATTGTTGGTCTGGGCTTGTCCGATGGTGAGGGGACGGAGAGACTTTGGTCAAGATTCGTTCGACTGATCGGCATACAGCGGTCATCTTCGGTACGTTCTCGTGTGTTGTTTCGAATTCTGCTCACATTCACACAACAGAGACAACGTCGTCTGTGGTTAATCGATCGGCACGCTGGAGCAATTGGTCTTGAGATGCGTGCTGATCTCGGGGACTGGATTAGGCGACGACTCAGGTGTGGTGTGGAGGATCAAGGTACAGCTGCACGGAAGCTTCTCGAGGAGTGTGAAGTTGCCGTGAGTGATTTGCGAAAAGAATGGGCAATGCAGAAGGAGTCACAGCTTTCAATCCGCGCTCGTATGTAAAGTTCCTCGCGATCATCGTGGCCCTCCTGATGTTCTGGCATAGATGCTCCAGCTCGTCTCAAGAAAGAGCTGGACACCGTCCTTGCTCTGCAAGCAGACCTTGATGCTTCGGACAAAGCTCTACAGACAACGAGGGACACAATTGCGAAAGGTGAGATGTCGGAGGACACCCGTGATGCAATTGAAAGTCTTGAACGAGTGCATGAGCGTCTAATGCACAAAGTGGAAGTATTATATGCTTCGCTCAACGTTCAGGACAGGTTCCCGGAACTAGACGGCTTGAACCTCGAGTTTGTTCGAACACTGCTATTAGCATGCGATCTCAAGATGAACATTCGCAAGCGTGCCATTGGCAGCTTCTTCGAGTGGGATAAGCTTGATCGTGCAGTAGGAGGGTCACAGCAAGCACTCGGTAAGGTGAAATATGAATTTGAACAACTTGACCTGATGTTGCGTATTAGGTACAAAACTCCACCAACAGACTCGAAAAGCGATCGCAAAACGCCAGCCAGCATTAATGGCTGCTCTCCGTAAATTCAACGCCTATTGTGAGCGTCTGGAAGCCCTTTATGATCCGCATTGCGGGATTCCTCTTCCCACACCTCTCCCGACAAGACTAGCCGACCTACGCAACGATCAGAGTTTGATGGAAGATATATGGATCACACCTTCCACTGGAAAGGTCCCCCGCTGGTTGGATGATCAAGACGTTCGCGATGGCATTCGTGCAATGTTGAAGAGAGATAGATGTGTTGAAGAGCAGCAACGTCTTGGTCTGGAGGCGGACAATCTCTGCAGATGGTTCGGCGACGAGCTCTCAGCACTAGAACTCGCCCTTTTGACACCAGGTTGTAAGTATCATACCTTCCCTTGTTCTTGTCTGATCTCACAGTGCATTTGCAGATGAAAAATTCCTTGTCCCACTTCGCCAGCAACAGGAGCACCTTCAGTACATCCAGACTCGTTGGACGACCTCACTTGCATCTGCGGCACGATTTGCATCTCGCGCAACTGATGCTGTATCTTTGGCCCGGAAGCTCTCAGGCGTCTCAGAGGAGCGTCCGCTTCATTGGATCAATACGTATGCTGTCTCTTATGTTGTACCTACCGAAGACGAAGAGCCTGGATCAGAAACATTTTCTGACGCCGATCACACAGCTTTGCAACCTGAAGATGCTGCCCTTGTGGACATTCTGACTGCCGGAGTCCCTGGTTGTGAGGATGATGATATCGACATCGTCGTGAATGATCCCGGAGCCGAACTTTGTTGGCGAATCCCTGAAGTAGCATGATTTTTCTACTGTTCACACTATAGTTTATGCTTACGAGTCTTCTAGGACATCACATTCGACCGAACACCTCTTCCAGAAGCGGGGATCATTATTCCAGGCACCGTCAAAGAACGAGTATCTGCACCTCGCTTTGGATGTCCTCGTCAAGTATTTGAGCCAAAGGATATCGCACTTCTTGCTTCTCGGACTGCACTACTCAACGACAGCTGCATTAATGGGTGTGCAGTTCTTCTTTACTTAGAGGCGGTGCAATTATCTCCAATGGCTGAACAGTATGCCATCCTTTCAACCCACGACCTCCCGCGCATCCGATACAATGCCCCTGATGATGTTCTATGGCGCAATATGTCATGGACATCTTACTGGACGAAAGAGGTGTGGATTCTTCCCATCCATAGGCCTTCAGATGTCGGCCACTGGGTTCTATGCATCATTCACCTTCGAAGCAAGGAACTCCATCTCTTCGACAGCTTCGCTGAGCGGAAGCCATGGAAAAGTGACACCAAGGTTCGTGAGCTTCCTCTAATAGATTTTTGCATGACTAAATTCATCCAGGACATCATGAAATTAATCGCTCGTCTTCTGAGTATCGCTCAACAACATGATCGTATTTTTAATGTCAACATCGACATCGATGGATGGCTCGCACGTCCTCTAGTGGTAAGTATAGTCACAACCTTGATGGTGCGAAACACGGCCTCATCTTATATGTCATAGACTGATGCACTCCAGACAAACAGCTTTGACTGCGGTGTCTGGGTGCTTGCCATGATTGCGGCGACACTGCATGGGTACCACTGCACGGCTCTTGGAGAGGGAGACATGCACATGTTTCGATATTATCTCAGAACACTTGTGCTTCAAATTCCTGTATTCTAACTAGATAATACTACTGTCCAATGCATATGGATTCGATCCCGTCATCATCGCGTGCACTTCGTTGTGATAACGATAGATTCTTCGAGCACGCCACTGTAGGAGGCACTGAGCCATCACGTAGTGTCTCTCGCAATCTTCCATACCATCAACATACTCGTCCAACATTGCCCACTGCCTCAGGAGTACATCAAGACCTTCCTTCAACTCGGCACAAAGATCCAGCGCTCCCCCTGAACTGTGCCTCTTAGCACGCTCATAGACTTCCTCCTTCTCCATTCGAAATCATCGACCATGGATCACCTGGACAAGGTTTTCTGTCCAGCGAGCTTCTGCTGGGGTGTCCAAAGGTCGAGGAGTGTGGTATGGTGGATCAATATCCCATTGCGCAAGATCTGATTCGTCAAGGTTGTCAGCGCTTTGTGATGCTTGTTGAAATAGGTAGGTGTCTGGAAGATCTGCTCTTGCGAGGTTGATTAAATAGGATGGAAGGGATGACAGCTCAACATTGGAATCAAGAGCGGGTGATTTGGAAGCATGAGTAAGGGACTTTGTCGAACCCTTTCGACTGTGGGCTTTGGCATATGTGCGCGAATTCCAAAGTCGACGAGTGTTTTTACCTCTGTACGCACAGTGTTAGTACTTAGATAAGAAATACGGAAAGCAAGAGTTCCCTGGACCTATCGGATCGACTATACTTTGCTGTGTGTTGACGTGTTGCAGCGGTTTTATCAGTGAGAGTGAGGTGTTTTGCTCTCCGCCCCATAGGTAAAGAGGTAAAGAAGTCTAAAGCAATTGAAACGAATGAGTGGGCAACGTTTGAGAGTTGGTTTATTTGACCAGATACCATTTGAATTAAAAAATGCATCAATACCATTAGAACCGGCATGTCATGGAGCATCTTAATATGTGCACTAGATGTTTTTTTGGGTACATTGGAGGTATGGGGACATGTTTTTTATGTATGAACATTGTTATCCATACGCTGATTGGCTGATCAGATTTGGCCGTGCAGAATAGTCATCTCAACGTGCCGCCGCAGTGCCTCGGGTGCAACGTGAACCTCACATAGTCCTGTCGTCCCCCTCGTCCCTCTCCCATCCCTCAGTAGGTTGTCATATTGACTGTAACGGTGTTTTAACTTCTGACTTCTCTTCAATATTGTCGTCGGATTTAGGTGGATCGCGATGCCATCCTTTTGGGCAAGTCGAATGCGATAGTAGGTCCCTACCTCCCATGAGCCTTTTCAACCATTGAGCATGCTCTACTGATTCTCACGATTTTTTCCCCCAGCAGACCATGTCGACGACCATACCGTTCGTCATCGAGCATGTTTTCACTTCGCCTGTAGTCATCTTTGTCAATAGCGCGCTCTCCACAGAAAAGCCAGAGCTCACCGTCATCAATAAGAACCATCCTCGATACGACAATGCTGCGAGATCGTTGGCAGACGAGTCTGTCCTCCATGTCTACAAGGCCGTTTTCTACAATATTCCAGGTGAGTCTCTTTAAAAATGTATGCTTATTAAAATGTCACAATACTCCAGTACAAGTCAAACCCCATCAAGAAGTCTTCTGTGTGACGCGTGGGGCTTTCATCGGTTTAGTGGCAGGCTGGTAAGCACAAATTTATTTGAGGCGCTTGTTTTATTTTATTTTTGACATAGGGAAAATGCACTTAACTGTGTTCTGGGCGTCCCTGGCGCTGTTCACTTTCGTGTTGATTCCATCGCAAGTGGGGAGGAAATTTTCAGAAATGCTATTGATCAAGGATCTATTGAAATGGTGGAACCCTGGGCGACCCCAGACTTGTATAACTAGTTGCTGCGTAGGTATTCTATGAAGTCTTGTTTGAATTGTGCGCGAGCGTGTGCAAATGAGGCTCGCGAGGATGAAACGGAGGCTCCTGTAGGTCAGATTAATTTGGTGAGATGAGGGAGAAGCTCGAGAGGCTCACAGTTCACAACTGCAGGCTGCGAACTGACAAGTTCATCAACTTCTTCAAGTTGTTCTTCGTCCTCGGTCATAACGGCGACATCAACTTCTCGTTCTTCGTCCTCGGCGGCGCTCATAACGGAGATCTGTGGGATGAGCTGGCTGCGACTGGGTCCAATGGGGGGACGTTGAGTTGCCTTCAACTTCCAGGAGGGAGGCGCAGGTGGGAGTTCTATGAAGACTCGGAGTCTGCGCGGATTAGGTGAAGTAGAAGCATTGCCCAGACGGGTCAACCCACGCCTATCTATCCGGCCATTGGCAAACACTCGTCGGCCGTGAGTGTGTGGTGAATGTGCAGTGGGCGCTTCTCCAACGATGACAGGGGCACGTGATTTCGCAAGACTTTGGCGAGCGACCAGTGTTGGAATAGATTTGATGGTGAGGACGTTGTTCTTGAGGGCGTCCGCAAGCTGGAAGCGCTCAAGGGCGGTGAGATCGTGTATGCCCTTGCTCCTCGTGAGTGTTGGACGTCTCTCGCCGGGCATGAGAATGCCCTCGGGGTAGTTCTCAAGTATGTACCCACGATGGGCTAGAACTTTAGGCAGCGTCTTCCACGGGATGGTTCCCCCTCGTCCATCCAAAGTCCCTGTATAATATTTAGTTGTCCTTCATCTTGATTTAACCGTGACTCACCGAGAAGCGCTGTGAAACCACCAGCGATGCAAGGAATGCCCTCAAGCTCCCTCCATCCCTCAGGATCCCTGACCTCTCGCTTCTCCATCCACTTATCCAACACCACCTGCTCGTCCACCTTGTAGCGCGATGACACGCGTCGGAGTATAGAGTCGAGCTGGGTGAAATCCATGAGTAAGCAATGTACGGTGAGCTTAAGAGGGAGGAGTGCAGAAGAACGAACATTGACAACACATTGATAAGATGTGTTGTGCTTCCATGAATCCATCGATAATCGACGTCGGATGAAGTAATAATCCCTGAACATCATTTCAACCCTCCGAAGCCTCTCACGGGCTGTCCCCGACTCTCAACGAGATTTTGTCATTCCTCCCCTCCCGTCTGTCTAACCTCCTGCGCCCTCAGATGCTCCAGTGCCTCGGGTGCAACGGCGTTTTGACTTTTGACTTCTTTATACCCTCTTGTTCCTCTCTCGTCCCGCTGTAGGTCGTTGTCTTGACTGCAATGGTGTTTTGATTTTTAACTTCTCTTCTTTTGCAGTACATATGTTTTGTCGCAAATTTACTATGTGAATCCCAATGTTTGTTGAGCGCTCAGGCACTATGAAAGCCTGGGGCATCATGAGCATTTCCTGCCTCCTGCCCTCCTTGTCGTCTCACAGGTCATTTTCCTGGTAGGTTTGTGCACTAGGTTGGTATCCGTCAGCTGATAACACCTCTATCAGTGTACTCATCATTGTTTAGCGCTTCTACCTCATCTTCATTGCTGCACAGGAAACCTGGCAATGTCACGCTCTAGTCCAGAGGCCCTTGACCCTGAGTCCGAGCAATTTGGCGGTGGTCGCTATGTATCTCCTCCTGCCGTCCAGACTCCAAGTCGACTGCGCTCGCGCGTTAAACCAACAGCCCGCGATTCTGGCCTTGTCAAAAATGCGCAGGGTAGGAGGGCTAAACTGCTCACTGAACATCTGGACGAGAGTGGCGAAGTCAATACTTCAAATCAAAATCCGACGTTGAACACTGTCCAGCCTGAGACAGGACAATGGCTTGCTCCCGTCTTGCAGCAAGAGCTCCAAAGCAACTTTGCGCAAGGTAGGCAGGGCTTGTATGGTGATTTGCCACGCCGAGCTGTGTCGCGTGAATTATCACGCGAACCTCAGCGACATCCTTCAGGCCCACGTGAACTTCCTCCCCCTCCTCTCGTTCCTCAGCAACCTCACCTTAACACCATCCATCCGCAACCAGGCCCACGTGAACCTCCCCCTCCCTTCATTCCTCAGCAACCTCAGCATGACATTATCCTTCCACAACCTCCCCTAGCTACCATGCAGGAAACACGCACACCTGTGGGGTTGAACAGTGGGCAGGATCTCCACGCTGCCCCACTCAATGCTGGACCGAGTACTGATGCTCTCGGAGTACTAGGTCTTCCTCCCATGGATGACTTCGGTGCAGGGACTTCCACTACGTTCGACGGCACACATCATCCATTCACTGCCGATGCTACATTCGACTTCTCCTCGCTTGATGTTCCATGGGATCCTGTGGGCGGGGACTTCAGTCTACGCAATATGTATGACGGTCGCACGGATTTGCCAGAGACACGAATCATCCCTCCCACGCCTGCCAAGACTCCACACCAGCCTTCCTTCGGTACTCAGCTTTCCAGAGAAGATGCTCTCCTAAGTAATGACGATGCAGGAGAATCTTCGGCTGGTGCGCTGGTTGGCCGTAGGACAGATGAGGTGAATGCACTATTGGAGGAGAATTTTAAAGCTATCGACGACATATTCAACGACCTTGCCGCAAAAACCGGCTTACCTTTGCAGCAAGTCTCTCATGCGTATCACAAGGCTCGTGGACACATTCATTCTGGATTCAATCATTGGAACACATACGGCCATTACTTGAAAGTGAACCGAGAGCAGGAATTGCAAAGACTTGGCAATATTGAGGTAGCTGATGCTGCTCAGATTACGCCAGCAATTCGAGCCGAATGCTACAAGGCGTTCCGAGCGGCTTTTCCGGACTCATGGCAAGAAATCCTCGAGACATTTGAGCAGGTAGAGGTGAGGTCAGTTGGACCTCAGACAGTTTCACAGCGAACACAGGAATTCAGTAAGGTTTGGAGAAAAGTTGTGACCACGGTGCGTCCAACACTTCATACATCAAAATCATGTGCTAACCTTACTTTTAGGTGGACGCCGCTGCTGCCAAACATGGCTTCGAAGCAGTCTTTATCATATGCGGAAAGGTGGTCAATCAGGACGCGTCACTTGGGTATATACACGAAACGCCGGGTGCAGAAAAAGTAAGTCATTCTTCCGTTCGTATACATCAAAGTCCTTACTCAACACTTTTAGTTTTGGCAAACACGCTGCCGAGCTGACGAAGACGCGATGATTGGACATTTAAAAGCTCGTGTATAGTAAGTCAATGGTTTCTTTGTAGACCGCTTTGTGAATTCTTACTTGAATTTTAGCAACCTTGCATCTCTTGCGGTTGCCGAGGACATGCATCTTGAAGGCGCGCCAAGCGCAAAAGAAGATGAGCCGCCACGCAAGCGAAAATCATCGAAAGTGTCAACAGATGCTCCGGAGGCCGTGAAAGATGACCCGGATGCTCCAGAGGTGCTCGATGTCGATGACTGGCAACTTCAGGTCGACCTTCTTCAACTTATCAAGGGTGGCATCATTGCATTACTCAGTAAGTATCTATTTCTCTTGGTATGTTGCTTACCGCTTGCTCATCATTCTCAAGAGGAAGTGGGTGGGAAACTCACTGTCCGCTCAGGCAATTTCCCGTGGAAGAAGCTCCGCAGTGACCTTGATCGTCAAGGATTTGTCATTGAAGGCTATCCGGAGGACATCCTTATGCCGGGAGAGACACGCAGCACCAGTGCGAGGAGTAAGGGGATCAATGACCTTGACAAACGAGAACAGATAATCCTCGCAGAAGCCTTGAAATCGGGAACATTGGTGATCAAATGTGGGCCCTCAGGTACGTATTCATGGATATATTCTTAACCTACGCTAATTTCTTATTAGGTTCAGAGGACAAAGACAAGAGCCGACCAGTCATCATTGGGGAGGCTCCTCCACCACACTCTGCTCACTTACGTGGCCGGCGGTTGCTTGCCAATGGCATTATCGATCGTGAAGGACCGTCTCGTCTCCGGCCAAGTGCAGCAACTACCAAAGTCAGGAAGCCAAACAGCAGGCAGGCTGCGCCCATCGCTTCTTCCATAGTTGTCGACGACGATTCTCCCACTTCCACCATTGTTCGTCAAAAAAATCTCGTCGTTTCAGTCGAGATACCTCCTGCACGCCCTTCGAAGGTAGTTAAGCCTCCAAAATCACAGGCAACGCCCACACCTTCCAATGTAATCACTCTCGATGAATCAGTGAAAGCATCGTCTGGATCGGAGGAAGACGACTCAGCATATGACGACGCCCCACAAGTCGAGTCTGACTACGAGGATAGAGTGCAGTCACGCAAACGCAAAGCAAAGACGACTGGTGGCACTCGCAGACTTAAGCGTCGTGTTCTGTCCAGTGACATTGAGGTGATTGAGCCGCAGCCCAAGGGCAAGGCAAAAGATACTGCATTGCAGAAGGAGAGGGTAAGGGCACATTATCGTGAGCTCACCTCTGAATCTGAAGAGGAACAGAGGCCAGACGGAGTCAAGGAAGGTATGCAAGCTTCATTTCTGTCACCTTTATACGACGCTTACCATCGATAACATCTTCTCATAGTTGGTATACCTTTGCGACTCCGAGATGGTCCAGCACGTTCAAAGCCGAAGCCAAAGAAGATCGTGCATGGTTCAACTGCAGCAGCCAAACAAGTTGCTTTCTATGAAGGTGGAATGCTTCATACGCACGAATCATCTAGAGCAGCAGGAGCAGCAGAACCATCGGGAACAACGAGAACAGCGGGACCGTCAGGAGTGACGCGAGCATCGGGAGCATCAGGAGCATCGGGAGCATCGGGACCACCGGGAGCAGCGGGAGTAACGAGACCATCAGGAGCAGCGGAACCATCGGGAGCAGAAGTAGCAGTTGTTGAAGGTGGGAGGCTTCATGCGCGCGGCTTGTCAAGAGCAGCAAGACCAATGGGAGCAGCAGAGCCACGCGACCATTTACTGCCTGCCTCCTCGCCTGCCCCCTCGCCTGCCCCATCGTCTGCCCCTTCATCTCCATCGCCTCAATATCAACAACGTCCACAGTCACTGATTCCATCTTCGCACAACCAGCGAAGCCCTGCCCCCGAAACCACACCATATAATTATGGTCATGGCAGAGCTCTTCCACCGCCTTCATACGGGCAACATCTTGACGTGCCGCAAGGTCGGAACTATCCTCAGGCTGATCTGCGCCGTAATCAGATTGACTACCAACGCATGAACCAAGGCCCAGGTGGCGGCAACACCGCCGGTTACAGCCACACCCAGTACACTCCTCGCAACGACATGTATCCGCACCTTGCACCCCACCATGCTAACGTTCCACACGCAGAAGCTTATGATAGTACTCGTGTGCCTGCTCATCAGCAACGTCTGGAAGATTACGATACTCGTGCACTGGTACCTTCTCAACAGCAACAATATCCAGAAATTTATGGATGTGCGCCTACTCGTGCACCTTCTGAGCAGCAGCAGCACATGGAGAATTATGGTGCTCGTGCACCCGCTCCGGGTTACGACAAGCAACAGCACATGGAGAATTATGGTGCTCGTGCACCTGCTCCGACTTATGACACTCGTGTGCCTGCTCCCCAACAAGGACTTGTGGCTCACCGTGATGGCAGGGTAGCATATAACATGGACGAACGTTGGCAGCCTCAGTACGGGCCCATGGCGCATCAGGCCGAGAACGTACTACAAACACCCCGCCGCTCTAGTCAGAGGATGAGCCCTTTACCTGGTCTAGTTGCATACTCATCATCACCACCCCAGTCTGAAGGTAACTAGACGTCATCTCTTGCTTCTTGGAATGCTTCATTGTATCGAGCACTCTTGTGTGCATATATGTTCTTGATGTTTCCGTATGTCCCCATCTCACTCGTTCCTCCTTTGATCGTGTGTTCTTGATGTTCCGTATGTTTATATCTCACCCATCCTTGCTTTGATCGGTAGTACGCGACTTCCTTCGAGGATAGTTTACATACGTACTTTCATATTGCGATAAATCATATGTCTCCAGTTGAATGAAACGCTTTGGATGTTCACGAAGTTCCGCTAAATAAGATGCATTTAAGGTTTGCGACATATGAACATTTAGAACAAATCTTAAATAAAGAAGGTCGACTCGTCCGAATTGTTGAACGAGATGCACTTGAGGCTCGCGAAGCACCGGGTATGAGGACAATTGGAACATCAATTCAAAGCCGAGGCTCGCGAAGCAGAGGGTAACGGATAGTGAAATGAAACTATTTAAGGCCAAGAAGACCATTTACAAAAACCTCCCTGAAGCTCCGAGGCTGTAGATCAAGAAGAATGTGCCACGTCAGTCTGAAAATCCCAGAAGTATGTAGATCAAGAAGGCACCAATGTAAGTCAGAAGAATGTGCCAATGTAAATCCAAAGCTCCAGCCTGTAGACAAACAAGCTCATAGATCCAACGCAAACCTGAGCACTGACGAAGGGTGCAGATCTAGTATACATGGCAGTGAGCAAAGGACAAAGGGTATAGACTACACTTACTATGAGAACCTCCGCGCGAACCTGAGCAGTGAGCAAGGGCAGCGGACAGCGCTGTGCGATGGAAGAAGGGTGCAAATCTATAAAAATACCAGCGAGCAGAGGACAAAGGGTATAGACTATACTTACCTCGAGAGCCTCTGCGCGAACTTGAGTCAAAAACCCTCTCAAGGGCGGGAGCCTATTGTAGCACCTGGTGGAGACCCTCTTGGGGACAATGGTCTTTCAGCCTAGTTTCCCATGACATAGAAACTGGGTCTGAAAGGCCGTGGGAACGTCTTTGAAGTGGTGCCAAGGGTGACATAAAACAGGTTTGTATTTTATCACAGGGCAAACTTGTCAGTGGATTCAAGCTGGCAAAGGTATGTGCGCCATTATTACTCGAATGATCTGAAACTGATATTAAGATATCCTTTTGAGGTCAGTGTCAATTACTACATGATGATGATCAACATCACAGATTCTGCGCTGTGACTCTGGATTATTATCTTGATGGTATGTGTCAAGTTGCTGTCTTACAATCAAGTAAACATCAGACGTAAAAGGTGAACTTGAAATTACATCTTCTGCTTTTTAACTCATTAACTTTACACAGATGTTGGGACTCATATCAAACATGAGTGTTGTCACTGCCATGTTGGATATAGGGCTGGACCAGCTGAGAGACTCAATGGTTGTATTTATATGTGAGCTCAATAGCAATGCCAATTGCTCTGCACTGGAAGGTGCTAAACCCACACTACTAATCCAGTGGGGCCTTTGCACTTCAAAAATCCTGACTGCAATAGATATCACCGCCTATTAGCTAGTGTTATCAAACCTGGATTAGAGGTATCAAGTGCAACTATAACTCCTTGTTTTTACAGAGCCAGAGGATACTTAATAACCAGTGGTAACTCATGTACACTCCACCATGTGTAAGGATGTAAGTACCTTCTAACCTTCCTCTTAGAAGCCCAGGTCCAGAAGCATTAGTATGCATGGCACTACTCCTGAGGGTGGTTGTCAAGGAAATATGTTGATCATTGTAGAAAAGGGTTCCATGAGCAGGCAGTTCTAAAGTCTCTAGTCTCCCATATTATCATTATATAGCAGCATCAGTGCCAGTCTCCTACTCACTTATATTAACTACCTATTGAATTTTTTCTCTCTTTAAATCAATACATCCATAGCTAGTTGCACCTGCATTATCTCTCTGCTTATTTACTCTGACCCTCTAGCTAGTGTTATCCTGATGCAATATACAGTGGCTCAAAAAACTGTCTGCATGTTTTTGTATTTTTCACTATTTATAATATTGTATAAGAATACATAAATATTCAATGTCATGCTGATACTATATTGTAGTGTTGCTGACAGCATTATTAACCTTTCCTGTAGTAATATGTTAAATCACAGCCTTTCTATCAGTAGAGGTGAGCTTGGATAGACATCTTCCACAGGAGTTTTACTTGTCTGGGTGGCTTTCTTTGATAAATTTGACCATAGTAGACTTGCATATTTTAGTTTTAGAGGAAAATTCATAAGAAGAGAAGCCAGCATAGGACAGAGAAAGAATATTGTCCTTTTAAGCACAAGATATGACTTTTATAGTGATTATAACTATGATATATGAAACATCCTGGTATATATAGAAATAAACGTGGAGCCTCAAAGGGGTTGAAGTGGAATGCTTCTCTGAGCCAAAGTAGAGTATGAAAGGAGCTCTAGTAGAGCATGCACATAGCATCAACACCAATTGGAAATCACTCTGTTCTTACAATATGTAGATATATAGTTTAAAAATAACATAATGATACCACTTTATAATCTATATGATGGTAGTATAATTTTTATGATGTCATAAATAATGATTTATATAGTTTTACAGCTGATTGTAGGATTATGTGAAAATGCAAAGTTGAATTTGTGTCTCAGAAATGCCTGAAATCAGACCCCATGTGCACTGTCTGAGTAAGAACATACTGTAAACCATTCAAGGCAGACTGCAGACCTGCTTCCAGTGATGGCTTTGCCTTCCACATCCCCTGAGCCAGAAATACCTCAGTTTGAGACTGTTTTTGTTGTAAATCTTGATACATACATAAAAACTCAACAGAAAACAATGGCAAAACCAAAGTCAAGGAGGTAAAGTCTACAAAGGTGAAAGAAGTTGTTTTTCACATCTCTGGACCCAATTACCTTGACTTCCTCATGACTATACTTGCAAAGCACAACAAATCACTCTATAAGGTTACTGAAAAAAAAAAGTACATTTCAAATACCTTCCTGGTGCTTCATGTAGGTATGTTAATCCTTGGATCATCTATTGCTATGGCAACCATGAGATCTACTTACTCAAGTGATCAATTATAGTTGCACAGAAGCCATAAATATCAACAACAAGAATGATTATGCCAAGATGATAAAGAAGATCATTTCAGAGAAACTTAAAAAGGTCAACATCTTTATTGATATGAAGAATGTCAAGAAATTGCTTGATTCTACCCACAAGGCAAGTCTTGAAGACTTTGTGATACCTTGGCTAACAAAGAAACAGAGTTCTTCAGGAAATGCTGCCAGCCATGAGAGTAGAGAATCTGAGGATGAGGAAACTGTGCTTGTCACTAAGGTATTTCAACTGCAAAGACAGACCTTAAGATTTCAGCTGTTCAATGATGTTTCTTGCAGACTGGTGCTTCAGAGCTTAAGCTTAAGATTGCTTGCTATCAACAACTCATTATCAGCAGGATGCCCTGAAGTTAAGGTATGCCTTTTGGACTAATTGTCTGCTGGATGCCTATAAGAACCTGTCTGGTACTACCTATTGTAACTCATGCTCTTATGTCTACAATCACTTCCTATCATACTATTGTATTTGGAGCTGTAAACTTTAGCACCCCCACATTCTTCACTGCTGCATTAGTGGGAGCTGTGGTGACAGCCCTGGCAGCTACTCTGACAGTGGGAGCATCACTCTCCTTTGGTCTTGATACCTAGAGTTTTGATAACTATATCAGCCCAGGGAATCAGGAGAATCTCCATTCTGGCAATGCAATTATTGTTTATTGTCACATCTTCAACTGTCTCTTAACCTTCCTACCTCTATCTGTCTTCTCAGGCTCATTGTCCCACATTGTGGCCTGAAGCAGTAGTCATGTAGAGCTCAGTGTGAAGCTTCTGAATACAGGTGTACACCATCCCAGATCTATCAGACTGCCCATCACCATAGTTTGGTTCTCTGCTCTCTAACATCTGCATAGTTTCCTATGGCCTTTCCCTCAGTCATCCACCCCCCTGTACCAGCTGTTCAGCATTGCCTGACCCCAATGCATTTAAGAAGAGGGATGACTGGTAGGGGATTGGGTGCCCAGAGATAGTGATGCCAACCTTCCCATCCATGACACTCAGCAAGTGTAGAACAAGGTAATTTATCATGAATCCTCTGGCTCCCTGTCCTTACTCACTGTCCTCACTCACAATTGGACAGATATGTAATTGTTAGAGATGAAAGCTGGCTTTCCATCACCTTCCCTACTGTTTTGTTGATCTGACACATGTGCTCACTACTTCAAGATGCCTTGAGCTGCTTGGCTCACCTGCTCTCTCAGCTTACTTCTGCCCCATTTAGAAAGGTGGTATCTCATGTTTCGGTCAAAAACCTTGGCAGGTTTTGCCCAAACTCATTTACAATTCTTACACTCATTTAATCTTGTTATGTCATCTTCTTGTCTTCTTAGACTCCTGTTCACAGTACTTGCTAGCCATTGCTCAAAGTCTAGTATTGTTATCACCTTAACTGTCTAGTCAATCACATTCTTTCTCACAAGACAAGCATAATGGAGAAGCAGAAGGAAGGGAGATAGCTAGCAAAAAGTTAGAGAGAGAGAAACAAACTTATCAAAAAGGCAAAAAAAAAAACTTGAAAATTGATAGAGAGAAGAAAGCCAGAGAAAGAGGAGCAGGAGCAGAGCTAGCAAAAGAGAGTTAGAGAGAAATAAACTTGCCAAAAAGGCAGAAAAAACTCGAAAATTGATAGAAAGAAGAGAGCCAGAGAGAGAGGAGATGGAGAGTGTGTATGGAGAGAGAGGAGAGAAGGGAGCAGCTGGAGCAGTTTGATTAAGATAAGAATAAGGGATGACTAGGCAACTTGACCATGAGAACTTTTTTGATGAAAATCAAAGTTGTGAACATTGCCAAGGGAAGTCTATCCATGATCTCATATTATTTTTGATTAAGATCCTAATGAGTTATTAGCAAAATACTAGAAAGTGATGTGTTTATGAAAGTTCAGGTACACAAGTCATGTGACCATGTTTTGCTTACTAGAACTAGGATTGCTTATTAGGATTTTGAATGATAAGGAATGACTAGGGCAGACCATGAAAAAGTTTTTGACCAAAATCAAAGTTGTTGCCCTTGTTAAGAGAAGTCAGTCTATAGTCTTATGTCATTTTTGGTTAAGATTCTAATGAGTTATTAGCAAATGATCAGTGTGCCTAATTTTTCTTGAACAAATCACTTTTAAGTATTTTGCTTATATCTCACTATGGTCTTATCCTATTAATGTCACGAGACCATGGATAGACTCCCCTTGACAAGGGCTACAACTTTGGTTTCCATCAAAAAAGTTTCCATGGTCTACCAGAGTCACTCTATCTTAGTAGCTATTTGTAGCAATTATAGCAACTAGTTCTTGTTATGGCAAATGCATGTTTTCCTGATGATACATGAGCATATTTTCCAGGAGTACGAGGAATATGTGGTACTACCAGAGAGATGCTGGTTTAGTGCTGCCTGCAAGTGTTTGGAAGGATATAAGACTCATGGACTTGGAGCAGACCACTTCACACATCCTGAAGATGCATCAGCAGCCTTCCTATACTCCTCTAGTCAAGATTGGGAAGAAGAAGATACCTCTGTTGATTTCTCATAGTTTAAACACTCTGCAGTCCAGGCAGGTTCATCTTGTCCTTCAAAGAAGGCTTGAACAACAATTCCAACAGCTCTTTCTGCACTCAGACTTGATTTCTTAATGTGCTCTTACTTTATGCCTTATGTCAGTTGTCTATGTACTAGTTTTCATTCATTATATTGCTGCAACTGTACATTTTACTTTGTGACTGTTTAATTGATTCATTTTTGTACTCAAACAACTATCCAATATGAATAAATTGTGTGATCAGTCATGCTGTCATGGTAGGCATAGGCAGTACCCAAGTTCTAACAGGTCAGTGTGCTGAACTCTAGTTTTGCATGCCTCTTGCATACACTTGTGGTGTCCTTGCCCTTACCCAAAGATGACCAACAATCAGGACACAGATAGAAAGATATGGTATGGTCATCCAAAGAATCAAAGCAGATGCCAGACTTGTCCATAATCAAGCTATCAATGGTGTCATGATCAAATGAGAAACACACAGACATGCTCTAGATAATGTATGGATCACAAAGTTAGAGCAGGTCCAAATTGTAACTTGCTAAATTGTTGGACAGACTTATGACCACTGTCATGATTGAACTGCAACATATACAACAGGCAAGGTGCAATGACACAGCAGACTGGAACTAGGAGCAGAAAGAGGGTGCTGTCATGTAAATATGTGCATGCAATTCAGGATAGTAAACTAATTTGGATGTAGTTCAACAATATGGGCAACATTATGAGAAGGACATTACCATTCATCAAGCATATAGGGCATCACAAACAGGCATTTGTGCAAAAATAATACCATGGAAAACTGCCCACAACAAGAGTCAGTAAAGCCCAATGTCAATGCCAAGACATAATCCAAGAAACTGCAGGACTCCAAAACAAGAAAGTTGAGAAGCAATTTCTGCCAAGCAGGTGGTGGACAAAGAGACTTCAAAAAGAAGTTAACAAGAGCAAGTTTATAATATTTGAATAGTTCAACATTTGACTTGTGAGTCCTGTATCAAGAACACAAAATAGGAGGAGCATGACACCCTCAACACTTTAGGTGCAGTTTGGATAGTGACTCTGGGTTCAAAATTTCTGGTTCAAAACTGCGCGTGATGACCACACATGAGCAGGATCACCCAATTACATCCATCACTGTTGATAGCAGCATCTAGATACATACATTGTCATTAAAATGTCTAATAAATCAAGCAGTGGCTCTTTACACTTCCTATGTTCTTGAGGTATTATCAATGTGGCACCAGCTGCTGCCTCTGGTGGAACAACCCAGAAATCCCCTGCAGTGTGGTCAAAGGTGGAAGAAACCACCTTTCCTGAGTTCCTTGTGCATGCCTTTCCTTCATCAGGGGATGGAGGCTTCAAGCCAGCCACTTTTAATCAGGCATCTACACACCTCAAGAGCAAATTCCTACATCAGAGGGGTGCAGAAAAGACTGGTACAGTTTGCAAGAATAAATGGACAGTGGTATGTTTTCAGTGAACTTTTCAGCCACCAGCAATGTCATATATTTTTGTAGTTAAAGAAATTATACCAAAGTGTCATCAAAATCAAGTGTACATCAGGTTTTATGTGGAATGATGAGCATGAAGCAGGTATTACAGATAGAAAGGATGATATCTGTATTAGAATAACACAGGTCTATTCACATGGATCTGTAGATAACAGATACACTCAGTCATTGCGCATGGATGCAAACGTCTATGGTATATTTACCTGTGGATAACAAATACACTGCATAGCATGAGTAAAGGTAAATATACAAGTTGAATAGAGTGTCTTACCTCAGTTGTTGCGCATGGATGCAAACATCCGAGGCTCAAGTACAAAAACTGCATGAACTAAATAGTAACGAGTGTCCTTGTTTGAATAGAAAAGTAGTGAGACTGTAATAATGAACATAGGGCACTGGCCCAAGCAATCAAAGGATTCAGTAAGTACAATGACAATAGGAAAGGATAAGAGCACATAATGAAAGCATACAAGTCACTGGGCAAGATGAACAAACAACACAAGCAGACAATGACATGTCTCGACTGCGAGCATGCTTACATATTCCAACAATCTGGACACACTTTACCAAGGTAACTTATCACAATAGACTGCATGCATGCCCCTTGCTAACATTGTTTTCAGACACATCCTCATGCAAAGCTCTTTATGATGAAGGGCTTTGACCACTTCAAGATCATGCAGGGGTTGATGACAAGCAAGTTGAAAGGTTCTCATGTCTTCTAACCTACCACCACCAGCAATGCAACTCCTACTATCTCTACATCTTTCATCCCCCAGCAATAGAAAATGCACTTCCAGGGCCATCACCATCCCCAGTGGATCTAGAATCACTTGGGCCACCTGTTCCATCTACCTCAGGCTTTCTCTCTCCTTCCACTGAAGGTTCTACCTCCAGCTTGGCATGGACAAGTATTAGTCACAGAAAGCAAAAATTTAGTGCACTTTCTCCTGCATCAATTGCAGACTCCCAGAAGTAAAGCCAGCCACCATCTGCCACATTATTGGCACAGCAGGAGGGTGCTAAAATGATCAAGAGTCTCATTGAAGTAGTGTGTGAGATGCAGAAGAACCTCATGTTAACCCTGTTACAGCCACCAGTGCAGCCACAGCCTTCCATGCATGTTGGGAGTGCCATTTCCCTCCTCAATAAATGCACAAACATAACAAGTAAAGATTGCTTGGCTATTGCCAACTTTTTAGCTGAATATGAAAACCAGGCCATCATTTTCTACTTGTTGGATGAGGTGATGAGGCTTGAGTGGTCGGTGTGCACCACAGGTGTCAGCTGACTCACAAGAATATATGATTGTGTTGTAGCATGCAGATTATTTAATAGTACAAAATTCATGTAATACCTACAACTATGGCAATGGGAGTCCCCTTCATTTGCATTCCTCAAGATAATCAGTCCACATCACTAGTGCAATTGCTTCCTGATGAACATCTGCTCATCTCCACTCAGGAGTATTTGCCAGTCCTTCAGAAAGTGTACCAGATCCTATACCATCATCCTCTACAAGATCATACCCATAGTACTTGAGAGCAAGATCAAAGATATCAGTGTTGTGTCTCCACATGAAGTTGTGAATGGTACATAGTGCTTCTGGGATCCAGGCCTGGATATCCATCTTATATTCAGGCACACATGTCAAAATGTGCCATTGCCACTTCATAACACCAAATATTCATTCAATGATGTTGTGCAGTGTGGTGTGTTGCAGATTGAATGACTCTTTTGAGTCTCATGGCCTAAAAATGATTTAATAGAGAGATGAATGCAGAACAAATGAACTTGCATGAGATTAGCTTGGTGCCATTCCTTCAGGTGATAGCACACACCTCAATACAGTATGAGAAGTGCATCACACATACCAAAGCCCACATCAGCCAGAAGGTACCTGTGTTGGAGCATGTGCAAATCATGCAAGCATGCATCATTCCAAAGGGTAGCATTAGCGACTGCACCATCCCACCCTGTGAGCGAGTACATGAAAAAAAAATTCAAGTCACATATAAACAGCAGTTTTGCAATAAGAGGCATTTCTGGTTGTGCAGGATGACATGGTCTTCAAGCAACACAAAAACACAAATGTGAGTACCATCAACAGCACTGATACAATCATCAAAGAATTGGAATCATGGATCAGCATGAATTGCCACAGAAATGGAGGTGTTATGAGTCGGGAACTGAACATTTGAGGTGTAGAAGGGAGGTGATGAAAAGAACATGAGTATGTGTTTAAAATATCTGCAAAAATCAGCATACTATTACTTATATTGAACAGTTGATGTATTTACCTTATAATTGTGTCAGGAGAACACTGGAATCTCTCTCTGATGTGGTGAGACAAGAGTCCTGTAACACATGTATACAGTGACACCATTGCAGGACTGAATGAATTCATGTTGGTGAAGAACCTCCAACAATTCATTGAAAATCTCAAGGTCAACACCAAAGTTGTGTCTGATTTGGTCTGGGTGACCACTGTAGAGACTCGCGTTTCTGCAGGCACATATGGGCATATTTCACACCTTTTCACAACTCATGATATTGGGCTTCATTGCACGACTCGCACCATAATCCACATATGACTTCCACCAAGTCTTCAGTCGACTCTGCATATCATGCACAGCTTTCCCGCGAAACACGCCATAGGTGTGACACTTTCCTGCATGCACGCCTTGCGCACTTTCTCGCGCTTAAGCGCATCGCGTCACACATCATCCAGGAGCATCCATCCATCGTCTGACCAGTCCCTCGGTATGTCCCTTTCATTATCTGACCATATTTAGCATATTACACTTCCTATTTCGTCATGGACCCTTACTTTACATCACTTTACCTCACTTACATACTTAAAGCACTCCCCATTCGGCTCCAAGCCCTGGGAGAGCGCTTAGGTAGAACTTACATACTCTCATGTTCATTTTACACCCAACATTCCACCTTACCTTACCTTCCTACCTTACCTTCCTACCACTCAGTATCTATCACCAGTTAGTACCATGCAATGCATGTATCCATCATTGTCTTGAGGCCCTAGCATCAGTCTATAGCTAGTGGCACTATCAGTATCTGTCTAGATCCGCGCTTTTCCTCTTATCAGTCTCAGTATACATCTTCCACACTTGTGCATCACTTGCACTACCTTCCCGCGCTTCACGCACTTTTGCACTTCACTTTCCTGCACGCGCCTTCAGCGCGCTTTCTCGCGCGTTCACCGCCATTCACCAGGGTTGTTCAGCATCATTCTGTGGATCCTTGCTTTCCTTGCTTCCCCTTTAGGGTCGAACGTTCTTGCATTCTGCGAGTATAGCAGCTAGGCAGAGCTGAGACTCACTTATACTGGCTGAGCACTTTTCTTATATGTGCCTGCCAGGTTGTGATACCCACACCACTGATCAGCTTGTATACCCATGCTTGGCTGGTGAGGATAGACATGTGATAAGGAATCCTTTCAGAGCAGGATAAGAATAAAAAATTATACAGACATGTGATCTGAGCAATTGCACCTGTTATGATGACAACCATCATTTGGTGTCAGTGATGCTGTGTTTGTGCTTCAAGGTCCATGTGGGTGCAGTGATTGATATGAGATTCATAGGCTATATACTAGTAGCTACAGTCTGTCCTATCAAAGCCTATTGACAATTGATCAAATCAATCACAACATATATCATGTACAGTCATCACATGCAGTTTTGAACCAGGAATTTTGAATCCAGAGTCACTGTACAAACTGCACCTAAGCTTAAGCTCAAGAGTGTCCACCAAAAAACAAATGTATTTAAATGTCTCACATGCTATAAATAATAAGCAGGGCAAATTGGTGGGGTAACCAGTCAGTGGTCACCCAAGGTATGTCAGCATATTCCCACAACACACCCTTTGGCAGAAATGAGAGCATGTCTGCATCTGATAAAACCCTTCTTGCACTAATCATGGGAGTCAGGGATCAGAATGGTTGGTTGGGAAGTCCCAACATAAGAATATATGTGGTTGGGGAATTCTCGACATCACCACTTTGGCAGTGACCACTGAAGACAATTAAGGGTCAAACCATCAGTGAATGCCCAAGGTGTGACACCAAAGAAAAAATGTTGTTGGCAGGTTTCAAGCCAGCACCCTCCAGAGCAAGAGGGACAGATTTCTAATCTGTTGAGGTAAATCGTAGCGCCTGTTGTAGAGGCTCGTGCCCCTACAGCCACATATGGCCTATATCACGGCTTGTGTCACCAAGCCATTACCAGTCTCATCTCATCACTGCACAACATCATTCCTAGCCATTCCCTATAGAGTGCCCCGCTTTCCCGCGCTAGCCGCAAGGCGCGCACTACTTTCCCGCACCAGCCGCAGTGTTCCCGCGCGTGCGCCTCCAGCGCTTTCTCGCGCTTAAGCGCTCTGCGTCGCCCATCATCCAGGAGCATCCATCCACTGTCCATCCAGCCCACAGGTACACATTAGTTTGCTATTTTTACTATTTCATGTACCTTTCATTATTACCTACATTGTATGGCACCATTTCTCATGGCCCAGTAGCTATTACATAGCACTTTACCTCACTCTGGTTCACTTTGTGTTGAGCTGAGGAGGCATTACTTACACTCTTCTACTACCTTCTACCACCCATCTAGTACCACTGAGCACCAGTATAGAGCCGCACTTTAGAGCAACAATCATTATCCCACTTCAAATAGACTTCATCCTGCACTGAGAGCCGCTTCCCCAGCACTTTGCGCACTCTGGCGCTTTCCCGTGCTTAGGCACTCCCTTAGGCGCTCATTCAGCGTGCTTTGGATCATTTCTCTGCTGCCATCTGCTTCCCCAGGTCAAACGATTCACATCACACCTCAACCAACACTTAGAGAGAGTATAGCCCTATCTCCCACCCAGAGCTTAGAGCATTTATATTTCTTTCATTTGCTCTGCATTGCACCTTAGCAGAGTTGTTGTACCCTCATCATATGCGCCAGTTCCCAACTCTGCCAGCTTTTACCAGAGCTGACAGCCTGAATATCAGACTCAGGCTCATTCTACCTTCATTGATGTCAAACGATGTGTCTTCTTGTAACACAATCTTTCATTAGCCACATGTTTCTATATCACTGCTGCAATGCCCATGAAATATATCAATTCCACTGACACACTCTCAATTCTCCGTTTGTCAACTGTTGTCATGAAATGTGAAGTAAGACATGCCAAGCTATTCACCGCCGCGTCTTGTCACTGAAGTCATCGTCCTTCATAGTCCTGCCCCACCTGCAATTATTTAGTGATACTATTCGCATTGGGAGTTCCTGTCAGTCCTCTTCCTTGAGGCTCGAGCTGGGGACTGCGTGGGAAAGGACTGCATGGGAAATTCCCACAGGTCCATTTGCAGAGAATGGCACATTTGCTGCAAACAGAACCCTCCCCCACTACTGTGGGAGTCGGGAGACAAAGAACTTGTATGGAGGAGACAAGTCAAAAACATCCAAGCTGAAACCAATCAACAAGACGTTGACAAGGTTGAAACACATCAGTTGATGCTGGTACTGCTGGCAAAACTCCCTGCCAGCTCTACCAGGTATCCTGAGCTAACATAAGGCTGACATAATCTTATACCCACAGAAATTTTGGTAGAGAAAATTTTATTTGCTGCAGACAGAACCCTCCCCCACTAACCATGGGAGTCAGGAACTACCACTTACTTGGCTATGGATTGTTAAAACTTACCTTCGAGTAACCCAGAAAACATTGTTGTTAACAGGTTTTGAACCTGTGCAACAGGGGGACAGATTTCAGATCTGTTCAGGTACAGCAACCATTTTGGTTTCACTCTAACTAGTTAATATTGTGTTAAAGGATTTACCAATGAGTGAACATTGAAGGTGTGCTCACGAAAAAAAAAAAACTGTTGTTCGCAGGTTTCCAGCCTGCACCACACGAGGAACGGATTTCTAATCTGTTGTTGTAACCGCTTGACTAAGACTGATAAAGATGGACCTTCAAGTGAAGAAATTGCTCTTGTTGACAAGTTTCGAACCTGCACCATGCAAGAAAGAGTTAGACAGATTACAACGAAATTTAGTCTTCAGAATCGAGCGTTTGACGTCGCAAAAGATGAATCGATGGCAAGAAATGATGACTGTTGACAAAAGACAAAACATAAAACGCAATCACGTCACTGTGAAAGTCATAAAACAAGAGAAAATGATCTACATCTCAATTACACCACCAACACCGACAATCCGGTTCAGAGACACACCCCTTAGCAGAGTTGCTCTACGGGTCGGGGATTTAAGTTTAAGTGTTCAAATAAACCGTCTTGCGCGGTCGAGACTTAGAAAGGATAAAGCTCAACCATTTCCACCACCGTCCGCACCCACTCCCCGCACAGCTGCTTTGCGACTCTTGCCTTTGCGCACACGGTTGTGTGCACGTGTCAAATGAGTACCTTGATCCTGCGGAGGTACGAAACCAAGGAGGCTCTTTCGACTTGCATCGGGGGAACGTTGGCTGTCAGGAGACTGGATATCTGAAAAGACATTGGGTAGTACTGCTTCTTGGGGAACAGTATATTGTTGCGTGTTAGTATCTGCATATGTGATGGGCATAGGTGCCTCATATGCGGTGATCTCTAGCTCCCGGCAGTAGTATTGAACTGCTGCGTGGAATGCGGTCCTGCGCGTATTCCGGAGGCCCCAGTCTCTGCAGGAAATCATCAACAAAACACAATCAACCCACATACTCCGCAACTTACTGCCACGTTCTGAAAAACATGATCAGCTTCTGTGCTTCTTTCCTATATGAAAAACAAACATACGAGTTGTGCGAGATACCAATAGTACACTCCAGATAGCGCTGGTAACTTATGTTTTGCAATACAACTGACGTGGTCGGCTGGAACCACCTGTTCTCCTCAGTGGAAAGCCACGTATTCAGCTTTTCCTCAAGCGCATCTAGCTTTGCTTGTGGCGTACGCCAAGCAACTTGGATGGTACAAGACTCCGCCATTTTCTGCCAGGGTAATCAGTACAACACATTCAGAGGTGCAAGAGGCCCGTACATCGCTACGGCGGACGTTCGTACTGTAGGCATTGTCAGATATCATGTGGTGCATAACAAATGCTTGGATGCGTACATGAACTTCGTGAATAGCTGACTGTTGAAGTAATATGTTTCAGTACCATCTGATCGAGCAAATACCGTCTGATAAAGAAAGCATCAGGAGGACTGTACATCCATTCCAGGTAAATGCGCATACCGCAAACAAATTCATCTTCTTAACAACTAGATTCTCGTCTGAAAACGAAAATGTCATTAGCAACACCCAGCCCACGATTCAGGGGCTCACTATCGATGAAGCATCGATCACCAGTATCAAAGGGACTGTAAACGAGAGGGTCATCCTGATACTCAAGCGCATACAACCATGTGACTCACTGAGTTACAAATAAGAACATGATTGCATCAAAGACATTGCTCGCAGAGTTCTTGAATACGAAGCTGGCTGCGAGACCGAGGGAATATACGCTCGTCAAGGACTGCGTCACATTGACACCAAAAATGCTCAACGAGATGAAGAATAAGATGATGAGAGCGACGAGTAGCAAAATTTGATCGAGAGTCTTGAGTGCAGCGCTAACATCATGCATACTGCGCCACAGGAAGCGACGTTCCTTGTACACGCGAAGTAGCGAAGACTTGATCTCAGACCGCGATACGTCACCGTTGTTGTCCTTATCGAAAACCCGGAAAGCATCTTTGGCTTCATCCTGTGTAGCGAATGCGGGGTAGAAGTCTTCGGGAACGAGGTAAGTATGTCGGCGATCTCTGAAAGTCCTGTATATCGCCCTGGCAAGACGCTGACGTCCAAGTTAGTTTTAGCGTACATATAACGCAGTTTCAAATGCTCCTACCTTTGCTTCGTGTGTTGAGCTCACACTAGAGACCAGCGCATCAAGCTCGTCAGTAGCACCTTTGACATTCCGGGCATCGTGCAGTACAGCAGTTTTGAACGCCTTTGCTGCTTGAACGACAATGGTGTGATCTTCGGTGTATGGGTCAACAGAACGCTGGTTGGAAGGGGTAGGAGGATATTTGTGAGTCGTATGCTTTTCGACTGGGGAGTGAGCAGCTGGCGTTGCGGCGATGGAAGCAAATTGTTCTGGCGTAGTAGTCGAGGACTCGAGATCTCCTGAGGTCGACTTGCGTTGCCTTTGTTTCCCTTTATCCTTTTTCTTCTTCAGCTTTGCTCTGTCCTCCATATCCGCTTCGTCACCTTCACTTGGTGCGGAGCTCTCAGAGCGCAATCTGCTACTGAGAATATTGTAATGTTCTTTGTCGCTGAACGGATTGAGCCCAGTAAAGGTCGCAAACATCGGATGGGAGCTATGGGACTTGTGACGGGCCGATGATTTGGGCTTGTAGTTGCGAAGCGTTTCTATCACTTGGAGGGCTTTCTTAACTTCGTCCAGACGTTCCTTATACGCAGTCCTATGGAATGCAAACGCTGGGAGCAATGAGACTTGTGATTTTGACACGAATCAGATGACCTCACCAATAGCATGGGAGAGCATCCTTTGAATGCATATCACCAGGGTAAAGAAGAACAGGAATTCAATTACTTGGGCGACCTGGTGTTTCAATGAGCTTCAGAACATGAAGAGTGACAGAATAGTGCTCACACGGTCCGTGTAGCGAGCATAATTCTGGGCATTAGATGAGTCATTCAACTTGAAGATATTCTGGAACAGAATGTTCCAGCTGAGCCAGGCGCTCGCGGCATAGAATAAAGGTTTGATGGTATCCTTGATTGAGGCATACAACTCGAGCTTTGTTCTAACGGTCTCTGAGACATGGCCCCATGTGACTGCAATCGCCACACGTATGATGACAGGTACAATGTCGATGATCATTGCGAGACCCCAAGAAATGACGACATTGGCTGCTGCCCAGAAGAGCCAAGCCTCGATATTGATGTCGACAAAATGCCTGTAGTCCGTTGGGTGTGGCTTGTACCAGAAGAAATGGACAAGGAGTGCGGGAGTTATCAAGACTGCCGCAAGGAAGGTGGACCCGATGAGTGAAGAGAAAAGTAGAGTAACTAGCCTATAATGTTCGTGTTGGTCGGAGAAGGTATACGTCTTCGGCAAACATACCTAATAATGCCCCAGCCGCGAGGTTTGATTTGTACACCCATTTTCTTCTCGAACTTGGCTTCCTCATTGTTGAGATCCTCGTCACCGCTCCAATCGAATTCGTCTTCCTCATCTTCGTCGTCCGAGGATTGACGTGAGTCTGATTTGGGAAATCCGAGGTAACTTCCAGTAGCGGGTGGTGAAATTACATCCTCATGATAGTGGACAGATGGCTTCTGAGTCCCTGTCTGCGTAATGCTGGTGTGAGATGGATTCGAGTCCCCGCTTTCCTGTCTGCTGCTTTGTGGTGACCTGTAAACATTTTTTTCGTAGTTGCTCATCAAATTGACCTGGGAACGGTATGCAACTGAATCTTGTGATGGATAACGGTCTAGCACCAGCTGGGAGGTGCTTGAACCAGCTTGGAAAAGAGACGAAGGTGTGGAGTTCACAAAATGGTCCTCTTCGCTGGTGTCGTCAGAGACGAACAACGGATCGTGAGGCGCAAATGAAGGGGGAGGACGGAGTCTGTCTTTCATCGTGCTCCATGTATCAGCAGCTTTACGTCACAGGGCAGTCTGAATCGGCTGCAATTACCGACAGATATAATGCTTTCCTAGCTGCACACTGATACTGGAATCAGTTAACAAGCTTGCTCGACCAGGGACTCTGGGAGAAACAGGTGAGCGCGATGTGATGGCGATTACAAGTGCTTATTTGGTCAGGCTAGCTGGATATGGAGCAGATATTAATATGGGCGTCTTTCAGTAAAGCGAACAGAATCAACAATGACCTCGCGCTTGTGGAGCTATAGAATCTGCAAGATGGCCGTAAGATGGAAAGGACTCCAGAGCGGATCGTTCTTTTGCGATGATCGCTGATTTAGATTTCTGTTGTTATGCCCAGTTGCCACGTGAAAAATCAAATCGGCATATACTATGTCTCTGTCTGCCTCAGGGGCTTCAAGCTAGGTAATCACTGCTATATCGTTCGTTTCTCAACTTCATCATACACCTTCCTCTCCAACAAATATGTCCGCACCTACAGAACTTCCTGCAGATCCAGAGTCTATGAAGAAGCTTGAAAAGGAATTCTCGACGGAGACCAAATCTGAGGAAAAGAAATTGCAGTCAGCCTTCAAAGACGTGTACAAGCACGAGAAATCAGAAGCCAAGGCTTCCAAGGTAAGGCATTTATTCCTGGATTCTATCCACTCCTGAGATTTTTTAGTCCGTAGAAAAAGCAGAGAAAGCCGTCAGGAAGCTGGAAAAGCTGGAGCTGCAGACCGTTAATTCCCTCCATACCATCACCCGCAAACATGATATAGCTGTTGCAGACCTTCACAATGCGCAGGCGGGCCTTCATGTATGTAGCCTTTGTCCACCCTCTTCTCGACGCTTAAATATTCTAGACTCAGCAACAGCAGCTAGAGAAACACAAACATGACCTTTCGACTGCGCGAACACACGTCGACCAGGTCACCAAGGATAAGAATGATCATGATGTAGGTGTGCTATATTCGGAACATGCGCCAATATCTTAATATTTGCAGCGTGAACGTCACGATAAACTAAGTCAGCTGCACTCAAGCCCGCCGACCCAGACCGGTGGTCCGAGCGCGGGCACGTCCGAGTCAGGTGCCTCCACTGGCTCAAGTCAGGAAAATATGTAAGACAGGACTGCCGCGCTCTGTTACATAGCGTGACCACACTCATATTAATTGACGATTTATATCAATCTCAATCCCTGTATTTCTATGGCATTATTTTTACACTGTAATTGTATTTTTTTTCATCCCAGGCTAATATGTAAAACGGACATCACCAAACCGTAAAGGCCATTGAGAGCTGACATAAGCATGAATGTGTTCGTTGCATTTTCAGTGTCGACTGCAGTAATCACGCATACGAGCGACGACGACGACGACGACGACAAGCTGTCCATCGGCGACCACGACGGTGACGACGGCAGCTTCAGGATTCTGTAATGAATAAAAATCCTTTTATACCGCAACCGACATACAACCCGCCGCAACCACCACTACCTCCAGGACCCCCGCCTGCTGCACCTCCAGATTATTCCGCTTATTGGGTAGCGGCAGCCCAGCAGCAGCAGCAACAACAGCAACAACAACAGGCGACTCCAGCTTACACTCCAGCATGGTCCGCTCCTCAGCAGCCTCCAAGACCTCCCCCTGAACAAAGTGCTTTGTATGCAAATTACGGTTATGGTGGTCAAGGCATGCATTGGCAGCAGAGACATCATCCTCAACAACAGTATCAACCGCCGCCGCCTGTGATCCAACCGCCGCCACCTCCACCTCAACAGCAGTACAATCCGTATCAACCCTCCGTTGGCTATCAGCAACCGTATGTTCCTCAGCCCCAACAGTCAATCGTAGCCCAGCCGCAGCCAGCGTATCCGCATGTGACACAAACGATGGCACCTCCGCAACCGTATTTTCCTCAACAGCAGCCCCAACCCCAACAGCAGCCCCGACATAACCATGGTCTTCATCACACCCCACCTCAACATCTTCCCCCTGCCAAACGCCAACGGTTTGATGGCCCGAATCAACATCACGGTCAGAACCGACAACTTGGACCGCCCCCTCCTCAACCTCAGTTTCAACCCCCTCCTGCACCGCCGGGGAGTGTCGGAATCTATCCCCAAAACCAAGGTCAGGGTCAAGGGCAACCTGGCGCCAATCAGATGCCCCTAGGTGGAAACAGAGGTGGAATGGGCGGAAGAGGAGGCAATATGAACTCTGGCAGAGGCAGAGGTGCAGTCATGGGTGGAAACCGGGGAGGATTGACCGGACAACGTGGCGGCAGAGGCGGCAGCATATTCGTGAACAATGGCAGCGGACGAGGTGGCGCCGCTGCTCAACAAAATCCTCTGCGTGGACACGGATCGAGAGGAGGCTTTAACAAGGACTTTCACAATCGCAGAGGTGGGTCGTTCAACGCCGGACATCAGCATCACCAAAACAATGCTGCGTTCCGTGGACGAGGTCAAGGACATACTTCAGGTCGTGCAGGCCGCCAGGATGGCAGTACAAATTTTGGAAACCGTGATGCATCGCAATTTGCAAGCAGCGGTAAGAAGGACGAAAATCGGCGCACGCTCACTGACTTTAAAATTGTGGGCCTCGAGATGCCTGAACTTGGATGGACGTGGGGAGTGCTACCATCTCCTATCAAAGCTGAAGAAAAAGAGGTTGCTGCTTCTCTTTTGGAATCCTCACAAGAGCAAGTTAAGGATGAAGACATGCATACTGGTGCCCCAAAATCAGAACCCGCACCAACAGCAGACGTGGCAGATACGAAGCCGGATGCTTCTTACCAGGAGCAGTCGTCCTCGTTGACGTCGCCTCCACCCTCTCGCATCCGCATTTATTTTCACACTCCTGTTTCTCCCGATGACTCGCATCCCATTCCGCATAATGCTTCGTATACTGCACCTCCAGACACGCGCAAAGGCAAGCGCAAGAAGCTTGAGGATGATGATGGCGATGCAGAGGAAGGTCGAGAAAGACCGCCGCCTCCTCGCAGCAGCCAGATGGACGATAATATCAGTGTTGACTTGGATGGGGTGGGTCGTGGAAGCGCAGCGCCCAGCGTGGCAGAAACTGCTAGTGAAGGTGATTGGCTCATGGCCGCTATCGCTGAGGATGAAGGCGACGTAGGCGCCGATGTCGATGTCGATGTCGATGTCGATGCGGCTACTACTGTTGATGATATGGATGAAGAGGAGAGCCATGCTGCAAGTGTTCCCCATTTCGTTCCTGCTACGAATACTTTCATCAATGGGAATGGTGAGTTGAACCCTCCTCATTTTTCGCTTTGGGTGGATGCTTTCGAGCTTGGGGGGAGCGTCCATTCGTGGCTCAAGGCTGTACAAACTAACGTATATCTTAAAGGCTCCCATAGTACTGACATGGACGGAATTGCCTCTTCAGGAGGTGTTCATGAGCAGCCTGATGGCTCACATGCTGGGGACAATCATGATGCTGTCCCGAATGCTGAAGGAATCAAGCCGTCAGCGTCCTCAGATGTCGCTGCTGTTGACCTTGGTGTAAACCATGGTAGTGCTGTCGCTACACAGCCGAACGTGGACATTTTGGTTTCTGCACCTGAAGAGGGTGGTGATGGTTCGCCAGCCACCCAGCCTGTTGATGATGAAAATGTTGATAAGCTCTTTGATGCATCAGCTGCTCTAGCTGATTCTTCTCATGCTATTTATTTGAGCTCTTCCTTTGACACAAGTTCTTCTACTGGTCATGGCTCTCCTCCTGTTGTTCAGTCTGATATGCCTCATAGCGAGAAACAGTCTGCTGATCATGCTGGGTACCTTGATACGCAGGTATCCGACACTCAGGCTTCCGGCGCGAAGCCCCTTCAAACAGAGGCGTCACTCGCGTCAACAATTCTCGACGAGGATGTGGGTGCAGAAGAGCTAGTTGTCTTGGAGCTTACCGGCGAAATTCCGGTCGAGCACGAAGAAGTTACTATGCATGCCAAAGGTGCCAACGAATCTGCGGATCAAGAGCACCTTCCTGAGCCCCCTGCCTCTCCTACTTCGAATACATTGTTGTCCACCTCTTCCGGTTCAACATATGGCGAGCCATCGCACCCTCCAGCGAGTACGGCAGTCTCGAAAGGTGGCCCAGTGCCATCTGCAAACCGCTTGTCAATATCGTATGCTGCCGGCAGTAGGCGTTTGGTCGTGGACGCAGAAGTGGTCGAACACTTGAAGGTTTACCGATCTGAGGGTCGAATCGAAGTCCACATATCCCTCGATAAAGGTAGCGACGATGGCCTCAAGGGCGTTTTGGTAAGATTATCTGTTTGTCCGCTCTTATCTTCTCTAACACTATTAATAGATCGAGGGACTTTCTGATGCGACAAAATCATATTCTCCTTTACCAACGCTATCTGAAGCGTCCAGCACTGATGAGACTCTACCCTCCTTCTCAAAGACTACACTACCTTCAAAGATCACTTTAATGGTCCATCTTGATACTGAGCGTCCATTGTCGGAACCTAAGTGGGTTAAGTCGGGCGATGTCCAGGAGTGGCTGAAGAGCATGTTTGGAAGAATGTTCTGGGTAGCAGGGGATGCTGCTGATGGGTGGGAAAAAAAAATCGCAGTTGTAGATCCTGACCCAGTTCGTTTTCACTATCTTGACAGGAGTCTCGATCCTGACTATTTTGTCTCTAAGGCTCCGACGATCTGGACAGTGCTGGATGGGTGGGCAGCCAACTCCCCTGTCGGTGTTCCCACAGAACGACAGCGCTTCGTGAAGACGCATTTAACTGAGGTAGATAACATGATGGAGATTCTTCTCAGACTGGTCAGAGGCGAGCGAGCCACCCCCTTTTCCCAATCTACGCCTGCGATATCAGCCCCGAGCGTGTCGGGGCCACTTTTGGCCGCTCTCTCACAGTCCTCGTCGCACGGTGCCCAGCAGACGCACGTATCGTTAGCGGTACTAGCGTTATTCCACTTGTCAGTGGACTTTGCGCGGAAGGCTTCTGGTGATAAGGGAAAGGCAGAAGCAGAGGAGAAGATGAGTGAGATAATTCGATGTCTGCCGTCCCACCTATTATACAAGAGTCTTGACGGAATGTTCAAGGAATGGAGAGCGGACAAGAAGGGAAGTCGTTGATAGTGAATAGATATAACCCTTTGCGCTTTCTTCATTTTGTTACTTACATAGGTCTAGGTACATTTATATTTTGTCACGACTCAGCCGTGTGACACCCCACGGCTCGGCTTGAATCATTGCCAACATGAGGACTTTACGGCAGGGTTTCCTGCAGGTTGTTCTCTCCCTCCTTCTACTCTTCGTCTGACACCATGGACGACTTGCATGAAGCCGAATTCTCGTGGTATGTTGTCTCCAAGTTGATGAGCGCTTGTGCTCACCTTCTACTCTCAGGCCCTATAGTGAGGCTTCGGATGTGATCTTAACTGGCTCATTCGACCACGTAAGTGGCTTCCCTGCCTACCCAAAGTCCGCCGCAGGCTCAGTTTCGTTACTTTCGTATCCTGGTAGTGGTCCTGCACTATGCATCTGCCCAAGGGCACATCTGGTTTCGTAGGCAATGTCAGGGTTCCTTGGAATGAGAAAGTTCCATATAAGTTCATTGTGGACGGAAAATGGGTCACCCGCGATGACCGCCCAACAGAGTTAGATGGTGCCGGGAACCTTAATAATGTTCTTATCGCGCCCTCTAAACCCACGCCTATAATGGAACACCCATCAACCACTGCTCCCCAAGGTCCCACCGACTCCATGACTTCAGCCACCACATTACCTGAAGAGTTGTTGCTTTCTAGCGAGACCTCCCCGCAGAAAGCATTGGAAGCGGATCAACAAGGTGGAATCACTGAATCTGATTCCACTAATGCCACAAGCGCTGTTGATGATGTAGGCGTTTCTGACAAGGAAGTGGTATCAATCCACCTTCCCGACATTATCGTCGAAACAGCTGAACCTCCCGCATTGAGCGGTGAGGTTGACACTTTCCATACAATTGTGGACACTGCAACGAACGCGGCATCGCACGTTTCAGAAGAAGTTGCTAGTGCACTAGAATATGTTTCCTCAGGCATCAGTTACATGTTTTCGAACACGCCCCGTGATTCGACGGACAACGTCAACGCTCTGGTAACCGCAACAGCACAGAATTTGTTTTCAACGCTGACCTCCATTCCTTTCATTACGCAGAGTACAACCGAACAACCATCGGTCATTGAGCCGATCGTTGCCGAGGCACCAGCAGAGAGCGTTCAGGGAGCTCCTTCCCCTGACGTCACTGAGGTCGCGCCGCAAATCGCGCCCGTCGTCCCTATCCTTATCTTACCTGTCAACGATCACATGTTGAATGAATCTGCGTCACCAAATCGGGAAATTGATGCAAGTGATCCTATGCCCCTCGATTCATTGGATGCAACAATTTCTGTTCTCGAGCCGTCGACGCATTCCCTTATACCTTTGTCCAAACCAGCACCTTTTGTCACAGAGGAAGTTCAAGCTGGAGAGCAGGATAGCAAACCTACGGAGGGAGAGAATTCGGAAGCACAGGCAGCCGAAGAGAAAAATGGAGAATTACTTGTGGAAGCAGTCGCGACGCCCCCTTCAGACGAAGCGGTCACTTCCACAATATCTGAGATTGACGTCAATCCAGACCCCACTCAAACAATCGATGCATCTGCTATTGATGTTGGGCCTATCGCGCCCAACAATGAGCCATCTTTACCAGCGCCCGAGCCTCAAGATACCCCTGAAGTTAACACCTTGTCGATGCGCTCAACAAACGATGACCCCAAAGATTCAAAGGAGGTTTCATTCCCAGCTTCCACTGCCACCGACTCCACTGCAATACCATCATCCAAGTTCAGCACTGCAAGCACGAGAAAGAAGCGACGATCACTCTTCGCCAAATTGAGAGAGTTTTTCTCTCACAAGGAGAAGACGAAGAAGTAGATTCTTTTACCGCACGTTGAGAGCTTTTCACACTTCCCCGCGCTTTCACAGCCTCATTTCTTTCAACATCATGCGACCTGTTCGCTTTCACTAATGAGAATTCTGTGGGATTTATGTGGCTGTTGTACATAGTAATGGCGTTATATATGCATTTCTAACGTGATGCTGTCTTAATTTCAGGAGATAATATCCACAACAATACCTGGCAAAGTGTTGAGAACCTTTATGGCTATGAGGGTCGAGCACCTACCTGCGCTTATCGTCTCGCCTCCCCGTCGAACGAGAATTCTTCCCATGTCTTTGTTCACAGAGAATGGCTCCAATGGAATAGGGCGAGCGCTGAGTGCAGGGCCTGATAGGGTCCCGGCACGCAAGGTGATCTCCACCTCAGCAGATGTACCCTTGGTCAGTACCCTTGAGTGCAAGATCAGACATAATCTCCAACAAGACAAAAAAGGCACGAAGCGCACCGAGGGTTCTTCTTCGTCACTACCCCAGAAGCTCTGTCCAAAGTAGCTATCAACTTGGATATCGTGGCAGGTACATCTCGTGAGTGGTGGAACAGCTCGATCTAACCTAGGGTTATGAGATACAATAAAGAGGGTTTAGATGACGTACTGATGCACCAGTAGTGATTGGGAGCTGGATATCGAATACTATGATTCGAGCTATGAAGACTGTAGCCAATGGCACGATATCTGATGGCGGGCAAAGAACGCTTCCGATGCTCAGATGGATAGGGTCGATGGAAGTCAGGTACAGAGTTGCATTGGTTCCGGCTGCTGCCCAAGGCACGCTCTGTTCCTCAACATCGATAACTGAACATCGGTCAACATCCGCACAACAGCCCCAGCAAGTATAGGAACCCACGTCGAATGATTGCAGATTCATCTCCCGGAAGTACCCGAAGGCGTTCTCCAACTTGCACAACGCCACCGCATATACGACCAGTTACGCCCGTTCCTGAATTTTGTCCCTTGAAGACATTGGATATTGGCAATCTGAATGGGGAGGCAATTTCGCGAGTGGGGGGCTCCAGTTTATCTGGATGTGATTGAGCATATCAATGCAGGTATAGTGCAAAATGGCTCACCAAGCAAGTCAACCAGCGTAGGGCCTTTGTACCATTTAGACAGTGCCGAAGCATCGACGTCCGTACAGTTGACAAGGTTGACGCCGAACATGGCACTTACTGGGACAAAGCTCGTTTTCGAAGAGAGAAACCCAGACTGCACAAGGAAGGCACGTAATAACCCACATATTTCTTCAAATCGACTCGGATCCCAATTGACCTGCAACCATGTCAGCGATGATAAAAGACGTAGAGTTGCGAGACTTTAAACCAACCTGGTCCAATTTGTTGACTGCCACAATAACTTGAGATACACCGAGGCTCCGAACTAGCAGCAGATGTTCACGAGTCTGACCACCACGGTCGAAACCTGCCTCGAACTCCCCAGTGATAGCATCGACTACAAGTAACGCACAATCGGCTTGCGCGGCTCCAGAAATCATGTTTGGGATGAAGTCCTTATGTCCAGGGGCATCTAGAATGGTGACCTGTCGTTGAGGAGTTGACAAAGATTGTAAAGCAATGTCCATTGTAATTCCTCTGCCGATTAGTCGGTACGTGCAGGTGAAATAACAGAGAAATGCAGACCTCTCTCGTTCTTCGACGGTCCCATCCAACTCCCATGCCCAACTGAAACTACTCTTCCCAGCTTTACTGCTGCCTCTCTCATTAGCAACACGGGTCTTTTCATCAACTCTCCCCAGCTCATAGAGCAGACGACCCATAAGCGTCGACTTTCCAGCATCGACATGTCCTGTCACTCAGCGTCAACAAAATTTTACTTGAAAATGCCAGCGAGACTTAGTACCAATCACGACCAAGCTAACAGCTTTTTTGTCACCTCCTTTCCCTTCAAGGACTTTCCGAACTTCCTGCAACAGCTTTCCACGCTCCAGTGCTATTTTCGGAGGAGATTCATCGATTGGCTCTTCTTTCTTTGGCAGCAAATTCAACGCGGCCATGTCGAATAGTCGAGCATCCAAGCCCCCTGTATCCCGAGGAGTCGTCGCTCCCGACTTCTTCGCACCCATACCAGCCTTCTTTGGGGCCCTACTCGGTGTATTCACAGGAGACATCGCTTGAGAAACCGGCGTGGTATAGCCAGACGTAGAAGGTGTCTTCGCTACTTTCTTCTGCGCTGCTTTCTCCGCCTTCTCGCGTTCCTTCGCGGCTGAAGTGACAATCAGCAAAAAAGTTCCATTAGAGCCCATAACCTAGTCTACAACAAACAAACAAGTCCTCCAGAAAAACGAACGAATAAAATAAAAATGCGAGTAGAGAGATACAAGAAAGGAATGGCGGGTGGAGCTGGGAACAAAGCTTTGTTCACCGTCTGTGGGCAAGAGAAGTCCCCCGACGCGCGTTGAATACGATATCATCAGGGCTCGGAACGTCAAATGCAAATCCCAAGTGCATCTTCATCCCCGGCGGTGCAGCCCTAGGGCGAGACGACTTGTGTCGTTGGGACTGTGAGAGACCGAGGCTGGAGTGGCTCTGTGAATGGGAAGCCTCGTACACCTTCACAAGATGCGGCACCTCCCTTCCATACTTGCGAGCTGAATGCGTGTCATTGTCTTCGGGAGATGGGGGTGTTAGAGGATCATCTAGAAGTAAAGAAGCGAATGCCGAGGGAGACGCACGAGGGTTAGTTGGCTTTGGTATGAATAGAGGAGACGGTATGATGACGCGGGAATCGGTATCATCGTCGGGTGGCGTAGGCTGCGGTTTTTCATTCGCTTTCTTGACCTTCTTTGCCAATTTAGATTGCTTGGGCTCTGCAGGCATCTGGACTAACGATGCAGGCTGTTGAGCCTGCGGCCTGGACAGACTTTGGAGTGACTGATAGGATGTGGTTATAGCAGTAGTAGCTGTAGCTCCATTTGCGATTGGCGTGAAATATTGTGTGTGAGGTTTAGGAAGCTCCTTTGGAGGCGAACTAGGCGGGGACTTCGGAAGCTTCGGCATGAGACTAGTATTGGCGCTGGCTTTCGCCTGGGCAAGCGCTGCTAGTTTAGACTGAGGGCGAACCTTCGCTTCAACCTCTTGGCGCACGATGGGCAAGTTTGGAGTGACGTCAGCTCGAGGTGGCGAATGTGGCACCGTTGGTTTGACAATAGCAATTGACGATGCTTTAGACGCCGCGCTCAACTCGCTCTTTGGAGCAAGTCTCACAGCTCTTTCACGATCGTGAGCTTCTAGCTCCAGAGCTGTCTGGATAGCCTGTTTGACATGCCCAGACATGGAAGAAGGGGTGGTAGACGGAGCCTTTATAGAAGGAAGTGTCTTCTCTGTAGGTGGGGGTTTTATAGTAGTTGCAAATGATAATCGGCTTTCAGCGGTAGGTCGTAAGGCGGGGTAAGTAAGCACTGAAGTCGTCTCCAAATCCGATGAGCGAGAACTCCTCGTACTTGCACGAGAACTCGCAAGCATGGATAATTTCGAGGGTTTAATGCTGGCTGGAGGCTTCGGAGGGAGCGGTTTTTCGCTCGCTTTGGACTGGAAATCGGAAATCTCGGGAAGAGTATCCATGGGTGGTACAGGGACAACTGATGATTTTGCACGCGATGTTGCGCGCTCTGTTGGAAGTGGAAGCGGCTCTGTGCGTACATCAGATTGTGATACTGATGTAGCAAGTGATGGCGCGGCTTCGTAGTTCGAAAGACGTCGTACTGCAGAAGGCGATGGAGATGGAGGGATGGAATTTGGGTCCATCGCGGTCTCAGGATATTCCGCGGCTACGGTACTGCGTTCGCGAGCATCTGTCCTGGCTTCAGTCACATCAATCGAATCCTTGCTGATACTACGCACCAATAACTTCTCCGTACGATGTTGTGGTATCAGTGATCGTTGATGCACGTGGGTTATTCAAAGCTACAAGTTGTTGCTGTGAAGGCCAGTGACGAGAGGGTTCAGTCCTCTCGGTAATCTCCGTAATGGTGCTGAGTCTCGAGCCGCGTGACATGACACCCAATGGTATATCATCCGAATCGACCTCATCCGGATATTCCTCGGGATAGTAGGCCTCATGTTGGCCCTGCTGTGCTAATACTATGAGAGGAACTCGTGGTCGGTCCAAGTCGCCATCATAATATTCGTAGCCTGTTGGTCCAGCCACGTATTGTGGTTCATCATGGACCCCCTCGCCTCCTGGTGATAGTATATCACCACTGTCCGGTAGTACTGAAACACATTTAGCTCCTGACTGTACGAAGGCTGACGCAGGGATTGTGGGGACGACATGCACCTTCCTGTTCCTCGTCTCGTCTACGGCGTAGTCGATTCCATAAACGGGATCCAAAACGGGGGGTAACGACAACATGGTAGAAGAGCGAATGCAAGACTATTTACAAATGAGAGATCACGTTGGAACTTACCTTTGCGAGTTTTGGCTGACGCTCTCCGGTCTTGCTCCTCTGTCAAGAGTACGTCAGTTGAAAGACACGAGGACAAGAAGGATGTGTTACGCACCATACAGATACGATAAACTGCCCTCTACACTAAAGTACTGGTCCCATAGGGTTTCCTTGATGAAGTCATCGTCGAGGCCTGAGGCTGCCTCATCTCCAATGAGCTCTCTGATTTGTTCAAGACAGAACGCCATTTGAGCTGCATTAGGCTCTCAGCGTGCGTCACAAGCACAGATATCGGGCCACTCGCCATGCTGCTCGGGAGTGAGTTCATCCCCTCCATCGGACAATGCATCATCATCCAATTCATCTAGTCGCACAATCAATCTCAAATCAAACTGCCATCAGGATGATTCGTGCATACCATGAATGTTCATATTTCGTACAAGCCTATGTCTGGACATGTTAAAGATTACAGATGGAGATACAAAGATATGTACAAAGATTTGGGAAGGATATCGAATGAGAAATAGTTCAATGCCTAATTACCGCAACTGCAAACTCGCCGAGTGACCAAGCAAGCACAAATAAATCACCTCTATTACCGTCACATACAATCGATACTTCAAGTTTGCTTTACTAGAACGCGTTTTGAAAAACCAAAATCATGCTTTCCTCTGCTCGTCATGCTTTTGCTCGTGCGCCGCGTCGCGTAAGTTGATAGGCCTTTAAGAATGGTTTTGTGCTGACGATATTTTCCAAGGCTTTCTCTACAACTTCGACGCGTGCATACGACGTCTCCAAGCTCATCCTTATCGGACGACTAGGCAAAGACCCTGAAGTTCGTACCACTAAGAGTGACAAGGAATACGCGTCGTAAGTTTTCTTTGCCTTTCCCGAGACGTCCCTCTGAGTTTATTTTCAGCTATAACGTTGCAACTACCAACTACCCCCCTCCACCTCCTAATCCCGATGGCAGTGAGCGGACCTGGTTTTTCGTGCATTATTATCACCTGAAGTCTTGCTTTAGGCCGTCAAGAGGCTGGAACGACGTGGCATCATATCATTTGCTTCAATCCTGGTCAGACTAACTACTTGCGCACTCTCCAGAAAGGGGCCCAAGTATACGTTGAGGCGAACTTTGAACTTCGTGACCCAGACCCAAGCGCAGACCCATCTTCGGCGCAGGCCCAAAGACAGATATTCCTTAGACATGGTATACTGCTTTGCTCTTACTTCAACCTTTGCGTAACTGACTCTTATTTGTAGAAACCATACGGGTTATCAGGCAGGCCCCCTCGCACAGCGAGACCCAGGAGTAGTGCATGTCATTTTATGACCATCACAGCTACCCGTCTTATTGGTATAATTATTACACGCCACCGCTCACCCCACTCGATAATCTATGTTACATTTATTGGTATCTCATTCGTCATGGTGGTCAAATGGTGACTCGGACCGCCTTCTTATACCAAGTGCGTTGTGTGACGGATCTGTGAGCCATGCCTTTACTCGCTAATGAACTGGCGAACCTCGACTCGCTGATATGAGCTTACCGTGCTCTCCCGGATTGGTACAGACGGGAGAGGCGCATGCATTTCTGTCCCAAGAGCAGATGAGGCTGACATTCGTGCACCTTCTGACTTGTTGATTTTGTGAAGATAGTCCCGTACAGTTGTTACCACAAGCTAATAATTGGTGTGTGAATGTTGGATCGAGTGAGTTTTGGAAGAGGACATACGTGGTGGTCTTCTTGGCTTGAACCTGAGTAGCAAGCAACAACAGCAATAGGACAACAATGGGCATTCTGTACAGCCTCAATCAGTTCTTGAAATTCATAAACGAATAAGACATAGACTGACATCCAACCAGATCGGGAACGCTGAGCGGAAACAAAATTGAGCTTGTCGTTTCCAGAAGTGTATAGCGAAAGTTATTCACCTCCCCCGTGAATAATATAGTCCCCTTGGATTCCCAGCTGTTGTGCTGACTTGCCCATGGCGCTCATGCTTTTCTCGACATAATAACTCGAATGGCCAGTCTGCCTCACGACTTCAACCATGCCTTCCACACTTGTCCAACTATTCAAACTAACATCCCCAACACCGGCTGGGTGACCAAGGTCGCCCACGGTACACGCAAATAATGTATGACCCGCGATAGTTTGTATAGAGATGACGAGGCCTTTGCCTTTTGAATGTCGAGAGGACGCACGGAAGCGTTTGCGTAGAGACAAACCAAGCGTGACCGCGTCAGATGCTGAGAATGATGGAAAACGATAATTGCCCTCCTCGGTGAGTGCTTGAGAAGCAAGTTCAGCGTCTGAGGGTATCATTGCGTGGAAGGAGGTAAACATGAGAGTGAAAAATATACAACAAAGTGTCAAGGAGAACAATGAGGCGGAGTGCCCCACGGACCTTGGGAGTAGAGATGATTCTATACCAGATGGAGGCAATTACATGCAAGAAAATAGAACTCGAACATGCTCAGACAATTCAGGTCAAGGGATATATAAATCAACGTATATTCAATCCTGCTGGCATATAGACGGCTAGTATACCATAAAAGCAAGCTTGCAATGAGTCTTCGACAGAGGATAGAGACTGTTGCAGTTCGACCGTCATCAACTTCAGTCACTGTGGACTGGGTTTGAAGGCGTCTGCCATCGTTCCTTTCCCGGTGATCGTCCAGGACGCCACGTGAAACCTGTGAATAGCCGGAGTCAACAACTTGAACAAGACCACTCTACATGCATGGAGTTCTTCAACGACGTGGGTGGAGATCCGCTCAAGCCCTCCTTGTTTGAATTAGTCGCTCAAGAGCAGCTCCGTGACTTGCTTCAACCTGCTCTAAAGTATGTACTGGCAGTAAGTCCTCGCAATCTGCCACAGAACCACACCACTCATCCTTGCCAGGTGTTCGCTCAACGTTACCCCCGTTATCTTATTCGTATTGTCAACCGCCATGAAGAGTTTTACGCCTTCATCATGCTTTTCGTTGAACGCCATTATCTCCGCAAACACAGTGAGTATAGTGGTCTGGCAAGTTGACATAGTGAACTCAAGTACGATTACTAGATGCATCATTTTCTGAGAATTTTTACGGTCTGAAGAGACGCAGAAAACCTTGGATAGCGACCGAACGAGCAACAGCTGCTGTTGGTGGAATACCAGCCGGTGAGAAGCTCAGAAGTCGCGAGATCTGGCGGTCGTTATTTCTCCTGGTAAGGATCCTCGGTGACGACCAGACAACCCCTCATCATGTGAATCTAGATTGCTGTACCTTATCTGCGAGCGAAAGGGCAGGACTACTACGAGTCACTCGGTGGAGGCATTGATTATGATATCCTGGAGGATGGAGGTAGCGAAAGACATATACGAGAACTCACAGATGAGGTGAGCAGTACTATTTCACGATAGCGCAATCCTTAACGGGTATTTCCAGAGCATCGGAGGCGTTTTACGCAGAAAGTTCAAAACGATATACCCGTGGTTCAATACCGGATTTGAAGTATGGCTTCTCGCCCATAATGTAGCCTATTTATTCGATCGTACGCCATTCTACCGCCCGTGGCTAGCTTGGATAGGAGTTGATCTTAGAAGACTTAATATGGATGACTTCGTGAGCTTAGCATTCCAGTCATTCGCATTGCACTCACACCATCTGGGCAGCTCGCACACAAAGCGAACCAAAATGCTATATCCCCAACAAAGAGCGGATTTTTAGCTGTAGTTCGACGGCTCCTGCTGCGATCACCTCAATTATTACTCGACTCCCTGAGGCTTCTCTTGCCTACAGCCATCTTCTTTATCAAATTCCTGGAATGGTGGTACTCCCCGGGCTCCCCTGCACGGTCATTATCCATATCCCCTCTCGGACCAGCTATCCCTCCACCTCAGATCCTCCCACCGCACCCTGCAGGGATCACTATCGACAGCACGAAATACGGACACTGCCCACTCTGCAAAGACCCTATTCACAATGCCACAGCATTGCCGTCTGGTTACGTATTCTGCTACCGCTGCGCACACGACCACGTTGAACAACACGGTAATTGCCCAATAACGCTCCTCCCCGCGAAGGCGTGGCAGCTCAGGAAGGTCTTGGTATAGTCGGCGCTCGCTACCTGAGTCATGGTATTTGCATCGGTACATCGTATCCGCTAATTTTATGACTTTTCCTGTTTTCAGTAAGTAGTTCACCAAGAATCATACGAAGAACGTTCCTACGACGTTCTTGGTCACTGGGCCTTGGGGCGCGTGCGATTTCCGCTTAGATTCCCATGCGTTGCAACTCGTTGCCCCAGCGTTGCCCACTCGCCCTGAGTCATTAAAATGTATGTCTAGATACTGATGATTACCGATACTTTATCCTACTGTCGCCCCTAATAAGTCTGCATATAGTGCATGATGTAGTCTTGAAGGCGGGGCTTCCAAGATTCCATTTTGCACTATATTCGACTAGGTTTGGCCACACTACTGCGTATGGACATCAAATCAAAGTACATTCAACAAATACGCACATGGAAATGTAGAACGGATACATGCAGTAAGCGACGTGAGCTAGACCTCTACTTCGTAGTCAGCAAATAGAATTGTGAATATTGTTATCAAGTTGAAAGATTTGGAGAGATATAATCGAAAAAGTACTTGGAAACTCGGACTCGATGGTGATTGACCAATCTCGTTCAGTAGGATGCGATACTTATCCAATTACTGAACAAGATCGAGTCGGCAAATCCAAGTTGCTGAGGTCCTTTGGCCCGTGAACAAGTACATCGCTATTTGTACTGGACTTGCGAATATGCGGCCGGTATGGGCCTGTAGAAATAGATTCCCAACAGAAGAAATAGCAGCATGGAGGCATACTTCTTCTGTCACAATGAGAAGTAGGGTTCAATGACACAGCGGGCAATGCAGGAACGACTCGTTCCCGCATTATCTACCTCTATTCGAATGACATCCTCGTAGTCCTCATCTGTGCTCTCTTGCTCCGCAACTTTTCGCGAGTTTCTTCCCATGAATCACAGGAAATATCTGTCCTTTTCGAGGAATTTGCAAAGTATCTGGGTTGTGAACTATCATCAAGATAGTTTGCACCCATAAACTCGACGAGCGTTTGTAACTCTTCGCAACCCCAGGTGAGGGTGTCGTTACGCCACTGGGGAGGTACTGAACTATGATTGACGCCAATGCCACTAGGACTCGGGAGCGAATATTTCAAACCGGCGAGAGCTTGTGTCGCTTTGGGAGGCAACATTGGCAGAATTCGGTACATCGTCATAGTTCGCATCATGTTGGGAATGAGCTGCTCGATTTATGCAGGCAGCAGGGGTTGCTCGTGGCAACATCCCATGCGGGGAAATAACGTGCTTGCGATGAGAGTTTGATGAACGCCAGCAAGTTTGGCCTTCTCTCAGAAATGGAGATCGAAGAAAGGGGATACTCGTTGGATTTCATTGATAATTTCGCGTGTATGGCCCTGTAGCCACCGGCGCGGTCATCGCTCGTTGATTCTCATGTCAAGCTTAGATACTATCTCCCCTAGAGAGACCATCGACGAATGATTATGATTGTTCCTGAAAGAGGAATCACAAACGGCAAGAACTCACTCAATTGGTAAGGGATTATTCCTAGCAGTTGAGCAGTGAAAGCAGAATTGCTAGAAGAATAGTCTGGCTAAGTTAAATAATTTCAAACTGGACAAGAACCCAACAGCGAGAGTGAGAAGGAAATGCTTGAATGTGATAAAGACAAGATAGTGATGAGGGATAAGGCCATACTAGTAAGCATGCCTGTCGCCCAAGTTCAGTTTATAGGGGAGGGAGTAGGGACTCAGAGGGACTCGGCTTAGTTCCGTATCATCTGGGCCAATCTCGAGATAGAGTTATCGTCAATGGTTTGTTTCCATTGGACTATCAGATAACTAACACAGCGCAACCTGTGAAAGAATAATGTAGAAATGTACCTGCCCGAATGATTATTCTGATGAAAGAATCGGCGGCTTACACCCCGTCCTGGAAAACTCCCTGATTTGCAGGTAGACGCGACTAGAAAACGTGCACCCAAGGGCCGCATACCGTTTACCATGTAACACAACTTCCCTAGTCTCCCCTAACGAGACTTATGGAAGGGCGGTCGTTCAAGGTCCAAGCAGTAAAGTGACTTCCTACCGAATGTAAACAGAATCAGTAGCCTTCCCTATGATACTCACATTGCAGCGCGCGCAATTCTCTGCCTGATTTCTCAATTGCATTTTTCAAGGTACCAACTGGTAGCCCATTCATCAACATACCGAAGAGGGCGAGCAGTTTGGGAGAAAAGCGGATTTGGAGATACTGGGGCCAAGCGACGAGTACCGCTTTTCGCAATTCTAACTCTTCTCAGGGCTGTGTAGGGCAGACGACAGACAGTGTCTGTCGCATATATTCATAACAAATGAGTTGGACTGGGCGCTGCAAGGGACCCGCGGAGAAACTTCCCATCAGTGCATGATTCAAGTTGTTTCCAATACGTTTCCAGCGCGAAAGAGGCATGACACCGCAAGTTATTCTTGATTGCGTTTTAGGTTTTGGAAAATGCGGAGTGCGTGCGCTTTAGATTCTCTGGGTAGAGAAATTCCGGGCTGCTTCAACAGGAATCGACACGCCTTCCTGAGCTAGGAGTTTTGCGTTTAAATTATAGAACTTACAAGGAACGACTGTTGCATTTTTGTGACCTTTTGTCACTTGTGACATGCTGATATTCTGTGACAAACCATAAGCCCCTAAAGGACCTGCTGTAATTTGTGCGCGCTATACCAGTAAGTAGATCGTTCGCCTTTCATATACCATATTATTTATTGAACATTCAAATGCCCTCGGACTCGGACTCCGATTATGTAGATGTCGTGCGAGTGCCAGGGGAGCGACTTCCAGTGAACGGAAACATGGATTTTGACCATCCTTCAACATTCAATCACAGGAGTGTCCCACAATTGGATGCAGCATTTTCTTTCACAGGCACTAGATACGTCATTTTCAACAACGAGCGTCCTGGCCCCATTGCTGGGCCAAGAAATATTCTCGATGACTGCGTCGAACAAGAATTGATTTGTAGACACCATTCTTCAGTTTCAGACGACTATCCTTATACTTATTTCTTCTGTCGCGAAGAAGCTGCCCTCATCCAGCTTGGCTCGTCGCCCGCAGGAGATTTTTTGATTGAATCTCCGGAGAGCACTGACAAGTGCTGGCCGACTCTTCCTTGGAGATATTCCTATCGAGCAGACGCTGTGTTGCGGATTCCAGACAACGAATCTAAGGCGTACTTTTTCCTCGGAACACTCCATACATGCACTTCTTGATACTTGCTCTGTAACCGGGGTGCCGTAATTGTTCATGATTGGGCTGCCCTTCGCAAAGTTGGCCTTGACAATCCTATCGAGGCTATTTTACCTCATCCTGATGATTGGGATAAGGCTTATTTCTTCGTGAAGGAATATTATTTCATTCTCAATGTTAGGGGTGGTCCAGCGAAAAGCCTTCTCGTGGATCGTCGATCAATTCTTGACACTCACACTCCTCGATTCCGGCCTCTACTTGCAGTGAGTACATAATAGATCCGCTTCTAGGCTCGCCTAGCTGAAGCTTAAACATGTCTTCAGTCAGTCATTAGAGGGAATCAAACATGTCGATTCTCGCAACCGATTCTGAGTACGATTTTCGGCTCGATTCTTTGACCTGAATCGACGTCAACTTTGAACACCCCCGATTCTACTCGCAACTTCGCCTCTGAATCATGCACGATTCTCGCTCATAGCACCTGCTTTGTCAGTGATCTCAGTCAGCATCTGAAAAGTAAGTTCTTCAGTCCATCTGTAGTTGGGCATTGTCGGATACTAATAGTAACAGAACAATAGGCCATGCACTATGATCTTCCCGACCCTTTGATCCTCTCTTGCCTGTTTTGGTGGGCTGCTTCTTAGCTTTCGCATCAGCGGGTTATAACAGCAGTAGGCCCTTTGAGTCATAGTGTAGGGGACAGTGTATTTCTTTGTGATATGTTTTGAATGGATATTTCGCAATTTTAATTCGCATGGAAATTACAAAATTGGACATGGCAACACGATGTTGATGAATCGATGATGAAACGAATCGTTGAAGCGGCTCTGGAGCCGCTTCAACGATTCTTGTCGATTCTCGATTCTACCCGATTCTGTCATCTAAAAATCGACAACAGAATCGACAACAGAATCGGTGTGAGAATCGACATGTTTGATTCCCTCTATTGTAACCTATTCAAGTCTTCGTTGGGTCGGAGTTTCGCACCTCCAAACGTTTTGTCAATCTGATTCTTATAACACAACGGTGTATTCTCAACATTAAGAATAATCCAAAACCCACTGGCGTCTGGACAAAGTACCTGCATGTACGAGCTTAAACCACCGTGCTTATAGGTTGTGGGTGTTTGCCTAATACTAAGCAATGAGTCGCGGATGTCTCTAGACTTAAAACATTGGGTGTAAGGATCGTGGCGTTCTTGGCTCTGGTACCTTCCGCCGGCAGAGCCTCGGAACAATTGAAATCATTAATGTTGGCAAGATATTGCGGCGCGAGCCTCATCCAGCCTTGTACCAATCCTGAGCACCAATGGATTGGTGTGAGCGTCAGGGCCGTAGCCTGAGAGACTCGGAGATAGTGTTGTTGGCAAAACCGGTTTTGCCGGTTTTTGGCAGAACTCACGCGAAAGGGGGGTGGCAGAACCTGGCAGAACTCCAGGGTATCCGAGACTCGCAGAGATGTAATTTAGATCTATGATTATAAAATTTGAATCCAAGAGAACATGAAAACCGACGTCCTTAAAGTAAGATGGTGCAAACTGGAGGGCGACCCCTTCAAGTTGCATCACTGATTGACGAAAATTTCGAGTGCCTGGAACGAGTTGACAACAACTTGAATCGCTACTACTGGAAATGCAAACATTGTGGTGACACTAATAACTCATCAGGTGCTCGAATCCAGGGTCATGACAACAACCTACCGAACCATCTTTGAGTTATCAGGCGCTGCACCAATGTAACTACTCCTCTGCGCCAAGCAGCGCGCCTGTTTGTTAACCTTCCAATCAATTCCGAAATCCACCCACTCAAGGTCTTGTCTGTGACAATCCTCTCAATTGTAGGGCATGCAGGCGAAGTAGAGCGCACATTCTCTGATCTCGGCACAACACAATCAGCGCGACGGTGTAATCTCTCAGTTGACACATTTGAAACACTCGGCAAAATTCGTGCAAACGTTCGACACCACAGCGCCATGAAAGCCGCGGAGGCTGGGAAGCCCACCTGCCGTCGACATGCTCACATGCACACTCATGAAGAGGTTGGCATTGCTGTCGAGACTGCACAGGATCTTGAAGCATCCTTCGCGTGGGCACCTCCACTCTCGACTGAACCTCGCGATGCAGATGACTTAGCTTGCTGGTCTAGAGAGTATCTCGCCTGATGATATTGCTGCTGAATTTTCAGCTCTCGAGGAGTTGAAAAGGACTGAAGAAGTTCACAATGTTAACGAAGTTGAAGTGCTCGAGGGAAATGCTTTTGATTTTGACGAGTTGGATCGCGTCGAACGAGGAATAATACCACAGGTTATTCTAGATGAGGTTGAGGTGGTTAATCACAATGGCGAGAGTGGCGGATGGGACGAGGCAACATTGATGTCATCGTTAGGAATGTCGTATACATAGTCTACAAGCGCCTAGAGTTTTGCCAGTTTTGCCGGTTATAACCGGCAGAACTAAATCGAATTAGTTCTGCCCCCCACACTACTCGGAGATCAACAAAAACATGTGAATAGATAGTACTTATGTATCATAATCATATTCCGAACCGCCATCTAGTACACAAGTAATACGTCACAATTAAAAGACTCTGCGTGAATCGCGCGAAAGCCTATCAAGAGAACTGCCAAACAAAATTATCGATATCGTATTGGCCCTTGGCGACATATATTTATCTGGGCACTTTGACTCTACAACATTTAACGCACGTGCATGAAATTCAGGGAGTTGAGGTTAGCTCTTCCGAAACCCTTCTTGGGACAACCACTGGCATCATGGTCTGACCAGCTACCACCTTGTTGCAGTCCCCGTTCTCGAGTTTGAACAATAAACGACCATTAGTATGAAGGTCAGGCTCCCCATACAACTTTTTTGCCGATCTGAGCTTTTACCGACGCTGCGATCTACAGTTCGGCAAACAAATCCAGGCAGAACAGGTCCCTGGATGGTCTGCATACTATCTGGACTACAAATTTCTCAAGAAGATCATTTCGTCCCTTACTGCTAATCGACCTGCGTCCGAAGCTGCTGCATTAGCCCTTGGTGTCCGCCCAGCCGATATCTTAAAACCTATTTCACAGAATAGAACCCCAGCAATCCGAGTCCCAGTATCAGCCCAACCAGATACAAATCTTGTCGAGCCGATAACGCAAGATGAGCCGGAGGAACCACCTATATTGTCTGCTCTTCAACAGGACGACGATCGTGGTTCTGACTTCCAGGCGCACAAAGCCGCTTTCTTCTTCAAGTTAGAGCGTGAACTGGAGAAGGTGTGTCTGTTACCAAAGTGTCTATTACATGAGGCTTAATGCCATCGGGTCATCCAAGATCAATACATTCTACCTGCAGAAAGAAGCAGAGCTGAAGCTCCGGTTGGAGACCCTGCTCTCCAAGAGGCGTGCCGCAGCAATGCGCGGGCTCCCTGATACGTCCGAGGAAACGACTGTGAACCATGTCGAGTGGAGTGCTGTCGAGGAGGGCTTCCGTCTCCTTGAAAGAGATCTTGGAAAACTCCAGGTACTTCAATGATCACACGAGTTATGTGTAACCCGAACTAACTCCTTTCAGCAATTTATCGAAATGAACGCAACAGGATTCAGGAAGATTTTGAAGAAATGGGATAAGAGGTCACGGTCAACAACGAAGGAGCTCTACCTCACCAGGCAGGTTGAGGTCCAACCAGTGTTCAATAGGCAGGCGAGTGACGTAATCGCTTGGTTTGAAGTGTCCTGATGTATTTTGACAGCTCATATCAGAGCTGTCTGATACCGTAGCATCCTGCCTCCTGGATATCACGAACCTATCTGTTAGCTTGAAGGTTGAAGGTCCGGCTGCCCATGATGTCGTGAGCTTCATCGAGAAAAATATGTACGCAGGACCGTTCCGCGATTTTGAACATGATCTACGAAGAGCCGTGGAGAACTCGGATGAAGCCTCTATCAAGGATCTTGTTCACCACTCGGATCTTCTTGGTATACAGAATGGAGGTAGAATCAATGTCACCCGCGTGCTGTGGAGGGTTATCGTCGATGCACCACCTGAGTTAGCGGATCTAGTACTCGCTAGCATCACGGTCCCGTTCGACTTCGACTTCGTTGACGATATTAATGGACGAACGTGCATCCACGAAGCAGCTGCCGCGGGGGCTCTTCGCCTCGTCAATATGTGCTTGGAGAAGTCATCACAGCCAGAGAAGCTTGATGTTTATGGTCGGTCTGCCATACATTATGCGGCGATGCATGGGTATGCGCATGTCTGCAAGCGGCTTTTGGAAGCTTCCCTACCTCCACACGTTCTCGATGTAGACAATTGCAGCCCTCTGGTCTATGCCACCTTGCGGGGAAGTCCGGAATGTGTACAAGTGCTGTTGTGCGACCAGTGCATCTCGCCATCATTCACTGCGCCGAACGACAATCTAATTCCTTTGGCTTTGGCCAGTGAGAATGGACATTTGGAAATCGTGTCTCTTCTTCTGAAAAGAGGGGCACGTTGCATGCCAAATAGCAATGGCGAATATCCTATACATCTTGCCGCACGGGACGGTCATGCTGAGGTTGTCAAGCTTCTTCTGGGCCATGGAGGTTGCGATACTCCAGACAGGTACCACGAGTGGACGCCCCTCTTTCACGCCGCGCGCCAGGGTCGCGCATCTTGCCTTCGAATTCTTCTGGAGGCTGGTGTTCGGATGGACTTGACTGATGAAATAGGACATCAGGCGGTTCATTATGCGGCCTGGTATGGACATCGAGAATCTGTAGAAATCCTCATCGAAGCTGCGGCCAAGGTACCCCACGCCACGGAAATCGTTAGTCTCGGCCCCAAGTCTTCCCTAGATAAGGCAGAAATGCAAGTGGATTCCGAGTTTGATCAGATTCCTTCGTTATCACTTCCTCCCCCGATCATGCCGCATCGCGTATACGGGCATAATTATCTGGACAGGAACTATCTCGTCGAAGTTACCGTCAATAATAACCTTTTCCAAGGCGCGGGTGTAACACTCCATCCTCGTCTGACCAGCTCTATCATTGCGCCCAATTTGTCACTTCCATCTTCAAAGCCCCTGAAAATGGTAATTACCGCTGGTCCTGGCGTCAATGCTGCTCCGTACAGTATTCTATTACCTCAAATGGAAGATTGCGATGTGTTTGTCTTCCAATCCCCGTCGTTGAAAGGGTTGAGCTTGGAGTTTTCGATATACCCCAGTTTCGGAACCAAAACGATTGGGCGTGCGATTGCTCATCCATCAGTTTTCCAAGGCCTTGATGGCGTATCAGATGTAACGCTTCCCATCCTTGACACTCGTCTTCATAGTATCGGAGAAGTAGGGTTAACTTAGCCATCACCATACCAGACGCTCAGTTGACCATCCATTTCAGGTTACTGTCTCAATCAATATCATAACACCATTTCAAGGTGTTACGTTGGAAGTGGGCGGAGCGGTGGAAACCTACTGGAAATCAATGGCAATACCCAGAGGCACACCTTCCAATTCGCAGACATCACTGCCGTGGCAGCAATCTCCCAACTCACTGGATTCAACATATACGTCACCCTCCATACATTCCAATGCCCCCTCCCCGTTGCACACATTAACCTTATCATCATTGATCGGGAATCACGTGCATATCACCGTGCAAGTCACGCGCGACCTGCATTCTGTAATATTCGGCGACTATCTTCTACCTGAGACCTCTTTTGACCTTGGCGTTTCCGATGTCAATCTGGAACAGTTCCAGGCTTTGGCAAGTCGATTGGAGCGCGATAATAAGTCGCTTAAAACAGCAGTATCTGCGCAAGAATGGTCCAGAATGCTGTCACACAGTATGATTACTCTTGCGGATGTTATGCAGGTTTGGGCTTAATCTTGTGATGCTCGATCGTCTCTTTGAAGTAATTTGCTTTGCAGGTACTTCCTACGCAACTCGGCCTTACGTTAGAGTTGGCTCTGCCTGCCAAGCGTCGAGACCGTGGTTCCATCAGATGCCAAGTGGACCTGAATGAAGCTGTTGATAGCGTGCTGCGCACAATTCGGCAGACTTCTTCGGCTTTAGGTGGAGCGTTCGCTCGTCGCCGAATTGCATTCACTTCATTTTCGCCACAAGTCTGTGTAGCACTGAATTGGAAACAACCAAATTGTCAGTGCTTCCCCGACTCATATTATGGAGCCAGATCTTATCTTATTGTATGACCAGATCCGGTGTTTTTTTCATCTCAATGCGGCCAAATTGACCAGGGGCATCGAGCGTCGACGAGATACCGTGCTGATGATATAAGTCCCGGATGTCATTATTGGTCATCTAGCGTAGCTGCTGGCGTCGACTTTGCAAAGCGAAATAACCTTTTGGGTGTTTTCTTCGATCCGAAATTATTGGTGAGATACCAACCACGTGGCGCCATAACTTCTCTCACCCCCTGATGTAATTCAAGTTGCAGGTCCCTTCACTGATTCAAGGAATCAGGGACGCTGGCCTTGTAGTTGGCTTCTGCGACAGTCCACTGGCCATCGCTGAGCCACTGGAAGGTAAAAATGTGGACGCATACATTCGTGATGGCATCGTAGTATACATGGACCATTCTACGAGCGATCAGTTTTGATGCACAGCTATGTCTAAGGTACATTAACAGCTCCACATGTGTAAGTAAAATCATGAGTGTTGTTTGAAATTGCAGTCTATGAAGTATGCAAAATAGTTCATCTGGAAAAATGAATGGGTGAGAGCGAAGGGAAGAACATCTGCCGCTTTAAACGGATGCTTTATATAGTGTGGCGTATGAACCACCCTTTTTCAATAGATCATTATGACTGCCGAACTCAGTTATTGACTGCACATGAAGGGCGTTAGGCCGTGAGACTCCCCACGCGGTGATTGACTTACCCCGTTTTCCATCATTGCAATTTTATCCGCCCGACGGGCAGTTGACAAACGATGAGTGATGAATATCACTGTTTTGATTCTTTCGCCTTGGGGGGAGCGAGAAACCTTGTCGATAGTGTCAAAAATTTTGTTCTGAGCACAACCGTCCAATGATGATGTCTACCTCGGAAATGAGATGTAATCAGTGTGGCAGGTATGTAACACACTCACAGGTTCATCGAACAGTAAAAGATCAACTTCCGGCCGATCTGCGCGCATGAATGCCCGAGAAATGGCTATTCTCTGCCACTGATAATATACTTAGTTCAAGATCCTATGCCTGTATGGCAATAGGCGAACTTACCTCACCACCAGACAAACCATGCTGCAACCGTGCGGACATACCATGACATGAACCTGACGCTGATGACCACGGCGTGAACTCAAAACCCGAGGCATCTAGCTTGGTTTTCATCCCGTTTGGTAATGCACCCACAAATCCATCTGAACCACCGAGACGCATGGCGTGCTCGATGGCCGTGGGTGACTGCAAATTTTGAACATAGCCCAATCCAACGTTTTCTCTGACGGTCGAGCTGTATTTAGAGAACCCCTGGAAGACGGTGGTGACATGACGGTGGTAATCGCTCGGAGTTAACCGACGGATGTCCACACCGTTGACAAGGAGATCACCTTGGTCGAAATCTATAATTCGCAGCAGCACTTTGGCAAGAGTGGACTTTCCTGGACATCTTCTAATGAGTATATGGACATGAATGAAATTTCTGGCGGAACTTGCCTGAACCATTGTACCCGACTATTGCAAGACTTTCACCGGCTTCTAGACTAAACGTAACGTCTTTCAGTGATGGCTCCTTGCTTCCTGGATATGTATATGATAGATGTCTGTCGCGGAAATAGAAGGTAAATGCACTTGAAAGGACAGATTGTTTTAAATACCTCGCTTCAATCTTCATGCCATTAGTTATACTAGGATACATTTCCGCGTCTTCGCTCAGAGGTGTCAGTCGAGGTTCAATGTTCATGGCGGCGCAAAAGGCACCCATGAAAAATATTCCTTGAAATGCCATGCGAACTGTATTGACCAGGTTTCCAACAGTATAAACCACCGACTGGATTGAGCTCCGATACAGTGCCAATGATCCCAGTGACGCAGATGAGGACTGAAACATCAGGAACATTGGAATCTACGAAAAATTGACACTTCCTGTTGACCGTCGAAAGAGTGGCAACTCACATTCTGAAGCGCGAACAGCAGATCGGATACATTTATCTGGTGTAGTATTTGTGACAATGAAGGTTGATTAAGTGGTGACAAATGCTCGTCATACATCATCGCCTTGCGAGCATTTGCCCAGGAATGCAGTATCCATGGTCCGAGCCCAAAGAGCAGGACTTCCGGTCGATGAGTGTCATTGTAGGCCAAATTTCGGAGCTTCTCCTGACGTTCCGCGGTACGAGCCTCCTTGCTTGTATAAGTCGAGTCGGGATGTGAAGAAGCGATTCCACAACGGGCCAAGAAAAGGGGGAATAGGGCGGAAAGAATAGATAGCAATAAAGCACCCATGTGTGTAGAGCCACCCGTTAAGGTCAACAACACCCAAAGATACGATGCAAGCTCGGATATCTGCGCTAGAATTTGAACAAAGTCGAACGGCGAAAGTAGCCCAAACCCGCCCATGCCGTTAAATGACCTAACGAATAGATCGGACTCTTGCAGACAGTCCCTCACGACGGGATCCGCGAGTGTCGGGATGTCGAGCCTCAGACGTTGTGCAATCTGCTGATATTCCACGAAAAAGCGCACCGAATCATGAACTACGGTTTCATTTGCAGAACTATTTTTAACTGTGAAAATGATTCCGCAGTCTGAAAATGTGAACGTACGCAAAGGAGTCGACCGCAGTTTCGACCGCTCTTCGGCATATTTCAGCGATCAGCAGCTTCAGTAGGCGTGACCAAGTGAAGCAACCAGACGAGATCAGATTTTGCAACTTTGGGACCAAGTTAGAGACACGAAAGAAACATGTAAGGTTCACCAACCTCATCAACAATCATTGCTTGTGAATAGCCCCTGAACGCAGGAAACATGCCCCGAACCACGTTTATGATCATCATGAGTGTGGTGCGAACCGGATGCAGACTCCAAAGGACTCTAAACAAGTCAAACACGCAACCACGAGTGATTGTGACGGCTAATCGGATGTTTTCCTCGTTGATGGGGCGATGTGCGCCGGGCATGAGGTATGATCCTCTACGGCGAGGTATGACACGAGAGGCTAGCCATGCCTTTTGGATGCAGCGGCATGACGTTAAAGGCATTTGCTTTTGGTTGGGGCGTACACGATTGTCATTGTTGAATTGTGAAGGGGAGCATAGGCCGCGAGGCTTCAACCCTCGACACATTCTCGGTGAATACGAACGGTGAGCCACGAAACCATTCCGGAAACAGCGTCCGGTTTATGAAGAGTCCCGGGTCACAGCCTTTCGGTGGTTCACGTCAAAGCTTTTTGTTCCGCTACAAACAGTATGTCGTCTTACTACTTTGATGAGATCCGAGGTGATATTTCACCAGCGGTGCAGGACGAGTTTGGCAGACCTGTCCCGGGACATAAAACTAGTGAGAAGACACATCTTGGGGTTTATGAAACTTTAGAACGATTTAGGAATGAAAGAGGGTGGCATAAATCATTGCGTGAGCATTCAGGAGGGCGAATAAGAATTCTTACACGACAATAAAGGAATGTGACAGAACGCGAGTGAGTGTCAGGAACATCCTGGAACTTCATCCCCAACCTACTTACTAGTAACGGCAACTTGGAGGAGTATGGGACGCCTCCGGTTGTGAAACGCGGGTTGCTTGAGCTATCAAGACATATATCCTTTCAAATAGCCGTTTTTGGGTGACAACGGAAGGGCCCCGGCTTCTCCGACACACCGCCCGAAAACCCGTGGCACTGCCAGTGATAGTACGACGAAGATAGTACGTCATGTACTAGACTCCAGAGTCTCCCGATGTCGGACGGTCACCGTATCAGAGGTAGGTTTGACCATTCATAAATTCATAGACCAAATACATAAATTGATGTGACTACGAGAGGCCGCTGGGATGTTACTCGAGATTAAAGAGTCTAGACATGCGGTCAACGGTAACTATAATGAATTTGCCAAGTATCCACTCATATGAAATCGAACACGTACGTCTTCGACTATTGATTCTTGGAAATGATTCTTCAATTTCTCATGCATAGGCAACGTGGCGAACTGAACGCGCCCAGCCCACTGTTACAACTCCCGCTCCAGTTTGCATGGACTGCAGCTACTACCATCATGATCATCTCTGGGGGAACCACAACGTCAGTTGTGCCACGTCTTGATATCACTATACGTGTTAATTTATCTCAGTAACAATCTCCTGGGCATCGCAAGACGCAATACACATCCACTAGCGTGATGTTATCAACTTATCATGCAGTGCTCTCAGGCCTGCTATATTGGTTGCGCGCCTGCACAAAGCAAGACTTATTGGTAGCGGTCTGATCAAAGGTACCCGACATGACAGTGTATTCGTTGCTTTTTCTTCTTTGACCAGCATCATATCCAGGTGATTTACTTTCTTTCTCTATCCTCTCTATGTTTGCTTGTCACTCTCTTACTGGCGTAGTACCTAGACAGGCCTGCCGATGCGATCTTTCGGGACCATTCGTTGATCTGCGACGACAATTTCTCGCACTGCAACCGTCCAGGAGCTTCCCACCTGTATGTCAATATAAAATTAGAAGGAACGACTATCTTTCTTCGTCTATCAAGGGCTCTAGGGAAGACTAACATAAAATCAACGTTTTACGGGCTTATATCGAGAACAAAAGCTCCCTTTCAAAAGTCCACGGCGGCCTGGTTTGCTGAAGTGCCATATTGGGTTTTATTTTCTCTGGACGCATCTCTGAAGAGTCGTAGGTGCCCTGCTACCCTTCCGAAGTATTTCGGCTGCCAAATGTTGACAAGAACAAGGCACGTGTATTACCTCACTTACAGCAGAAGTCAAGACCTCCACCACCGCTCGGTAAGGTATTTTCTCCCCGTATATAAGGTTACAGCTACTTTCATATCAAAAGACCAGATTTCATTGTTTCGTCTTACCACTAGTCTATTTACTTGTGGAGCTGGACAAACAACTGTTCAGGGCCCCGCCCTTTACGATACTGTTCGGGCGGAACAAGGGCGGAATACCCTTAGAATGGCGAGGGACTCGGGAGTCCGCTGCCAGTTCTGACAACGCCCCTGAGCTCAGCTCACGACTGTCGCACATTTTTTGTAGATTATAATCACAACAAGCTTTCACTGTACACAAACCACAGACCAAATACCTATTTCTCCGATGATTTACCGGACTACTTACACTCAAGGGACACTTGAGGGTGGCAGTCTACTGTGTAATGCTTAGTAAACCGGAAACATGCGCAAAACTTTCAAACGCAGCCCAACCTTATCCACCCAACCTCGGCTGGAACAAAACATTTAACAAATGCCAGCCAATAAAACTCGAGGGGATGAATAATGTTTAGGAAGAGATTAGAGGTTTCGGCACTGCACGTTTAGTTCACACTCCACCGGTGGCTGGCATCTGTTTACAGATGTTTTGTTCCAGCCGCTGCTGGAGAGGTTGTGGCCTGACCTCAGGCTCAGGCTGTAACCGAAAGTTTAAATCAACGGAGAAATATGTAGTGCTTAGTTATATTTGGCTGTCGGTTCTCTTACGCCATATCAAGGTATCGTAATAAGCGGGGCCCTTTTGTTTGTCCAGCTCTAGTGTCACTGGTAAGACAAATCCGGCCTATCGATATGAAAGTACCTGTAAACACTTTGCTATCGCGCGTTTGCTAACCCCCACTGTACCCTCAACCCTGCAGTCTTCCTCCGCCTACCACACCTAGCCTCCGATAATCAATTCGCGCCACGTGCCTGGCCTAACCGCAACCGCACCAAGCCCCTCACCAGTACCCCCCACACACGCCGAGTGTGACCTCCGGAGGTCCAACCTCCCACCACTTCCTGCTTTCGCTCAGTCACCAGGAAAATGTCGGAGTGTTTATTTAGCTTTTTTCTATTTAGTAGATCACATAAGATGGAAGGTGATTTAAGAAAAAGCAAGTAAAGCAAACACAACGTTATGGAGACATGAGAAATTTGTATTTCCGAACAAATTACCCAGGGGACATGTAGACTCCATGTTCTAAGCTTGTCCAACTTTGACGAAGCATCTCGAAACGGGCAATACGTCGAAGACATCATTGCTGTTCGCGAGTGCGAGAGGTGTCCTGTAGTAGTTGCGAGGAGAATATTCGTTGTTTTTTAATCTGGAAAGCCAGCTCGGGGGTGTGGCAGAGGATGGCGGCAGTAGCGGCACAGGCTCGTGTTTTAGAATACCTGGCGATGATGCCGAAAAGATACGAGCAGTACAATTCTCCATACCTGCAGGCCTGGGAGATGCGGCTGAGGCCGAAAACATCGATAACTCCGTGACGGCGTGTCTGCCGGACACTGTTATCGGCGGCATAATGAGTTGTGCGGAGGGAAGGTGGGCTTTGGCGGAGGTCAGCAGTAGCTATACAAGGGCATAGGCGCCAAAAGCGCGCCTTCAATCACTGAACAAGGCAGCGAGAGTACTAGTGACGAACGAGTGGAGTTTGATGCGGCAATGAAACTTGAAGATGAGCATAGCGGGTATTGCCATTCCGGACAGGCAACTTAAGTAATGGGTAATGAACAACCCGAGTTGTAGGTTTAGGTGACCCATCGCCGTTGCTATTCATGTTCGCGTTGGCGAGCGCCAGAAAGTTGTCCCGTTCGTGCCTCCGCTGTTCCTATTACTCGCGATCGGGTAAGCCAGGGAAGTTTGCGGCTGATGAGGTTTTGGCATTACGCTGCACGTACCTGGGAGCCGAAGTACTTCGGAAGGGATGTAGCAGGGCACTCGGATCACTCGTTGGATCGTTTTGCAAACATGCCCGGAGTGCACTGAGTCGCTGACCACCCGACAGCCTCGGAAGCAAATGTGCATGCGTGTGTGACGGGGAGCAGCCGGGGTCCTGCCAGTGAGTCAGTGACAGCGCCCGCCAAATTTGCCGGACAGCGTTCACACTCACGAATCACCGGCAAGTTGGCAGCTGTACTGACAACGGCTCAGTCTTTCTCGCTACGCGATAAGGATTCACTTGTCTCTTTTTCTTTGCATTGAGCAGGTCTCTAAACACCCCCTGAATTCGGTTCAAATGACATCTCACGTCGAGCTCTTGTCAAACGGTTTACGAAAACTAGAACTTCAACAATCCGAATCGAATACTAGGTCAAATGACCAAGACGGGAACCCGCAGTCTGAGAGTGTTCCTTCATCAGCCAATGCATCACGTCTCAGTTGGTCTCAAACCCGAGAGGGTTATGGCTTTCGACCTGCTTCGGGTATCTCGACGCCTCTCACCCAGTTCCCTCGTACTGTCGAGGGAGGAAGCCCACTTCCTGACCCTCATGGTCTTGGGTGGCCCGGTACGTCTCAATGATACTCGAATGGCATCCCAATGATACTCATTTTGCTGACAGCGAAGTCCACTGTGTCTCGTTTAAATGAGACCACAACAGACCGCGCTGCGCGCGAGAAAATGATGGTCTCTGCGGTACGGACTATTCTTGAATGTATCGGAGAAGACCCCAACCGGGAAGGCTTGTTGAAGACGCCAGAGAGGTTTGCTCAGGCCATGATGTGGATGACTCGGGGATACGAGGAACGCTTGGCAGGTAAAATCCAGCTTATCTCTGCTCTAATCCCGTCCTCATTATTTCATTTCCGCCTTTCTAGATGTAATCAACGATGCAGTGTTTGCAGAGGATCACGATGAGATGGTTCTAGTCCGTGAAATCGATTTTTCCAGCCTTTGCGAACATCATTTGGTTCCTTTTACAGGAAAAGTATGTGGCCTCCGATATTACGCGTGCCACTGACATTCATAAATCATGCTCGGAATTCTCCATAGGTCGCTATCGCATACATCCCAAATCAGCTAGTGCTTGGGCTTTCCAAGCTTGCGCGCATTGCCGAAACTTTCAGTCGTCGTCTGCAGGTTCAAGAACGGTTAACTAAACAGATTGCTATCGCCGTTCAGGAGGCAATTAAGCCCCGCGGAGTCGCAGTCGTTATGGAAGCGACGTAAGTGTTTACGATGCCTGACGTTCTTACACTCAGTGTTTCGGTTCTACATAGCCATATGTGCATGACCATGCGTGGTGTACAGAAACCAGGTTCCATCACTGTCACTTCCTGCATGCTAGGCTGTTTCCGAACTCAGCAAAAGACTCGAGAGGAATTCCTTACCTTGATTAAAAAATGACCACAGCTATTTGCCACCTACCGCGATTCAACTCGGGATATTATCGATTCAACTCGGAGTCACTCGTTCACCACAGCTACATACCATCTAATAATCCATCACTTGTGTAGAGTGGAGCATCAGTCAAATTCATTTGTGTACTATGTAATGTAACGATATATACTGCAGAACTCAGATAGCAGGGTAAACTGGAGTGAAGGGACCTCGCGCTAACGTGTTGATCGAGACTTATCCCCAGCCTGTGGATCTATAGGCAAGGTCCTTTTGGCTAAACCGTGAGTCTGGAGGGCATGGGCATTGTACCGATTACGATTAATTCGTGGCCGCTTCGGAGGCTGTAACGAGAGTTCTCCTGCAGCGGAGATGGCGGCCTCGCCAACATCTTTATCGCGATCTTCGTTAGAGTGAGCCATGAATACGTTGAATCCAAGAGGATTGCATACCTGCTAGAGTTCGTTTTCTGTTGTCGCGGTCGTCGTCCTTATGCGGAACTTCAGAGCGGTACGGTGCTTGAGGAGTGCGGGGAGGCTCTTTGTCGCCAATGCGCGAACGTAAACTTGGAGCCACGTCCTGGCTCAGCCCGCCACTGGTGGAGGCCGGGAACGTGTGTGAGCCATGGTCACGCGGACCCTTCCAGTCCCCACCACTTCGGCTAGGAGGAATATCGGGTTTAGCTCTGGACGCATCCCCAGATGCCATCGCCCGTGGTGCAGAAGGTGTACTAGGAGGTAGATTTTTAGGACCCTCTGGTAATCGCTTCTCGCTAGGCTAAGGCCGTATCATGAGCAACATGACGATGGGAAGTACGAAAGCGACGTACTCGTTCAGATAGAGGGTGGCGTAGTTCAGCTTCAGGTGCTTCTCGCTCCCGACGCCGATCGGTTTCTCGAGGTCGATCGTGACTCTCCTTCTCTGACCTGCGGGTACGATCTTCACGATGTCCCTCCTTACGGGAGCTCCTCTTGGTATTACGGTCAGCCTGCCAAACGGTAAGCACTCGCGTGACAGTGAATATAGTGTGAGATTAGTACCTCGTCATCAATAGGACGTCTCCTCTTGCCGAGTGCGTCATCGCCCACTTGTGATCGGCTACTGTGCCTTGTGGGATCAGGACGAGTGGGTAAATTACGAGTGTCCAGGGAGGCAGAAGCTGCTGCGGAAGTAGGACCACGACCGGAAACCTCGCGATCTTTCCTCGAATCCCTGTCACGATCCTTCTCATCTCGGCGGTGACGGTCGCGATCACGGTCGCGATCCCTATCACGCTCTCTGTCTCGGTCACGACGATCACGATCTTTGTCCTTGTCTCTTTCTCTCTCCCTGTCTCTCTCCCTGTCCCGATCCCGCTCCTTCTCTCTATCTCTGTCGCGATCCCTTTCACCATGTCTGTCCCGGCGAGAGTCTCTGTCTCTTTCGCTCTCCCTGTCTCGATCACTGTCCCGGGTGGATGTTCGCTCTCGGGTGCCTCTATCACTTCGGAGGTGCGTGGCAGCGTCCTTACGCCCTGTAGGTGCACGAGGCTCCACCCGAGCCTCACGGTCAGATGGCCTGTCATCAGGACGATCACCATCGCCACTTCCACGGTCAGAACGTCGGCCACTACCGCGGCTCTCCATGCTGTGAGTTCTTGTACCAGGACGAGGTGGAGGAGAAGGAGTGCGGCGACGAGAAATTGGTGATGGGGCACCGGAGCCTGGTTGAGATCGCTTATCATCGGCCCGATCTGGTGGGCGATTGCCAATACTCTGTTTGGCAGTCTCGCGCAGCTCTTGCGCCGAGATCGTCTGGCTTGGAGCAGATGGTGGTGGCATAGCCTCACTTGGGGACGGCTGTGTCTGCTTCTCATCAGCTCTAGGGCGTGGTGAGTGCGGAGGTTCCCACAAATTTGGCGCAGAACCAGACAACGATGGCCGCTGAAGTTTGGGTGCATCCTTAGGATTGGCAGTCGGAGTAGACAGAGTAGACAGAAGGGCATTTTGGGAGGAACCTTGGTGGAGACGAGGGGTAGGGCGAAGAATGTGTTCGGAGAGTGGAGCTTGCGTTGATTTCAGTTCTTTCGGAGGCGCGTCAATATCCATCGCTTCGGACTTCGCAACACCCTTGGCATCACCATCAGGAGCTGGCGATTCGCTATCCTTCTCAGGTCGTACTCGCCTCACTTTCTCTGGCCGTGGAATACTATACAGGTGATGAGTGACTAGTACAACAAAATGAAGATCTGTACATGCCTGTCGATGGCTAACCTGGTGGACGTTGCTGGTGTGGAGGGTCGATCGACGATAGCTTGTGAGACCGCTCCATTGGCACGAAGTGAGTTGAGAGGGACCGGAGTGCTAACTCGATCTGCCGCAGGCGTTGCAGCACCGTTAGGGGGAGCCGGGGTGCGAGTTTGCCTCTCAGGAAGATTACTTGTCGAATTTGCTGGCTTCGGCGACATGGGATCTCCATTAGACTGTGTAGAAAGAACGTTAGAAAAGGTTCTTCTCTGCAACAGGTGAATGGTACCTTGCTTGCAATGACTTTTGGCACTGCCCAAAACGACTCTCGTTTTTTCAGACTCGCGGAATAACTGTTAACCATGAGTATTGTTCCAGACAGCTAAAGAAACAGGCTTACGCTCGGCCTAGAATCTTGAGGTCACCGCGTTCTTCCTTTTCCAGGAACTTCTCCATTATGGTGTCGATGGCAGGTCCAGCGTCGCCCACTGCAGCAAGGGGGAAAACGGGAAGGATCTCTTTCAACACAATGATAGCGTTGTAGACGTGCATGAATTCCGTTGTCTCAATGCAGCTCAAAAGACTCTGTGTAAAAGGATAAATGTCAGCTTGATCACCAGAGGACTGCCAGAAACATACCCGTCCCAGTTTTCGATGCCATTTACGGAGAATCTGCTTGAACCCAGTCCATGACAGAAGGTCCTCGGAAGCAATACTGCCATGGTCTTTATTTGACCATCTATGCTGGAAACCCGGAAGCAGAATAGTCTTTCCACCAACTTTTGTGCGATTCTCCATCAAAAAGAGTTGCTCATCTTGAGCCCACTTCCAGAGATCTGTCAATATCCCCAGTAAAAAGCGCCCTGGCAACTACAGTTACAGATAGCCATGGATATAAAATATAGATGACTTACCATAGTTCTTGGCTTCGTATTCGCTGCAGGAAAAGACAACAGCTTTCACATGGTCCCCAAGCAACTAACAACACTGCTAAGTATGCAGTAGATCACAAAGCGAAAAGAACATGCCTTGTCGTATACCACTAGAGTAGGGAACCCTGGAGTCCCTTGTGTGTGCATAACTTTGATGAATTGTGCACAAAAGTCTGAATCCATGGGCGATAGTAGGCATCGCGGTTGAATGCAATGCTCGATAATCGCAGAAGCCAGGACCGATGAGCGATGTTCGGCTAGAATGATGTCAAGAATTGAAATAGATGTTACAGAAGGAATCTTACTGTGGGAGAACCAATGATGCTTCTCTCGGGCAAGTCGTTTCAATCGTGAACACTCTCGAGGCAGTTTGTTCTTTGAACTCCTGAGCAAGAGTGTTCACAAAAGCATTGTATCTGTCTCGTTTAGCCCGATGAGAGCCCGCTGACAGCCTTTTCGTTCTGTCCGCAGAACGGTCAGCCGCTATGTACTTGGAGTCTTCTTGACGGCTGAGTGTCCGTAAAGCAGCACACTCCTCATCATACCGGGCTGCCGGAGGCGCCAGATCATACATGGAAAGTTGCCAGAAAGTTAGGTAAAAACCAGGCCTGTGTAAAGTCTTGAATATCGCAGGTACCTCGTCAGAAGCATAACTTACCCAATGACATCAAGAGCACTGTTCTTGGCAATCTGCTTAACGTCGTCGAAAAGAGCTTCTAGATCCGGTATCCAGGGGCTCTGCCAAGAAAAGCTTGTAAACGTTGTTCTTCTTATTTCAAGTGTGGCTTACCTCGGACGGAGCTGGAGTCGCCGTAGTCACTTCGGTATCCATCACTGCATCTTCTGGTACACCGTCGGCTGACGACTTCTGATCACCAGTGTCTCGTGGAGTGTTGGCTCCGTTTACGCCAGTGGGTGAATCCACCCTAGGGGTAGCGGCGGAAGGCTCGCGCTTTGCCGCAGATAGACGTGCTTTCAACCTCTTTTCCGCTTCCTCATTGGCAAGTCGTTCCTTCTCCTGGGCAGCACTCTACAACAGTACTCAGTTGTTGTGTGTGGCAAAGACAATCATGTTTCTCACCAGTATCGTAGCATTCAGCATAGGTCGTATGATTTGCATGCAGATAGGAGGCGCTATCCCGTACAACTCCCCAAGATCTGCAAGGCTAGGTAGGATCCGCGTTGCATAGTCCTTGGGCGAGATTACAGCTGGCGAGGTAAGCAGATCCAGATATTGCAGCAGGACACCGTGAGTCTAAAGCAATGATGAGAGCGTATAACATATGACATGACCCAACTTACAGTATCAAACAAACTAGCGAGAGACTTCAAGTGAGCATCAGGAGCTTTGAAAACACAGGACTGCCTCTGCTGTGCCACTTGGATAAGGAGAGGTAGTGCTAAATTCGTCTCTAACATGGTCTTCCCGAGCCGTTGTGGGCCTTTGAGGACAGCGTCACCTGGGTCAAGGCGAGCGCCACGAGTCGTTGAGGCAACGGCTTCAATTCTCAGAGCAGGTCCTCCGGCCATCGCAGCGATTTGCGAGTCCGAAAGGCTCGGAAGAGGTTCGATGCCTGCCATCTTCCAAATCAGCTCCCGCAGTACGACAATCTCCGTTGTCTGGCCATTGTACAGCTGGTGAACCACGTATTTCAACAAGGGCGACAGGTCAGCGCTATAACGCCGGAAAAGCATGCCAGTAAAGGATGCCAGACCTAAAATAAATGCTAAGAACAGTAAAAAAAAGCAAAATATAACAAACTTTGGAGCCAGTCGGAAGTGTTGACTCCGTCATCCTTGACACGGTTCTTATTTGGATTTGATAGAGCCTCAAGGATGACATACACAAGCACATCAAATCCCATATTGGTGACATATCGCAATGCTTGTATAACGACATTGGCAAGATTGTCGTATGCCATGATCTGGTTGACGGCGTTCATGAAGAAGATACAGGGATTCGAATGAGCCAGTTTCGCCACTGTTCCAGATAGCGTCTCAATTGTATTATGCGATAGACGTCGCAAAATGCCTTTGCTTTCACGGTCAGCTTGCACTTGTCGGATGCGAAGTTCGGGATGAGACGTGTAGCTAGATTTCCACTCTCCGTATAGTCTCCATCTTGCAGTCGTCTCATACTGTCGAATGACATTCCAAATGTCGACAGTGCAAACTGCATTGCCTCGAATGAGAGGGAGCGCAGGAAGAAAGTACAACCGAAGAAGCTTGAACCAGAACTGTCGAACGGGATGGTTCGAGTCGGGTTCACCTGACGGTTTTCTGGAAATTGGATCCAAGGGAATCTATGATTGATCGAGTTAAGACCGGTTAGAAGAGCAAACGAATAACTTACAGTTGATAACAGCTGTGAGCGCCCCAACCTTGTGATTTTTGTAACAAACAAGGCGTCGCGCGATACGTGCAGCCCAATGAAACCCATCAAAGGCTCGATCACATTTACCATGTCGTCGAAGGAAGTGCAAAGCGGGATGCGCTGGGTCCAGTCGGGAAAGAAAAAGACGAAATCAACAGACGCAGTGCTGGGAGGAGTGGGAGCGATTAAGGATAGCTGATATTTACGAATTGGAACTGCCGGTATTCCAGTAGCGCTGAACCGTGTACGAGGTTGCGTGAAACTCGGATTGCGTTCTTTGAGGACGAATGTTGCATCATACAGAGGAGCAATGGAATACTTCAGAGTCCTCAGGATCAGGTCGGCCAACTCGGGGTGAGCGTCAACAAGCCAAGGAATCCTCGTCAGAATAGCGATCGCCGGGCGTAAGGCTCCTACAGAGAGAAGGCTGTTGACCAGCCCAGCGATTTGGTTAGGAGGTTTGGACTCGCCGGCGCTCTTCTTGACCTCCGTAGGTTCTACACGAGGTTGCGAGCTTGAGCTAGAAGATTCCAAAGGAGCTGCCATCGCGAGCTGACTAGTCTTAGCATCAGAAATGCGCTGCTGAACCTGGGCAAGATAATCTTTGTGATATGTTTCAATGTCCACATCCCTTGGAGTAAGCTGTTTCATTGTCAGGAGGTCAGCAGGCCTTTGACAGAAATTTGTCCTCACATGGGGGGTAAAGATCTTCTACGGTAATAAAACCCTCCCTGATCAAGATGGCAGCAGTTAAATAGAGGTTCCTCAGGGGCGGTTCATGGGTCTCTGAGGACTGTATGACGAGTGAATTGCAAGCAGCGATTCATCCCGAAAAGACTAACCTGGTAATGGGAGAATTTGAAACCAAGCACCTGTGCTAGCACTCGAGACTCTGTGCCACGATCATTTTCTGATAGTGGTGTCGACTGATCGCTAGCATTTGCTTCGGTGATCTGCAACACTTCGTCCAGGCTCTTAGCCCCAAACTCTTCGGTAACGGGATCGACGGCCATGCGGCTAGCAGTGGACATTGCAGGACGTCTATACAGTCCGGTCCATGGAGAAAATGAGAGCAACGCCAAGAAAAATGTGTAGTGGGTTGCCACGTTGACTGACAATACATCCAAGATGATGTCCAAGGCACGATTTGGGTCGAGGTCGAAATAGCCAATGAGGCTGATGACTTTTTTCCCAAACTTGGCGCGCACGGTCTTCGATAGAAGCATAGCTTTCCACCGGCCTAGCATCGGCATGTGAGTGTGCAGGACCCAAGGAACTCGTGAGCTCCACCGAAAGCTTGCTGTAACCTTCGGACTGTTCACGTAGAAGGTTAAACTTGTTCTGCTTATAGCTATGTGCACGAGAATCAGACGACATAAATGATTCAATGTTTACATTCGACTCACAAGAGCCCAGTGCGAGTTCGTATTTCTTTCCTATCAAACGCCATTCTATCCGAAAATAGACCGGCACTTGCAAGAAGAGTCAAGTCAAGGCGCTCTCGACATACGGCGAGATCAACGATGCCAGTGAACTATTTGTGGATAAATTCAGAATGTTGTAAAATTGTGTACTGGTACTTACCAGAAGTCTTTTGACGAGCTCGCTTAAGGTTTCCTTGTCTTGTTCGACAAAATGCTTCAGCAGAGCTGCCTTTCCTGCACCATCCGTAGTGTCTTTCTTGGGGGTGTCCTTTACTTGTTGGCCTCCACAGGCTTGCTCAGAGCCCACCAAAGCAGACTTCGCGTCTGCCAAGAACTCATCCAGCTGAGCATCTGTAGCCCATAGAACATCCACAAGAATCTCTCCGAATACAATATTTTGTACGGGTGGACCTGCACGTGCACAGGAGGAGGACGGAAGCGCAAGGAGGACAGACTGGATGAAGGCTACGAAAGCCTGCGCGTTTAAGGCATTCTGCTTGGGCTGCCAGGTTGTGAGGACAGACAAAAGAAGGGCATGGTAAGCAGTCGTGAGAGCCTCTGCGCAAATAAGGTCGGAAGGATTCGAGTGGGGTGAAATGAGGAAATTTCGACTTGCGAATCAAAGGTGTCAGGTTTGGGCGCCACAAAAAATAAGCAGAAAGCTACGCACAGTTCGGACTCTCCCTCTTTGCTCCAATTAGTGATCCAGCCTTCCACCTTCGTAACGACATCCATGGCCCAGCGTATCAAACTGGGTATGGGAAGGAACAACACGGTACAAGACTTCCATTCAGACTTGCACAAGAGCCATAATAGTATTATTGACGGTTGTTGTGGTCTATTGGTCAACACCTTGGGAATCAAACAATCGAATTCAAAAACCCTACTACCATCATGTACTCACTTTCCATTCCATTTCCATCTACATGGTACGCCCATATCTTCAGCTCGGACCTTACCCCCGTTCATCTCGCATGGTTATCGCATGCCAAAGGCGCAAACTTGAAACACGCTGCATGATCAGATAGAAGCCAAAAAAAAGTCGTGTCTAAATAGCTCTGCTCCATCTCTTACGATGTGCCGTCCCCGCCCTCCACAATATAACGCACTCACCTTTTCTGGTATTGCAAGCTTGTGATCAATCCACAAACCGATCTGCGTCATCATCATGACACGCGAATATCGCCGCAGCTCCCAAAAACGTCGACGTCATTCGCACACTCACAAATATAAAATCAAATACATCCTCGGTTTATCCTGAAACACAAGCCCCTCGACTGTTCCCGGCCCTCATTTCTTCTCTTGCATGCGTTTTTTTTACGCTGGCTAATCCTAGTCTGGATACTCCCTGGATCTGCACGACGTTTGTTTGACCTTTTCATGCTCATCTTCGGTTCAGTTTTGTGGATTACGTCGAAAAAGATATCATACCACCGAATTTGAACATATCGAGCACGTGCGGGACCGTCTGGACTCTGGAGGCAAGCACGAGCTTACGTTTCTTCCGTGACCGTACTTATACCCGGTTGAATGCTATAACAAAGCTTGGTTGCGAACCCTATCCCCGCGGTGGGCGTGCCGTCCGATCGCTGTCTAATACCACTGGATGGGCGAAATGTGTCTGAGCAAATCTGAAGATGGCGCCACTTATCAGCGTGGCTTATGGAACAGCGGGAGTGGAGCCGAAGTCGAATGTTAATGGCAGTGCTAAATTCGACTGTGCGTTGACACGGAAGCTCGACTGGTCCAATCCATACGTTCCACCAAGATACGATCGATGAAGCTATTGAGTTTGCGTACTTCGAAGACGCTCGAAATCTTCCCCTATCCCTCCGATTCTTTCTGAAAGAGGCAAGGCAGACTCATTATTACCGGTTGTACGGCCTCTACAAATGCACAAAATGTGCTTGACACCCTTTCAAGTGCTCATGGTACGTGTGGTCAAGCCTAGGATATTCGTGGAATTCGGATGATGGTGGGGAACATTCGACCGGTCGACCACCTCTGACTTCCTCTACGTCTTGTATATAGCTTCCAACGGTAGTTGACATCTCGCGCTTGAACTGTGTTACAGCTCTAAAAGCATTTTGGGAGGACAAGATGGACGAATATTTCACTACATGTTTGTAGCAAGTAGGACCAAACTAGAATTCGGTCCTTTCATGTACACAAGACGAGCAGCCCAGCAGCAATCATTGTTTTTCATTACCCGGGTGCTATGCGTAGCGAACAGCAATTCGGGGCGTTTCCCGTTGCCTTCCGTCACCTACTTATCGCCAAATCGACGCCGCCATCACAGTTGTATCCTAGGGAGCCAGGCCCCCTGAAGCCCAAACATGCCGTATGGCGCGTCGCGATGTCAAGTCATGGACACCATCGTTGACTACGCCTTCCTTCCTACATCTCACGAGTAACATTCTGGATGAAAAACAACCTTGTAAGAGGATGGCGAGGATTGCCGAGGAGGGCGCTACGCACGCCCCAAACGCAAGTCTGCTGCAAAGTATCGTGCATGACATAATCCTCTAGCGTTGGCTACCCCGAGAACCCCATGTTAATCAGAACATGGCCGCCATTACTGGCATCATCCGTAGACCGTTATTAATCTTTATTAACGGAGGGATGGAAAGATGGGCGCCGAAGATATGTTGCTGGTGACTTTGGGAAAGTGGAAGGTCAGTGGTTCACATATGGACCAAGGCCTAGGCCGGCGTATAAGCTGGAGTAAAACTCTATTCTCGACTTACTTATGTAAAATACAAGCTTCGGAAGGCATTGTTCCCCTTGTGCGCAGGTACAGGGATATTTCGTAAGACGAGAATGCGTTCGCGTGCTGACCAGCTGAATGTTGATCACTAAGAGGCCGAGCGCGCTAACGAACGACACAGTTCATTTATGACAGAGCTCACATATACTTATCCAACGACGGTGCAAACGACGTGCTCACTGTGATCAGTGCCAGTGTGACTACCGTGTGTATTTTTAGTTCTAACTTAATCTGAATGCACCCGCAGGCCTGGGAGATCAGTGATTAACTGAGGTTAGTGACCCAAGGGGTACCCACGCATCCCTGCACGGGGTCCGGACAGGAGGTATGATTCGGGCGTCTTTTCGGAGGCGAACAAGCTCAGTGATATTGCAATTTGTGATAGGCTTTCAAGTTTCAATGCAGCTTTTTGTAGCTGCACTGGCTGACCATGGGGACGGTTAATCGTGACTGTCCGAGTCACTTTGACCTGTACAGAGTGTGGACTGCCGCATCATGTAACTTGTCACCGCCTATTGATCAGATCCGAATCACGCCAAGCCCATGTTCACCGGCAGTGTCGTTTCGCGACTCCGAACCTTCACATAAGTACCAGCCTCACTACATAACGCGTGCCCTTTATAATAGTGAGGTACAAGGATCACACCATAGTTCGATTCCCTTACCCCTTCTAGTGTACTTAGTCCATGGCAGAGCGTAGGGTTGCCCATGCTCGACAGAGCAGCAGTATCACAGGCAGTCAAATCATCCCTCAGGAATGCATCGGGCAACACTCACCCAAACCGCTCTCGGCCACAGAAACAGGTCCAGTTGATCCTAAGGATCTCGAGACTGGTGGCGAGCTTCTGGAACCGAGATTGAAAACCATCTGGCACCGTTTCCTTGGACGAGGCAGGAAACCTGTCGGCGTGATGAAGAGTATAAAAAAGATATATGGGTGTTCATGTGCGTCTCCGCCACCTGTGCGATGTGGTTAAGTATCTCATGGTTGTCACAGGGCTCAATGTGCTGCTGCTCCTGACGCCGGTAGCATGGTGGGCACATTTCGACCAGCGTTTCGCTGACAGTCATACCGTTGTTTTTTCACGTATGTTTTTTGCCGAATGATTCATCACCAGCGCTCATTTTCTTATATAGTTTGTCTCTTGACAATTATCCCGCACGAGTGCTTGTTCGACTACTGCGGTGAACAGATGGCTTTGTATTGTGGCCAGGATTTTGGCAACTTGCTCACGATCACTTTGAACAAGTAAGGCGAACCCTTTTCATTCGTTTCGTATTCACAGCCTAGATAATTGCAGTGCGGTTGAGGTGACCCTCGCTATCATGCTCCTGCTCAAGTGCGAGTGAGTAATCCGTTAGCTAACATGCAATCATCGGCGTGGATTTAAACATACTTTACAAGACTCAAACTGCTTCAATCGACCATCACTGGTAAGCTCCCAAAACATCTGTTTTATTTCCAGTATTGACAAACTACATCATCTTGCAGGTGTGGTCCTATTGCACCTTCTCCTTGTTCCTGGAGCCGCTTTTCTGACAGGCGGTGCCGAAATATGGGAACAGGACCTGCACCCTATCCACACCCAACTCAATCATACTTTGCTTACTGTTGGGTACGTTTTTCCTTATTATTTGGAGGAGCTATGAGTGACAGCTTCTTGCATGCACAGAGTGTTGGCCCTGTTATTGCCCGCTGCATTCTATGCAGCTATAAGTGGTAGTACTTCCAATGCGATACCGGCCAATGGCGATCTCCCGGACCTTACTAGCAGCACCCAAATTGATTTCTTGCGCATGAGCAGAGGGCTTGCAGTGTTGCTCCTTCTTATGTAGGCTCCTTTCTTTCTCTTTCATCGAACTCGTGACAAAGCCTGCTGTCAGATACATCTGTTCGCGGATTTTCTATCACAACCCTCCTGGTGCTGGAAACAACTCGTTGACCCATGTTTTGACACCCCCCGAATACAAGGCTCGCGAGGCAAAACTAGAGCGAGAGGAGCCTGAGGTTAACCAATGGGTTTGCATCTGCTTCCTGATTCTCGACATTGCGATTGTGGCTGTGACCTCAGAATGGGTAAGTGCCGTCGAACGATAAGTCTATATTCGTTGACTTTCAGTAGTTGGTGGACAGCATCGAGCCTGTGAGGAATGTTTCCGGCATCACGTCGGAGTGGTTCGGCTTGGTCCTCTTACCCTTTGCTTCCTTCTCAGCGGATGGTGCCGTTGCAGCAGGCTACTTTTGCCACAAGACTCTTCGTCGAGTATGGTCTAAGACCAAGGATCCCGGCGAACCACCCAATACTATGGCCAAAGCTGAAGCTATTGACTTGAGCATTCAGTTCATCCTGCTCTGGATGCCGTTCCTAGTTCTGCTTGGCTGGTGGACCGGAAAGCCTTTCAACTTGCTATTTGGTGCGTTATCGACGAGTATCATGCTATTGCCCGCCAACGCTGAAGAGCCCATCAGATTTCTTTGAAGTAGCACTACTCCTAGGTGCCTGCTTCCTTGTCAATTTCGTAACTGCCGACAGTAAAACAAACTGGGCAGAGGGATTCATTTTGTTGTCATTTTATGCCATGATGGTGGGTTTTTCTCCACTCAAAGTAGCAGAAGTTTAACGGTGTTTAGGTGCTTTGTACTTGGTATTATACGGGAGAATCTGATATAAGTAGTTTATTACTTTGTTCGGGAGAGACTGAAACAAGTACTTGAAATCCATGTTGCAAACTTGTACTCACATTCCTCGCACATTACAGTATCCTACATACCATTTTCAAACCCTAGTGTACAACCTGTTGCTCATGTCCGAGTGGTCGCTGTCTTCACAATGTACGCGATTTTTGCGTAAATGAATAAGCGCACAGGAATTATGAACGTGAGTTGTCAAGAAGGTTACCAGAAACTTGTCTACCCAAAGCTTCCACCGCTCGTTGGACGATCGCAGTCACATCGCTCCGTACCACGTCCATCTGTCGTTTCCGTTCACATCCCAACGCAAACTGCTCTTCAGCCCGCATAGCTGTGCGACACACACAGCCACCCGGATGAAGCTCATTGTTAAGCTTCGACTCCACACCATCTTCCGTGACAAGTGGCACATACGAGTGCGCACTCAATGCAGCTGTTATTTCCTCGACTGATATTGGATTGCCAAACACCACACCAAGTCTGATACCTAATCTTGGGAAGTACTTGTATGGAAACGAACGGTGTTCGGGCATCAATTTGTCGAAACCTAACGTCACTGTTAGAAAGATGGAGCACTGATTATTTCGAATGCCATACCAGTGAGCCACATCGGTATGATAAGAGGGGGGACTGCAGTTTCCATTAGGATTCGTCCACTGAGCGTTTTGAGTGATGACTAGGTGTTAAAAGGGTGAAAAAGTGACTTACACTCCCCATTTGAATCGTGGTAAGCGAGCGACTCCATTTGTTCGCGGATAATCGGGTGGTTGGTTGACTTTTCCCTCTCCAAAAAGATGCACCTGATTTCTGTTAATGCGGGCACAGAAGTTAGGTTAACTCACACCCACCCAATGCCCTTCATTAAGTTGCTTGATGGCAATATCTATGGAAGGTTGGAAGATTCCATTTCCCCGAAATGTCTCTAGCACCTGACCCTTACGAAAGAAAGCGGAAAACAGACTTCCTGGCCGAAGCTTACATTCAGTCGCCTACATTTCTGACTATCTCCACACAACATACGGGTTAGTAAACATGATATCTGATGCACCAAGCGACCACCGCGTTGTGTTGGAGTTCAAGTAGAGTTCCGTCGGGAGTGTTCCCCACACTAGTGGATCATCCAGTCTGTGACCAGGGTCAAGTCTCAGTATGAATATTCACGTGAGAAGCTCGAAAGGCAGACGTGGAAATATGATTCGCAACTAGACGTGTATGAGTGAATGTTGTTTACGGTGAATTACAAGACACACCTGTTACCACGCCCTGTCCATTTCGCCGCCTCTCATCGTTCCGTAGAGCATCCAAAAGTATGTGAAGATTGCTAACGGTGATGGAGCAAAGTCCTGAGTTGAGAAATGCTTTGCAAAGGAGGCCCGTCGCTGTGATTGTGGCCGTCGATAACAGGGTGGTCATATCGCACGCTGAGAACAACTTGAAGCACTTCTAAGTAATTAAAATATTAAAATTTCAAGTTGATCATGACAAGATCACAGCCGACGAGAATGCCGGCATTATCATGATACGCCTCTTTGCTGACTAAGCGCCGTGTTCTGAGCAACTTTAGTTGATGGAAGCATTCAACTTTTTGGTTGTTATCCCCCACCCGCCTACTATTATTCCCCTTCCGTCCTCTTTCACGACGTGCGACGCTCGCGCAGCCTCTGCTGGTGCTCAGCGCCGCTGTCGAGCCCTCCATTAAATATAGGTGCCATGTTTTCCATGTTTATCGTCACCTTTCTCTCCGCTATTATCCTGCTATGTCTATTTTCACCTGCAGTCAGAAGGTCTATCATGGCCGGTGACGACCTTCTTGATGCTCACGAGGCAGGTTTAGCTCTCGTCGCGTCGCGTACGTCCTGTTCCTGAGCTGTGTTGGCTGCCTTTTTAAAATGTTCCCAGGCAATCCATTCAGAGAATCAGGCCCTCCAGCGTGCATGGCCAAACTTATTATGTTGAGGCATAAAGTGAATATATCTTTTATTTTCGCTTTCCGCCAACTCACCCTTCCAAACAAAAACAGATTCAGACAAGTACACGCAAACGTAGATCCCCGATGCCCACACGCCAATCACGAAATCTCGGACTTATCCAGCCCACTCGCCCCCGGGCGTCATGGGTTCGTTTTGGAAGAAACTTTGGAAACCAATACCACTAAATTACAAGCATCTTCAATTATTTGACACTCATTCGGGCTGTTGCCTTATCGCCCGTTATTTATATCTCCGTGATACCCATCTCATCACTTATAGATATCTACCTCTTTTTCGTATTTTTTCTGGGTGTACATGCCTCTCTTTGCAGTTCCATCAAGACTTTTGCTTTGTGAACATACGTGTTCTTTGTTTGCATCTTTACTTTGCAGTGATGTCGCAGGTTATTACAGGTGGAAAACAAATGTACAGAATAGACCTTTGGGGAACAACAATGATGAACGCATAGGACTGAACCTGAATCAAGATGTTAACAACAGATACTACGCAAATCGACTACTCCTATCGGACACACTGGAGAGCATACTTCGCCCTTTCTCCAGTTTACGAGGAACAGGTGCGCTTGAGACAGAATTGCTTCCAGTAGCTGTCTGGGTTGTCCTCAAGGAACCGCCGCCTGTCTTGACTTTGGCCTTGGCGTGTCCTGTAATGGCTGCACCAACAACAGACCGACCGGTCCCCTGGTTTCCGCCACCTTGACCTCTTGCCCATGAACGCAATTTTGTTTTCTCTTGGTCATTCTCCAATATCCGGTTTGGGCGCTATGAAAAGAGACTGTCAGATTACAATAAATTTCATCGAGCGCAGAAACAGACCTCCAAAACAAGGTCTGTGTGAGACGGTGCGGATCGTTTTGCAGGTGCGTTGTTGGAGCGTTCTGCCATTACTTTGACAGGAACATGGTTATCGTTCTCGTCCACCCCGTCGATCCATGATGTGTCCTCCAGATCTAGAGTTTCAAAAGTCTACCGAAGATCAGTGATATTAAAGGTAGAAGAAGCGCTGTGCGGCCCACCTCTCTATTCCTGGCTGCTTCCCTTAGCTCGGCATTTAGATCTTCGGTCAATACCACATCCCCCGTCTCCTCATCTTCATCTTCGCTAACCATTCGCGTATCTGTTTGCAAATGGGCGAACTCAAGGCCGTCATCAATCAAATCATGCTGATATGCGTCGTAGAATGCTTTTGTTTCTTGGTTTCGGGCTATGGAGGGAGACGTTGGTTTCAAAAATTGTGTTGTAACGATTGCACCACTTGCCTAGGTCTTCGAGGGTATCACCATCAATCTTGCGCTTCTTGTTCATACCCCGTCGTATTCGCCTGTTATTCTCGTCCTCGTCGTCATCGTCGCTATCCTCTTCAAAACCGATCCCACGGTCGCGACGCTTCATTCTAAATTTACCATCAATGGCATCCTGGTGAAGCTTCTCCAATTTCTTGTCATCTTCTTCCTCGTGCTCTCTATGCATAATTCAGCTGACTGTTTCAATAGTCTGCCTTGAATGCGCACCTGAACTTCTCCTGGACCAAATCAACCCTTTCTGTCTCGACATCCATGACCACATCATCGACAAGACCCTCCACAATTTTCTCGTCATCATCGTCCTCTGCCTCTTCCTCCTCGTCTTTCTGGATAGGCCCGAAGCCAATCAGTTCGTCCTCGTCTGATTCTTCGGCCTCCGCAGCAACAAATTCGGACTTCTCCAGCTTTCGTTTGGGCGCATTGGATTTTGGATGCACTCCCAAGACATCAAACGCGTTTCTCTTGGGCAACTGAGAAATGAGTAGAGGGGGTAGAAGGGAGCCGTCGTCTTGTACGGCGGTTTTCCTCTCTAATGGCGAGCTACTGCGCCGCCTTAGTCGGTGAAGAAGAGGTCGTACATCTGGTGATTCTTCCCTTGCCTTGAAGGACAAAGTTTGGAGTGGAGCACGCTCACTCGACGACGGAATTAAATCACCCATCAATGCTTGAGACGCCAGAAGTGGTGACCTCTCGAAAGACTTCATGCGATATTGTTCAGCATTAGGTCCCGATGTCTGAGTCAAGAACCTGAGAGGACGAATAAACTTTCCAGGAATGAATTAGATGCCACTTTGATGGACTCACCCGTTCTCTCGGATATACCATTCAGGGTCATTGTCCTGTTTCTGTTGGTCGTTTGCAATCTCTATAACATACTCCTGCTCTTTTTCAAAAATATTGTCAGCCTTCCTGCGCAGGGTACTGCTGACTTGTAGTGCAGGCTCCAGTCCAACATCAAGTGACAAAGCGAGCTCATTGCAGTTCCCCTCCTTGAAGCTGGGCCCCTCGTCCTAAAATAACCACCACACATCATTCTCTAAACTGACTTGCAACGAAGGAGATTGCAAACCTTTTCATCTGAGAAAAATTGCGAAAAACCTCCTCCGCTTGCGAGAGGATCCTGAGGTACAAAGGACGCAGGACTACTCTTGCTCACTGTTTCAGAAAAGGAAGGTAGTAATGTGCGGGGTTCGAAACCCTTAACCACGTTCTCCTCGTCCTCAATATCGGAAAACGATTCTCCCGGTGGGGATGTCGGATGCTTTGATGTAGATTGGAGAAGTCTCGTGGTAAACGGGGACTTTGAGCTTGGGGAATGCGAGAACGAGTCATCTTGAGCAATCTCCTTCAACGGCGAACGTAAATCTTGCTCGGGAGAACCGGAGGGACCACCGAAACCTCCCAACGATGCTGAGGACGATGATCTCATGTGAACGGCATCTTCGATGTCAAGAAGCGACCCCGGTCTGCTACCCAAGGGAGGTCTCGTGAATGAAGGCGAGTGTCGAACAACAGCCTTGTTCTCCTTGTCTTCACTTCTGTCGTACATCAACTTTTGACTGTTCTCTTTGTCATTCTCGTCCTCCGTTTGATCCGATTCTGAGTTGCGTGTCACTATGGCATCGGGGGCCAAGTCTTGTATAGAGGAATCTGGGACGAGAATTCTAGGAGCAGTATCCTCGTCGTCGGAAGCCACCATTAGGGGACGACGAGTACCGCGCCTGTGCACTTGGCGCTCCTCATCTTCAACGTCCGTCTGTTGGCTTGCACCATCATCGACATCGGGATCTGGTTGGTTCTCCTGATCGCTGCCGCCCTCGCCATCAGTATCCAGGGGCTCTGGGCTGGCAGAACCCCACTCCTCGGGAGCGTAATCTGTGTCGTCCTCGTCCGTGTCGTCTACTTCCATGTCGCCAACAGTAGAGTCGTCGCGCTCTGCTAATTCAAGCCCCTTCTGCACATATACATCAAGCCTGTCTCTGAATGACACGTTCTCCCCAGCTTCTACAGGCTCTTCCAATACTCTGCCTCCTCTTCGTTTCCAGTCCTCTTCTCGCTGCTGAATCATCGCAAGCTTGCTGGCCTCAGCTTTCTGCATGAGCGCTCTGTTTAATTGCTGTGTAGTGAGTGGGACCTTAGTGTCCTTGCCCCTTCCCTTCCGATCGAATGACGACATCGCGGATTCCCTGAGGTACTCGGACATGTTGGCTTGTGCAAAAGATTTCGCACGGGAGCCGGACGGTCCTGGTACAGATTTCCGACTCAACGCAAGCTGTCTCGCCTTCCCCTTCGAAGGAGTAAGATGTTGCAACTTGTCAGCTTTGCGTTTCGCTGCCTCTTCTTGGGCTGTCACATGCATGCTGTTATCAACAATCTCTAGATCATCGTCGCTATCTCCGGCCCTAGATAACCGCCTAGCTGCGTCTTGAATGGCCCGCTGCTTTAACTCCGCGAGAGCACGTTTGTCGTCAGCTTCTTTGCGTTTGGCTTGCTCTTGCCTCAGTAGGTCGGTGAGATTCGGCATCTCTTCGTCGGTGCTGTCAGGTGACACTGACCGTGGCTGAGAAGTTGCACGCCGCGGAGGATTTTTGGGAGGAGTTTGTGCACGAGGACGCACAATAGTAGATGATCCAAGCAAACGTGAAGGCACGCCGAATGAAGATGCGCCTTGCGTGAATTTTTTCCGTGTTTCAGCAGCGGGTGGTACGGAAGGCGAGGAAAAAATAGATATTGGATCTGAGGGAGGCTCAGGCTGCTTTTTCTCCTTACGCAAGGCTTCATCCCTTGTCCAAAGTCAGCAGCATTCTCTTGGATAAAAACTTGGCACCACCCACTTGACCATCTCAAAAAGCCGATGCACAGTATGTTTCGGTTGCTCAGTACGCGCCACCTGGACATTCTTGCTCGCAGTAATGCGCGAACTCTCCAAAACAGTTTCACGCACGTCCTTTTTAGTCGGAGCCTATGCGTCGTGTGAGTGAGAGATAGAATGAGTGACAAAGGTCCCACTACCTTGGTTTTGAGGCGCACAGATTCGTCCTTCCGCTTGGATTTACCGCCCTTCTTTGACGTGGCACTCGTAGAAACTGATTCACTCCCAAACCGAAGCGGAGGGACATCCCGAGCAGGTGCCTTCCCCTTGCCTTTGTTGGCCTTGGGCCTCGTCAAAGGCATTTCCAATTCTGATGTCGAAGGTGTGGGAGGAGATCGCAGCAGAGGAGTGTTAATTGGATGGTGAACAGGCGATACCGAGGAAGACTCTTCACGCTCAGAGTCAGAATCGACACAATTCCTCGAGCGTCTGACTTTGCGAGAAATAATGGGTGAATCTTCAAGAGACTCGTCAACTGGGGGGGCAGCTGGGTCGCTTGTAGGCGGTAGCAGTGTGCCATCAGGAAGCCCATCGGAATTTTGTGGTACTGGAGAAAGAGGCGTGGCATCCACACGAGTGATTTGATTCTCCACAAAGGGTTGAGGTTGAAAGGGTGGCGACGATGACAACTGCTCAGCAACTCGAGGCTGTGTAAGTGGCTCCTGGTCATTATCGAAGGCTTCGTCCAGCGCTTTCAATTGAGCTCTCCAGCCAAACTGATGTTTAGGACTGGCATCGTCCATGCCGTTATCGTTTGTATAAGTCGTTGAAGAGGATTGTGAGCTTTGTAGCGTGTCGAGCGCCAATTCATGGGTGGACTCGCTTTCCTTACCGCCTAAGGGCTCCGATTCTACACGAGGAGAGCTGTGGTCGGCGAGTGTCACAGAAGAGTCGCGTATTTCAGGCTGGTCCCTACGCCTTCCATACGTGACTGGAGCGCGTTTTATAGGCTTGACGGGAGATGACTTTGGAGAAATCTGGTCAACGTCCATGGCAGACATGTTGGCGTCTGCGGTCAACAAGCGTGTTGGCCGATGCCGGCTTGAGGCTATTTGTTGCTGTAATCTGAGAACGCCTTCAACACCGTGGCATGCGTGACATGTCACTGTGACAAGCGCGTTTTTGGTAATTGATCAACGAACGCGTCAAGTCGCGTTCCTCATGTGCCAAATTGATTCTGAACAAGCGCCAATGGTGGCATTGAGTTTGCGATTTCTCATTTTCTCCTCTGTTGGAATGAAATATATTCTGTGAGAGCATGATGACTATTAAATGGATAAGTGAAGACTGCTGGGTGTGTTGAGTTGCTTTGGATGGATTGGACTGAAAGAACTACTAAGTCTATGTGAAGAATATACCACCAAAAAGAATCTGCACACTGTCAAAAAGCACAGCGTGTTTACTCTTCTAGGAGTAAGAGCTAGTGAGATAGGTACATCTTGTGATTCTCATCCGCATAGCAATTAAACTGACTGAGAACTTTTAAGGTCCTTTGCGGATAGAAACTAGCGCACTTGAAAATCAGCACTAGATCAGTGCTGGTACGGAACATAACTGACCTCGTCTTCAATGTATTCTTGCGCGGTATCTATCTTAATTGAAATGTCGTTCGGCATCCCCTGATTGCACATGAGCAATATTCGCTGCAAATTCACGGAACTCACAATTCGCGATGACCCGATGGGACTATTGATAGGTCTCCTAACTCCCTGAAGCGAGAGTGACATATGCTCTTCACAAGAATCGTGGCGGATACCCTTGCGTGCGTTGAGGGTTGCCAGCAAGGAGTTGCAGTAAACTGAGAACGATCCCGTTGACCTCATGAACAGCACCATTTGACTACAGTGTACTTACAACGGCCCATGCAGAAATAGAATGCGATGTAAATGAAGCTATCAGGCCACACTGTAATCTGTGCCACATCTGGGTCAGGAACAAAATAACGAGCCATTTGTGATATTTTACATACAGAGATTAGGGACATGACCGCGCAAACAGTGGTGAGTAGACCGGTGTTGATGCTGAACAGCATCAACTTATTGATCAAGGTGTCTGACCGACGGAAACCAGTGCGAGACTGTTGGAGGAAGATGCAGAGGAAGATGGTGATGAGGATATCTCCGGCAGCTGCTACAGCGTTCACAGACATTGACAATGGCTTGATCTGGGGAAGTTGATTGAAGGTCGTGTACGTGACACTGAAGGGTGCGTCAGCCAGACTACTACTTGATGATTTCCGACACGAATTACGCTTTTGCAAAATATGCTTTGGATGTCACATTAGTAGACAAATTTAGGAGAAGCAAAAGCGCATACTCACTGATAACAAGGATAAATTCAGCGATGACAAGGGACAACACTGACGCGGTTGCAATCACGTTCTTGTTGCTTACTGGCTGAAAGTAAGCAAGCGTCCACTGGCGGGAGACCACACATACGTCGGTAGACACGCATGGTGAGGAAACTGGAAGGACGATCAGTGAGAATCGTTCTATTCGAAATGTATCACACCAACCTTTGAACCATAAACCCCGTGAAGCCATTGAATAAAACTTCAACCTGTGACGCAAATGAGAATTTAGGTAAGAATTGTGCGCTTATCACATGCAACCCACACATAAACTCCACACAAATATCTCACTAACGCTACCAAAGTCAGTGACAAGGTACGTGTACACTACCGTCCAATATTCAGTTCACAGACAAATACGTCTTGGATCCGGCGCTCACTGGCGTGTGTAACCAGAATTTGATGGATTGAATCTGATAGAAACATAGCGCCGACCTATATAATGTTAGTTAGAGAAGTGGAGCATATCGATCCTTCGTGAACTTACTAAAAGCTTGTTGTACCAAGGATCCGAGAAATGGGTAAAGTAGTACCATGTCTGCACACACGTAACTTTGTGTGATTGTGAGCTCCTAGCAGAAGAAAAAACACGAAAACGCACCTCCGTAAAGCCTGCAACATACAAGTTCCAATCTACGCCCATTAATGGTTGATCAAAAAGAGCACTCACGTGGCAGAGACCACAACCCCGATCAATAACGCTCCAAAACTGCGCAAGTTATACTAGATGATGCATATGAAGTTGAAGAATACGCACGTATTGTCCACAGTACCCATGGGGGAGATGTATCAGTGTGAATGAACGAGGATGTGTGTTTAAATAATATGTAGGTACCAGTCGTAAAGCGAAAGTCGGATCATTGGCACAACACATCATCCGTTCCCAATGGTAACCAGTAGGCCAAGTTGCCGCCGAACACGGATTATTAACTTGAATCCGGCAGGTGAATCACCTCGTTTTTCATTAGCTATAAGTACTTCTTTATACCCTCAATCGCACTATGATGATCGGCCCGCTCCGGAGGCAGTGATCGAGACAGATGTCGTGGACTTTGGAGGATGGCCTCAAGGCCACGTCGGAGGAGGGACAGTACCGAGATATCAGACAATCACAGACCGGGGTGATTCCTTTGCACCCTTATGACATTAAGTCAAATGACCAACTTGAAAGCAGAGAGCGCGACACGGGAGGACGCATTTGAGGGAGGATTCAGCCTAAGGCAGCGGATATTGACCGGAATGATAGGCGTTGATTAGTGATAAACATTAAACTATTGACTGGGGTGCGCGCGCGCGTAGTTAGTGCACGTTGGTAGGCACCGAATATTGAATATTGATATATTAGGAGCCCATCAGCAGAGAGCCCTTGGCATCCGACAGACCAAATACAACCAAGCGCTAAATTTACCGAATTTCAACGCTCTTGGAGGCCGGCCTGCTTAACTCTTCTGAGATCCGAACTCTGTCTCGTCCATGTGCTTGCGATAGTGCGATGTACACACTGGATGTTGTGAGGCCCGCGGTAGCCTGTAGGTGGTGTCGCATTAATGTCTCTAATGATGATTATTGCTGATTTGACCTTCTGGACGATAGCTGCCCTATCGAATAGAGCGGAATCAGCAATCGGAATATTTACAGGTGACGGTGACTTCCAATGTGGAAACTGGCCTAGACGTCGCCAATAATTCCCGCGGCGCAAACACGAAAATTGTACTCGACGAACGCGAGGTTGTCTTCTCGCCCGCACATGCGATCGCAGAACCGACATATCCACCAGCATATGTTCTTATCAGCTGAACTGCACAAAATCGGTTCAGCATAACGGTCTCAGACTGGAGAAGAATATGTTACTGTACTGGAGCGCACATTTACCATTATCCTTGGAAATCACCTGAAGTCCATAACGAAGACAGCTACCTCTCACACTAGCATACTCGTTCACGGACTTGGCAAGTTGGCTAGTCACCGACCAATCTAAAGGTCATTGGAGGGCCTTGTATCCGCCCATGATATTAGCCCATTACCAGCATATGACGAGAACCACGTTTTCATCCCACCATTCCAGCATGAAGTGAAACCTAAGGGTTCACATGGCTTTTTATCGTCATCGTATCGACAAATTGAAGCGCAGCATTTGAACGCTGTTTTACGAGAACTCATGGTACTGTCACCATCTGCAGTTATATGCCAAGTAGCCCCTCCACGTCGCCGCCTCAACACTGGGCCTTCCACTGAACGACTCAATACAGGAGAAAAAACCCATCGTTGATCAGAAGCTCTGAGTCTTCGCCTTGAAGAGTTGTAGTATGTGTGTTCACTCTGATCATTGGCGTTCATACATTGATTACCTTTCACAGTAATATTGCAGAGGCAGAGTGCAGGATCGTCCACGTGTAACATGTGATGCTGTACTTTGTCACTGAAGGTGAAGGATGTCAGCCTCATGTACATTCAAAAGTCATACGTGTACAAGGCTGTATCTTATTAATACTGTACGAAATCCTTGCCCTAAATATTTTACGCTGTACAGACACGGTAGTGAACAAGGTTCCTGCCGACAAAGTTCCGCCCGAGCGATCTTCCGAAATAGATCGGCTCTCAGAAACCACGCTACCTTTCGACTGACGTTATTAGTAAAGGTTGGACCCTGTGTACTGTGTAGGAGAAAGGTACAAATCTTTTTTACTTATGTATTATCGTCTTCATTACAATGTTACGTGTCAGCTTCGTTGTCCTACTCATCGAGCTCGAGTGTCTCGATCCAACCTTAGTGCACGTGAACGCCGCCGATGATCTATCTGCATCCCTGCCTAAAACCCTTAATGCCAACCCCGCTCCTTCAAGTTCCTGCAGCCTAGCCGCTAATGATGCCGCCGCCGACCGATTTTTTTCGAAACAGCGCACCGAGACCTAGCGGCACATCCGCGTCAAGATCCAGCGCCGAATCCCTTTCGTGCTCGTTGTCAACACCTCCTCTGCCCACGAGTTGCCACTACCTGGCACCTTCATATTCTTTCTACAGTGATTTCCACTGCATCCTGTATTTTTTCTCCTCCTCGCAGTTCCACCTTGTACATAATACCCTACTATATATCAGTGTCTACATACATGTTCCTGTTGTTGATAGTTGTAATTTGTATATTGCATCCTAATCTCACAGAGCAAAAGACACGAGAACTTAAGTCGATTCATAATTAAAATTTTAAGATATGTCAAGTGTGAAGGAGAGGCTACACTACACACCCAAGTTCTGTATGGGGGAGAGTAGGACACGAGGATGAGATTGAGGAAGCCAAAGCGGTGTATGGGAAAGCGCTACCCCAAGGAATGCACACGACCACAAGACTTGGAGCAGCGGCGGTTTCTGTTGCGTCACAACTAGCACCGTGCACGTGGGAGTTGAAACGTTGGAGTTTGGATATCGATATCGATATCGAGTATTAGTTTGGTAGCTCGGCGATGGGCGTGTAAGGGAGAGGCACAAACACGGTGGAACAGCGCAGAATAGGTATGCGTGAGGGCGATGAACTTCAACTTAAGAATTACGAGAAAATATACTTACCGAGCGGTGGTTGAGGCCTTGAGGTCTTTGCCACTGACGCTAATCAATGCGCTCAGGGACTTGTGTTTCTCACCCTATTGGAAACCGATCTACTTCGGAATGGTGACAGGGCACTAGTACACACTCCTGCTTAGTGTTATGATCGCTACGGCAATAAGTAATACTCACTAGAACTGGTGTGTCAAGCGGGAATGAAACAAATCAGTCCAATTCAACTCCATACCCTGGCTTACCTCAACCGCAGTAGCATTGTGAGGAACACACTTCCAGGGATCGTGTTCAAAGGAATGAAACATGACATGATAGATCACGAAAGCAATGTACCGTTTCTAGGTGCGCTGAGGCGTACGAGTCAGCAATATGGCAGGGAGGTATACTTACAGCACCAGTCAAAGTGATACACATATGCCGGCTACATGTACATACCGATGCACGGAGTTCAACATATTTGCTATACGTATGGTTGAACCTTCAATGACAGTTCTGAACCTTGAACCTGGAAGGAAAGGCCGTTGTCACACACTTCTATGAATTGGATTGCTTACCGGGACTCTGTGTCTCTGGCGCGCCGCGTCATCAAAAAGTAAAAAGGAGCGATTAACATTTTTCTTCCTTCTAATTGATCTGTCTACGAGAGCGGGTCCCTTCACATTATTAGCGTGTCACAATAAGATACTGGATTCTCACCTCTCCGCCAGTGGCTACACGCATGGAACATGTAATGACCCACATGATTAAGACTGTAAGTACTTACTCCTGGAAGACTTAAATACTCCGAGGTACGGTGTCACGCCGTGGCATTGGCACAGTCACTGTTAGCGATTAATACATAGGTTGCTCGGAGTCGGAGTCGCGGAGTCAGGGTTCGAATTCAATGAGCAGCTAGCTGGTTTGCTTAGTAATCACGCTTGTTCAAGCGGGGATGGTTTTGACCCTACCATCATTCAATTGCGGTGAACCCTTCTACAGATCTGCATCTCAAGGTCATACGATACTAGTATGACGACCGATTTGGACATTTTACCGATGGCGTCGGTTGCGCAAACACTAGCTCCTGAACTTGAACGAGCCTGAGCATCGTTGAAAGAGTAATTATTCCGTCATACTTCCTCATGCTTTCTACGGACAACTCAAACAAACCCAAGGTAACTTAAAACATGGACATTCTGTCGCCGCATAATTCAATCACTTAAAACATCCAGTGCGTAGCTTATATACCCGCCACTGAGCTCGCCACTCGCAGACGTTCCACTTGCAGTATGCCCCTGATCCCCAGTGACCCCACTTCGTGGTCATTCAATATGTATCGTGTTTCCAACTATTTTACAGGTTCGTAGAGAACAAAGTTTGATGATGTTTCTAGCTCTATTGTTGACTATGGTTTCGCAGTCGCATCATCTGTTGCTGTGGTCTATGACTGGGGTAAGCAAGATCTCTTATGGGAGGAGTTATTGATATCATTGTGGTATTCTCTAGTATTGACATTCGGTCATGAGGTAGGTTGTTCCATTGCCGAGCGGCCGTCATGATTTCACGAGCATGGTTCTATAGTATGAACTCATCTGGGTGAGCAGTTTCATATAAGAAGAACAGGGTGATATAGTTGATAATCCGGGTCAGAGGCGACGCCGTTCCCTCATGACTGTTCTATATATCATCGTACGTAGCTTATATGAATTCATCGCAGCGGGCAACTCATGTTGATTTCAAAATATTCTAGGTGCGCTGCATCGGATTGCTATACTCTGTGTAGGTTCGCAAGACTATCAAGTCAGCACTGAACTGATAAGCTATCTCTCACATTCAGCAGCAACGTGTTGTGTATGTCTCACGATACACTGCGTTCCTTTCTCCTGATTGATGGCATTCAGTAAACCTCCCGGGAGTATTGAAGACATCCATAGTGAGCATACTTTGCACCAATATTCACCAACTAATTACACTTCTATGTAGGGGTGAGTGAGATTCTTGGCCAGCTTGTTGGTTCAATATATTGACAAAAACAGTTGTGAGTTTCTCGAGGCATTCAGTCGTGCGAGACTCATCATTAAATGGGCTTTTTTAGGCAATGCTATGAACCTCGCTTTATCGTGGACGATTTATATCGTAAATCCCATGCTGAGTGGTGAGCTATTCAGCTGTGGTACCTCAGTGATGTTAGTTCGACTGACATAACATACAAGTCATCCTCATCACTCGGTTATATGCTATGTTTCGATCCAGAAAGATGCTCATCTTGCTCGTTGTAACCTTCTGCTCTGTCCTGGTTGCCTGCGGAGTGATTAGTACAATAGGGAGCACCTATACTCCAACGAGTAAGTTTTTTTCCTGAATGAAAGATCTAAGCGCACCAGACTCATGCCATGAATGACAGACGTGATCCTCCTCAATGGCACACATTGCATTTCTGAAGTCAACGAAGGCGAACAACGTCAAACGCTCGAGGGTTACGTAGTCGCGACTGCATGGCACGTACTCACGCTGTGTCTTGCACTCTGGATTTTTGCAAAACACTTTCGTGAACTGCAACCACCATTGACAGGACAGACCTTCATAGTGTTAATCAAGACCCAGGTATTCTATTTTGCAATGTGAGCTTTTTGATTTGAATGCGGTTCGTCTTTTTGCTGAAATTCCCTACGTGCTAGCTTTACTGCTGGTTGTTGCCTCAACATTGGTTTGATATCTCCAATGGTCTCAGTATGCCGATCCAGAGATGACATCTACATTTGAGCCCTCATCATTGTTGCTGTAGGACACATCTCGCGTGGGAGGCCAGATTTATTGGGGTTTTCTTGAACTCGCCACGCTCCTCCAGATGTTTGTGGTAGGACCGCGCCTCATCCTTAGCATTCGAAAATACCACGCTGACCTCCTGCCAATCTCTGAGGATGGAACATTTGAAATGCCTACAATCGCTTTCCAGGCATTACAAATGTCAACTGGCAGCGACGTGTAGGAAATATCTCCAAATGATTGGCACCTGTTGGATACCCTGTACACGATACTACGTAAATTTTACTTGTCGCTTTTTTGTCCTTCTTTATTGTCCGTTGGGGCTAAGCCCTATGGTGGACACTACTTACGCTATGTTACTAGCTACCTATGTATCTTGCCCGATGATGTCGTGACGTCTATGCTATGCAGTGGTTCAGGCTTGCGCGAGAGTGACGGTTAAGGCATTCTCCAGCCTGAGGTTCTCGGTATTATAGTGCATCAGTGAACCGGTGAAGCTTTGATAACTGAATTTGCGGGCATCGATGGCCATGTCTCTACTACCCGTGAGTTGCACCAGGCAAATTTACCCTGCAAATTTACCCTGCAAATTTACCGTGAATGACAGTGTCAATGTCATACCCTCGAAAACATAGTGTCAATTTGGGTGAATTTATGTCTACTGGACCCAGAACACCTGAAAAGCTTAAATATGATATACTGGACAATCCCGACAGCTCAGACGCTTGAAAGATTCGCATAGCTTATTGTGACTCTAGTATCTACATGGTTGAACATTCCCGTCCCAAAGGAATCAAAGTATAATTTTTCCGACTTCAGCTTGGATGCTGATTGGACTGCAGAAATCGGAGAGGCTGCAGATGTCAGCCGAGAACTAGAGGCCAGATTTGGCAGTCGTGCTGGTGGCCTGAAGATCGTGTAGCGAGGGCCAGAGCCAGAAGCTGTTGTGGATGTTCTCGAAACTTGGATCAAGAAATATCCCGGCGATATTCTCTTAGAGAAGTGGGTGTATGACACTCTCGAAGCTGCGCGAGGTCTCATTCTTGCAGCCGGCAACACTGTGAGTCAGTTTTATCTTATTTCTAATAAAATATTGACGTACTAGTATATAGTTGCCAGTCCTCGACGTGGAAGTAGATTCTACGAAGCACAAGCCAGTCAATGTCAATAATCATCAACCCGAGAAAAGAAAGAAGGTTCAGAAACTCGATACACTCGGACTATTGAAAGACTGATGTACATCTAATTCAGTCAGCGGCATCAAAAACGGCTCCTTCGGTCAAATGACGCGATATGCATGCAACCATCCTCAGTGATCAACAACCTGAGAAGCCAACGGTCGTTCCACTACCTGCCCGACCACCTATGAAAAGAGATATCGCAATGAACGACTCGGACGATGAGACCAGTGAGGGACGTGGCCTGATGATGGTGATGACGTGAGCCTCGATGGAGAAAAAAGTGACAGATTCGATGTTGGTGATCACATCAACTTATCATCAGGTTTCCTTTCTCAGACCAGCCTGTGCAGCTTGAGCCAACCGCTCCCGTGAGTCACGGACCTCCATTCGAGCTGACGGCTGGTGCTGTGACTTCATCGACGACACCAATGGATGACGAGCGGGAGATATGGGAGTCTGCAGAGTAGATTACAGTCAATTAGGTGAAATTCACCTGCAAATTAACGCAAATTAGCGTCTGGGAACCCCCGTCAGTAAATTTGCGTGAATTTCGTGTCATTCACACCTGCACGGTGCACCGGGTAGCAAAGAGGCGATGAATTATGTTCTTGCTTAGGTGAGCCGCATCTGCAAGTGGCTGATTCAACTCCGCTTGAATTTGCCGAGCTCGCCGAAGGGTACCCAGACTTTGTACCCAGATGTCTGCTTAGACTTATACCAAGACCGGCCAGAACTCCGACATTCACGTAAATTTGGCCCTCTCAGCTCTGTGAGGGCCATGCTAATTTGCCTGTCAACCAGACGCCATACGCTAATTCCCGGAACCCTAGTCTCTACAGATCAAGATTTTCACAGTATACATAGGTATACATGTTCTTATTTGGCAGGAGCAGAATTGTATCCTTCTGTAGTTTCCGCGGCTACCATATCAAGGAACCATCTGTTCACTGATGTGGTTGTTAGTGGGTTTCCTTCGATCCTGCCACCTCGCATCCTTCTCCTTTTGTTTGTCGTGGTACTCACGAAGAAGGTCTGTAACGGCAACTGGAACGAAGGCTGCGGCTGCTGAAATACCACTTGGCAACAGCCCGCGCTCAAGGCTTTGGATTTTGTGGTTCCGAGTCGTCTACAGTATTAAAGCACGAATAACCGGTGGCTATGCCAACTATTGTGTCCACCGTGTGGTGGACGCTCAGGCTGTTGGTCTGTCAGTATTTCAGTAAGTACTGTTCGAATGCTCTGTGTCACGCTGTGCTGCTCTATGATTTGCAATCGGCCAAGAATACCGTTTCAGTGGAGGACTTGCCTTCATAGGATTGGGAGATTTTCAGCAGGCAGGTTATATTGTCAGCGGGGCAGGGGAAACAGCAATTCTTGCGGCCCGTCAGTGAAGGCATCAACGCTACGGCAAAACATGTACATCTTCAGCCGGCGGCCTCAATAGTACTACTAAATACTGCAATCCGCAGCGTTGATGTCGATGACTCCCAATTCACGGCTTTCGTGGATAGCATTGGAGAAGACTGCTCCGGAAATCGACAGAATCTTGCACTCATAGCAGCGACCACAAGCTTCGATGATACCGTTGACTTCCTCTTCCCACCACGTATTCTCAAAGACGCTGGAACCTGTCTTGATCGTGCATTCCTTTCCCCTCTCAACGTCAATGTCGGTGAATTCCATGACAACATTCTAGGCAATTTGCTGGATGATTTTCATAAGTATCGCAGCTGATATCAATCACACATTCCACTCACGAAGCAACGTAGAACCTTATTTTAGTTCAGAAAACCTGAAAGAAGCTGAGCACACTCGCACCGGAACACACCCTCGGCTACCTTGTAATGTTACCCCCATCCTGGAGTGCGTGATCTCTCGGTAGAAATGGGATTGGTCAGAAACGCGTGTGCGCGCGTCGTCGCGTTGCATCATCATGATCGCTTGTATCGTCGCTGCAAATAGACAGTGTGTCTCTTCACGTTTTTCACTCTCACCAACGCTGTGTACAATTGACTGTGAGCGAAGGGATCAGTCCGGACTCCGGAGCCCGAGCACGGTTCGTGTTAGTGTGAAATCTTGCCATCCATTAAATGGAGTTGCATATGCAGGTTACAAAGGAAATTATCTTCAATTCACTATCCATGACGAACGGTTTGGACGGAATGCAAAGTTGATGCGGGGAATGCAGTGGCTTTTGAATGTCTTGAGTTGGACTTCGACGATGCGAAGATGCAGTGCGACGACGTGCACACTGTCCATTTTCAAAGATGAATGAAGGGTGCCCTTGTACCAATACTAATACTAGAGCCTCGTGCAAATGTGCATCAGGCCCTCGGCCTTCAGGACCCGGTTGCTTGTGAGCCTCAGGATCATAAAAATATATTCATAGTAACCAGACAGAGAAGTGGTCTGCCTAGTAGTAGTACAATGATCATGTAACCAATGTATCTGAAATTTCCACTGCTGCGAGGAGTTTACAACTGCAGCTGGCTCGTTGAACACAAAAAAGCGCTTCCAAAACAACATTGGAAAAGTCAGAACCGGTGTAGAAAATGAAATGGCGAGGGTTTGAGGGTGGAGGAGACAAAGATGGGGCGGCAAGACCACGGGTTCTGCACATGGCATTGGTCTGTTCCGTCTGGTGATTTGGACCGCGAGATGTCCGGACTGCGGCAGTGGAAGATGTCGATGAAATGGCAGGGATTTGAGAAGTCAGAATGAATGCGCTCTTGAGATAGCTGCCGGTCACTGGACCATAGTTGCTGCAAAAGAGACTAGTCAGTTTGATTCAGAGCTCCCAGCCCAAGTCTCCCCTCCCAGACTCATGCTGCGGCCCTCAGTGTAATTTCAATTTAACTCACAATTGGATAATTACTAATCTGCAGTAAATGGTCAGGGACTTGAATGTCAGCCAAGCAAGGTTTGTACCGACGACCGCGAGTCGTATTGGACCCTGAATTAGGTTGAAAATTTAAATGGAGAGTCAGGGCTGATTAGAGTTCACATAATGCATGGGGTTTAGTAAATAATATTAATTACGTTTTGCTAAATTTCAAGTTGTTGAACCATATCCATGCCGTGAGAACTGATATAATTGTTTTGGGTTGACCTACATACTGCCCGATACGCATGCCGGCAAGAACCTCTTGAACTGGCGCTCGCCAACGCCAATGCATGTGCGCCCTCCGCCGCACCAATCTCCACTCGTCCGTCACATAAAATTCCCTACAGGCTGGGTCCTGACCTCTGTCGCAGGTGAGTTAATGCACGTACATACCTTGTTCTTCTCAACATTTGGAAGCTGAAGTACTTCGAAATGGTAACAGGGTACCTACGACTTCACTCTGATAGGCCGATGGGCCGCGCGAAAGCTACTCCTGAACTTGAACAGTGTCGAGTTCTTCCGTAAATCGATCGCAATAACGAATTCTTGGTTGCTACAAATTTTAAACCAGCTTAAAACACTCATCACGGCTAGACCTCACCGCGGCATCGCGTATTTAATTTTCGCTGGATGCTCCCATGGCTAATGTGTTATATACCCACCAGTGACCACTGAGTTCGCCACTCGCAGACGAAGTTCCACTTGCAGTATGCCCTTGATTCCAACTGATCCCAGTTCATGGTCACTCGACATGTATCGTGTTTTCAGCTATTTTGTAGGTCCGTGGAGAACAATATTGACCTTGTTTTGCATTCGATTTTTGACCGTGGTTTCGCAGTCGCATCATCTGCTGCTGTGGTGTATGACTGGGGTGAGCAAGATCTCTTATGGAAGGAGTTATTGATGACATTATGTTGGTATTCTCCAGTACTGACATTCGGTCAAGAGGTAGGTTGATCCCATTGCCGAGCAGCCATCGTGATTTCACTAAAATGGTTTTTAGTATAAATTGATCTGGGTGAGCAGTTTTGTATAAGAAGAGCGGAGCGATATAGTTAGTAATTCGGGTCAGAGGCAACGTCGTTCTCTCATGACTGCTCTGTATATCATCGTACGCAGCTTCTGCTGTCAGCGCAGTGGGCAACTTGTGCTGATTTCAGAATATTCTAGGTGCGCTACTTTGGAATATTATACTCTGTGTGAGTTCGCAAGGCTACAAGTCGGTGTCGAGCTAATAAGCCATCTCTCACATCCAGCGGCAATATGTTGGGTATGTCTCACGATGCACGACATTCATTTCTTCTAACTGGTGGCGCGTAGTAAATCTCCCGGGAGTCTTCGCGACAGATATGGTGAGTGTTCTGCACCGATACCTACCAACTAATAACACTTCTACGTAGGGGTGAGTGAGACTCTCCACCAGCTTGTTGATTCAAAATGCTGACCGAAACAGTTGTGAGTTTCTTGACGCATTCAGTGCTGTGAGGCTCACTGTTGACTCGGCTTTTTCAGGCTATGCTATGAACCTCGTACTCTTGTGGTCGATTATGCCCATAAATGGCATATTGAATGGTGAGCTGCTCAGCTACGGTATCTCAGTTATATCAGATCGCCTGATATGACATGCAAGTCATCATGATCATTCGGTTACATGCCATGTATCAGCGATCCAGAAAGATGCTCATCTTTCTTGTTGTGGCCTTCGTCTCTGTCATGATTTTCTCTGCAGTACTTGCTGTAGCAGGAACCAACCTTCTTTCGATAAGTAAGTTAATCAAAGACACGAAGCGCATCAGGCTCATGCAACGAATACCAGAGGTGATACTCTACGGCACACAGTGCGTTTACGAAATCGATGCAAGCGAACAACTTCGGATGTTCGAGGCTTATACAGTCAATACTGCATGGGAGGCCCTCACACTGTGTCTTGCAATCTGGATTGTTGTAAAACACCTGCGTGAACTACGACCGCGATCGATAGGACGGACCATCATCGGTGATTGTTTTACGGTGTTACTCAAAACTCATGTCCTCTACTTTGTATTGTGAGCCTTTAATTTGAATGTAGTTATCTTTTTCCGCTGAATTTCCACACACGCTAGCTTTGCTACTAGTTCTAGCCTCAACATTGGCTTAATGTCTCCACATTTCTCGGTATGACAATCTATGGCCAACATCTACATTCGAGGATTTATCATTATTCCTATAGGCCTCATCTTCCGTGGGAGCTCAGATTTATCGTGGTATTCTTGAATTTGCGACACTCTTACAGATGTTTGTGCTAGGACCACGCCTGATCCTTAGCCTTCGCGAATATCATGCTAATCTCATGCCCGACTTTGAGGAAGGAACAACTAGCATACATCCAATAGTTTTCCTGGAATACATAACAGAGTCAACTGACAGTGGTGTGTAGCACGAGATATCTCCAGTTGTTTAACACTGTCGGGTACGCTGTACATACTATAGAACATGTACAATATGTTGGTCGCGGTACTTCTGAAGAAGACTCTGAGTCTCTATAATATTGCCATTCTGGAACCAGCTCCGAACTTGCTAAGTATTTTATGATCATTTGGGTCTTCAGCGCTTCAGCTCGTTATACTGGAAGGATCAGAGTACCGCTAGCAGCTTCATGGTGTCACGGGTGAGCCTGGCATGTTAGGGTCCGGATTTGTTGTGTATCGCGATGATGCGAATTATACATGAGTGCTAGGTCACATCTGGAGTGATTAATTTGGTCTGCACTTGGCACCTAAGGGTGGGCAGCGCTCTCTGGGTTGTTGCTAGATGAGGTCCAGGGTAGATAAACCCTGCCAATTCATTGTTCGTATCCACATCATGATGTTCCAGAAACTCCTACGCATCACACGGAGTATAGGTGTTGAATTATTGCCCGGGGTATGTATAGGTTCAAAGCAAATCTTTCATACCAGTGCGGTAGCCAAATATTAGGGGACTTCCAAAATGGGAGACGCGTTGTCAACTGTACAGTTCATCAGCCACAGACCCGGCAACTGCCAGCAAACTTGGGCCGTACTGTTCACAACGTCAAGCTCGCATCCGATACCGTCCTCAAGATCCTTCAAAATGAGGTGAGCAGGCTGCCGAAACAACATTATAAAAGCATCGAACTCACCAGAATTTTGTACCCATAGTCACCGTAAGGTTGGTCTTCTGCCATGGAGAAACGGGCAGGCTCGAGAGACTCATACTTTCTGATCTGTTCAGTACGAAGCCCCCCGCCATGGCTCGCTCGGTTTCCTCCCCCGTAAACGTGCCGCACGCCACCGCGGCAAGGTCAAGTCCTTCCCCAAGGTGCGCGAGTAAGAGAATGTTCGTCAGAACTCGTCTTACAGCGCATTTATTTTAGGATGACCCCAAGAAACCCGTTCATTTGACCGCCATGATGGGCTACAAGGCTGGTATGACCCATGTTGTCCGTGACCTTGACCGTCCTGGTTCCAGTGCGTATTCTACTCCATTACTAGAGATCTTGGATCTGAAGAGAGTGCAGAGATGCACAAACGCGAGGTCGTAGAGGCAGTTACAATCATAGAAACTCCTCCTATGATCGTTGTTGGTGTCGTTGGTTATGTCGAGACTCCCCGTGGCCTCCGCACTCTCACCACTGTCTGGGCATCCCATCTATCAGACGAGGTCAAACGTCGCTTCTACAAGAACTGGTACCGCTCGAAGAAGAAGGCTTTCACCCGCTACGCCAAGAAGCACGCAGAGGACGGCGGCAAGTCCACCGCTCGTGAACTCGAGCGCATCCGCAAATACTGCACTGTCGTCCGTGTCCTTGCCCACACCCAGATTCGCAAGACCGGTCTCAGCCAGAAGAAGGCACACCTTATGGAGATCCAGCTTAATGGTGGCTCTGTCGCAGACAAGGTCGAGTTCGCACAAGGCCTGTTTGAGAAGCCTGTGGAGGTTTCCAGTCTTTTCGAGCAGGATGAGGTGATCGATGTCATTGCCGTCACGAAGGGTCATGGTTTCGAGGGTGTTACTCACCGTTGGGGTACCAAGAAGCTTCCTCGCAAGACTCACAAAGGTCTCCGTAAGGTCGCTTGTATTGGTGCATGGCATCCTTCGAAAGTCATGTTCTCTGTCGCACGTGCCGGTCAAAGTAAGTCGCATTGCTTTATTTTTCTGGTGTCGCAGTATTAAGCAATCATGCAGACGGTTACCACCACCGCACGGAGCTCAACAAGAAGATTTACCGTATCGGTTCTGGCGCTGATGAGGCTAATGCTTCTACGGAGTCTGACATCACGAACAAGACGATCACGCCTATGGGCGGCTTCCCCCACTACGGTATTGTGAAGAACGACTTCCTGATGCTCAAGGGCTCGATCCCTGGTACCAAGAAGCGTGTCGTCACTCTCCGTAAGTCACTCATGGTCCACACCTCGCGTCGGGACCTCGAGAAGGTGCAGCTCAAGTTCATCGATACATCATCGAAGTTCGGCGTAAGTACAGTGTGCTACCTTTTCAAGGAATCATCTCACGTTTTGAATCCAGCATGGCTCGTTCCAAACATTCGAGGAAAAGGCCGCGTTCCTGGGAACGCTCAAGGCCAGGGATTGATTGCATTTTTGACGCACTACTTAGGCATTATGTTTTTTTACATCTTTTCACGACTACCCATGCTATGCTCTAGTACCGCCAAATCAATGTGTCTGCATGCATGACGATGAGTTCTGGAGTGCATCGACGTTGTCCGGAAGATCTGAGAGAATGAGGTCACTCCTAGGCAGAGAAAGTTGTCTCGGAGTTCATTGTTACGTTCCATCATCGTCGTAATGTAATCATTTTATTTACAGGCAAAATAAATTCGCCTTCAAGCTGATTCGTTCTACACACCATGATTCGCACGACTACTCCTCCTGGATCTGCTCATGCACATCGCGGTGCTTGATGTCTGGAACGTTCGTGTCCACCATCAGCGCCACCAAGTTGAGAATCAGGTTGGCGCTTTTTTGGAGGATCGTAAACGTGGTGAAGCAGAAGTTTTTGAATCGCGCCTAGTGCGTTGACTGGACGCTGCCCACCTCGTGGACCATTTCTTTGGACATTTGACGGAGGAAATGGCTTGGGGCCCCTACCAAGGATATACCCAAAATCGACTGCATCAGTAGTACAGAAAGTACAGGGAAACACAAGGAAAGTGACGCCTGCCATTCTGCTAATTACCGTTCTGCGGCCATTTTGCAACTTGCACATGTTCGACAGTATGTATTATTTATCCTTGCGTTGACACAATCTTGATTTTTATAGCACCGCTGGAGCTGTCATTCTGCGCATCTCTCATGGTTACGAGGTGAAGAGAACAACGATCCCTTCGTTGACATTGCAGACCGCGCTCTGGACCAGGTGTCGCGTGCCACCGCTCCTGGTGCCTTCATGGCTGATGTTGTGCCATTCTGTAAGCCATAGCATTCAGACGTTCACTTCTAATAACCTCACCATTTTAGTGGACAAGGTCCCCGAATGGTTCCTTAAAACTGACTTCGGATGAAAGGATGAGGTTGGGGATTAGAAGATGAAGGGGTAGAGATGGGGTCGTGGCAGAGTTCAGGAGCACCAGACCAAAGTTTCCCATCCTACATGCTCAAACGAGCGACAACGGAGATTAACAAAAATTCAATGGCACTGGAAAGTTCTGACATTAACAAAGCCTGCAGCTCCACAGTTTAATGTTTGAGATATTAACTTCGTGATGCTAATATGATAGTACAGTAGCCAGAGGTAGCCACCATGCGCAAAGCCTGAGGTGTCAGTCAATGAATAGAGAGCCAAAATACTTTGGTGTGCTGGGCAGGAGGTGCCTGACAGGCAGATTATCAGGTGGACCCCAAGCATCTTTAATGCCAGAGCACGCATTGTCAACAACACAGGACAAGAAAACATGTACAATTACATCGCGATGTGACACCACATTTGATCCCGCACTGTGATGCAAAGTTCAAACTATGACAGACCTAGATGTCAGATGTGAAAATCGCCACCCACAGTAAGTACTTTCCTCAGCCTCGTATTTCGTCTTCACATGCTTAATAGTTCGCATCCTGCTCAATGAGCGCGACGGCTTTCAAAGAGCGAGGCTTAATGGAACACTTGAAGGGTTTTGGGTGGCTACAAGGTTATCTATCAGATCAGCGCCGGGCGTGATCAGATAGTATGTAACATACCTGATCGTGCCTGATAATGGATCAACCTCAGGGATGATTTCAATACCGTTCTCGACAGCCTTCGAGATATCGAACACGGCCAGTGACATCGCGATAGATAACCAGACGGAGGCTTCAGCGAGGTGGATACCTGTAAACGAAAAGCAACTGAACGTCAGAATACAGTTTCGGAGTTTAGCATGAGTTGGGGATACCTGGACAAATACTGCAGAGCAGAAAGTTAGCATGGCACAAGGACCTACTACAAACTTACCGTCTTCCAAAGCCGAAGCAGATCGTGCGGGGCTCTGTCTCGGGCTTCTTTCCGTCATTGGCCAAAAAGCGTTCAGGGTTGAATTGCGAAGGGTTGGCATATCTCTCGGGGTCATTGAGCATGAACCTGGCATTATATTCTGAAGTTCAAACATTGAATATGAAGAGAAGAGGTTACCAACCAGATGTTAGGTATGACCATGGAACCTTTTGGGATGTAGTACCCGTCATGGATGTCGTCCTCAGAGGCACAGTGGGGAAAACCTGACATTGAGATACCGTTCGACGACTTAATAATGCGTTAAACGAGATACACGGACCGGTAGGGATAACAGTATGCCATCGTAGGGCTTCCTTGGCAAGTGCTTCAATATAGGGAAGAGAGCCTTGGTCGGCGAAGGAGGGAAGACGATCAGGACCGACAACAGCATCTATTTCAGCCTGAGCCTTCTTCTGCACATCAGGGAATAGTGTCATGGCTAGGAAGAACGAGTTGATAGCAGAAACAGTCTGAGGAAAGAAGTGTAGTGCTCTCAGAAGATGATTATTAGAAATATGGAGGGAGGGACTAACCGTGTCGGAACCGCCGGCATATAGAGTTGCAGCAGACCATTTGACAACGTGCTCGTCTTCCGCTGACAAAGGACTGCCTCCCAACAGATTCGAGGTGAAAGACTCCGGGGCAATGCCAGCAGCCTAGGAAAGTCAAACTTCAACGCATACTCGCAAAACTACAGATGATAGTCACCATCTGATCCACGACAAACTTGTACGGTGCAGAAACCATCTCTTCGAGGGTGTCGTGCCATTCGCGAGCCAGGCGCTTGAAGCCAGCACCAGGGAACCATTCGGGGACCTTGACCACTAAAATGGTGAGGTTATTAGAAGTGAACGTCTGAATGCTATGGCTTACAGAATGGCACAACATCAGCCATGAAGGCACCAGGAGCGGTGGCACGCGACCCCTGGTCTAGAGCGCGGTCTGCAATGTCAACGAAGGGATCGTCGTTCTCTTTCACCTCATAACCATGAGAGATGCGCAGAATGACAGCTCCAGTGGTGCTATAAAAATCAAGATTATGTCAACGCAAGGATAGATAATACATACTGTCGAACATGTGCCAGTAGTTGATCGGGTTTCGTGAACACACGCTTGAGGAATCGGCGAGTCTCCACCTCCTCGACCTGGTTGTATATGCCCGCAGCAGCGCGGGTGCCAATGACGCTGTGAAAGTTTTTGCGGTGCCGGCGTAAATGATCGCCGTAAGGGAGGAGACTCGTAACGTTTTCCCAGCCAATAAGTTTGCCAGCAACAGGAAAAATAGGACGGTTAGAGTACATAGCGCTCTTGTTGTCCAGCATGTCCATCGCAGTCTCGACAGAGTTCAGCACCACGATGTGTTGACCCAGAACCTCGATATGCGACATATGACCTGCAGATAAGACCCTGAAATGCAAGATTGTGACAAACGAGAGACACTCACCATACTTCTTGCCCCATTCCGTGAAGGTGAGCCAGGGCTTGATGTGGGGCATGTCCAGGACGTTCCCGATGAGAGGCCACCCCGGAGGACCAGGGGGATATGCAGGGTTCTTCAACTTGTTAAATACCTGCTTAAGCAGATACACTCCAACACAAGCAAGGCATAGGTCGAGCCCAGTGACGTTGGTGAGAGTCAACATGGTCTAGTACTAGGAGAGGACGATTGGTGGGATTTGAAGGATCAGATAAGCCTATCTGCGGACCACGTTTTATTTATGATCAAACTCAGGTTTCTTGCGCCCGTCACGAGGCCTCATTAATTTCACTGGAATTTAGAAGATCATCAATCTCAGTGGAAACCCACAAGTGACAGATTGGGCCTCGGCCCCCGAAGGAAGTTAATAGTAAGTACCATTTCGTACCATTTCCGAGTCACCTGTTATCCTGGACCTGACTCGCTGCTAAGGGCCAAGCTTCGGTCCTAAGTGGCAGCATGGAATTGGCTTTGTACATGGCAAGTGGCAAAATGGCCGCAGAACGGTAATTAGCAGAATGGCAGAAGCTTCGCAGTGGGCATCGACAATGGAAAAAGTGATCTGCGAGCCGATATTAAAATTAAATCCTGCTGATCATGATTCCAGTTACCATCCGATGCTAGTAGAAGATTGTCCAAATGCCAGTCGCCTATGCCTAGCAGGTAAGGACCGAGTACGACGTTTGACTTCGTCATCTGCGTGGTTAAACTGCCGTATTACAAATGCTTTTACTCTCAAGTCCACGGTCCCTGGTCCGAGGAGCTCCAAAGTATCATCTGTGTCGACCTCTGTCTATATCGACATTAGTTCCACCACTGCCTGCTTCACTTCTGAAGGATTGCGCCAAGTGACAGACTTGAGGAACTTGGTAAGCCCACGCTTGTCCCGTGCTAGGTAAAAGCGGAACTTCTAGATGAAGCCTTTCTCCTCGGAATGAGAGGCTGGAAGGTGCGTAATCGAGTATTTGCTACAAACAACATGTGAGGAAGGTATCAATGCATAACAGTTAGGCTTTGCGCACATTAAGTTCATCTCTGAGCTCGGCATCAGGTTTGAGTTCTGTCGTACGGACTACTTCGATGACTCTGCACTAGCTGGCAATGCTTGTCCTCTACAGGGTTTTCGTGTGCACTCTCGGGGTCGAGAATGCCCCAGAGATATGGATCTGTAGCAAAACAACTGGGAAGTACAGGTGCGAATGGTATCGTCGCCTAGTTCTAGGCCTCCTACAGAGAGTTAAACTTCAAGGCAGCGTACATTCAAAAACGCGGCACTGACAGATTCTCTAAATACCACGGGGAAGTCGAAACGTGGAAGGTCAACATAGATTCTCTGACTTCTCTGTCTCGCGCTTTCAGCCGTCCTCTTTCAGTGTGTGCATTCGCACTTGATTGTAGAAGACTTACATCATATGTCTCCTCCATCTTTCCGAAAACCATATTGTGTAGCCAATCTGACTTTATTTCTTCACGAGCTGAAGAGGCGGTAAGAAATGAGCGACCGTACCCGAGAGCTATGGTACAGCCTACCTTCTCTAAACCATTTCATCCCTGCTGCCAAGTTTACTTTGTGTCTTGGTCTGTATGGAGCCATCTGCTTCTTGACCGCCCAGAGCAACAAGCGATGTTTTCCCGGGCGCAGAGTCCTGACGCGGTGACTGTATATACTATAAGTAGCCTTGCAATGCATTGTAAATACACCTGACGAACCATTTTTTTCCAAACATCCTAAACGTTGAGCCACCGACGGGAACTGCTATGCGTGGAGCCCCGATATCCCATACAGTAAACGTAATTTGTGAACTCAGTGGAAGGTCACATACCGAATGGGAAGCGTTATCCATTCGTTCGCATCTGTGTAGATAGTTGGAGTCGATGGTGGTGGTATAAGGTGCAGTGTATGTGTAGTTGTTCTTGAGACTTACATGTCACGAGATTCGATCGATCGATCAGGCCTTGGAATCAAATAGGGCAAATCGACACTGCCTCCAACTTGAACGTCCACACTGAGTCATTGAGGTATGTAACAACTGTTCGCCTCACAATTCTTAGTTGCTGAACACTGAAGCGCTGACTATTTACTAGGCAGTTCATTTAACAAGACCTGACTTAGTTGCTCGTCTTGCGCAATCATGCAAAGCGTTCACAGATCCATGCTTAGACACCCATTCTCCCCGTTCATGCCTCTGCTTCCGGGAGGTCTACGTTCCGCAGTGATTGGAGACTTATTCAGATCCTTGGTACTGTCCGCAAGGACTACAGAATTCTACATATCAGTGTCGCACTCTGAAACTCTAATCTCGTTCTGCTCAACAATAACCCAGGGTCTCAAGACACTTAGACGCACTAGGGTTTGCATGCCACATCCTGGAGAATGAGAGTCTTCTGACAAATATGCTAAATATGCTCGCTGTGTTCGGGTATACCATCCCCAGAATCTGAGCATCGCACACGAAATACTATCAAGAAATGTATCGACGAGTCTCTGCCGTGCGCCGGAAACACTTGTTTCCCAGACTGTATCACCTTGTCTGGCATACTCTCCATTCTCATTCCCTGGAGTCTTGGTCGCTCCCTCTTTCGTTGCGGTCCCTCAGTATTGTCTTAATTACTGACCTTAGCCCAGATAATTCTATTTTACATCAGGTAGCGCATGATGCTCCCGAGCTCAAAACAATTGATATCACGGCTACAGACTCGAATGAGCTTGTAATATTCGACTCCCTCCAGTCCGTCATACTCAAAGGATCGCGTGATCTCTGTGATCTTGCCAACATCAGCCATTGCCCCTCCTTCGCTTCAGAGACAGGCCTCAGAGTTACATTTCATCGACACTTGGCGAAGGTAACGGTGTGGGAGCAGTCGAGTTTACGGCGTTTCCCGCCCTTGAGACGTTGTGCGTTCTTGGGCACCCCATGCCAGCGGCTTCATTTGTTGCGCATCTTGGCAGCACATGCCTACGTTAAGTTGAAGTGCATTTCCTCGGACATTGCTCTCAAACACTTTCGAACTGCCGGGCATTCCTTGCGGCACTGCTGGGGAAGCATGGACACTCGACACAATCGCTTGATATCATCATCGATGGAGAGGGTAGCGCTGTTCCCTGGAAAATGAAAGCGAGTTCAATCAGTTCCCGGAGGAATTTTCAAGTGCATTGCGGCTCCGTGTGCATAGAAGCCTCGAAAGTCAAGGTCACCGGCCATTTTCTATGTCGTGGTTCTCGGAATCGCCACAATCAACGTAGGAATCGCTATTTCTGGTGGTCGCAGTATTTGACGACAGTGGTTGAATTTATTAATCACACTTGGGCTCAGAAGAAAACGTCCCAGACCCCGTTTATCGATGAAGTATTGTATGACTCATTCTTAGATACTTAGACTGCGCACATTTCTCGCTGACTCTGGTGATCTTTCGGCGTGGGCGTCCTCCTTTCATTTCGTGCGTTTTGCCATCATGCAAATTTGAAGTGTCGGCATGTTTAGAGAACGGGTGACAAATGACTCGAGCATTCTCAAAACTATGCATTCGGTAAGATAAAATAGATGGAATGAAGCGTCGTTTAGTGCAATCATGAAGCATGTTTAAAGTCATGCAAACTCCAGAGTGAAGTAGTCAACTAAGTATTTTCAGCCCAAAGTCAAGATGGCAAGTTGAAGACCTGAAATTTTTGAGTTACTGTTTTTGGCATTTGCAATTTCTGAATCCAGCGCGTCAGGACTCAGTTAGTACTGTTACCAGGTTTCCACCTGGTTCTTCCAGCATCTTCAATCAGTGCCAGTCGCGGTATGTACACGACACGTATTACGGAGTAATGCTCATCATTACCACAGGATGACTGCACTGGATATTCATGCTTGCAGGCTCCACGTCGAGCATCAGATTGTCGCCTGCATCATCGCAAGTATCATGTTGGCTTCGTCAAGTTCAACAACCTTTTGCCCTGCAACAGGCAACGTCTCGCACTTTCCAGTTCCATCGTCGTATTCATGCTGCTCACATGATGAAAGGGAGAGCTCAAGGAGAGGTGAGCTGCGCTTTGAGCGAGCGCAAGGCAGACGACGCTCTGGTCAGGAATGCAGCATTGGCAGATCATTCGGACACAACTATACAACAGACACGCGTTTTAAAATTATCTGGACAGGATGGTTTGATGCCCCGCGCTCTGCTGCCCACAGACGAGTCTCGAGATGTCGAAGCCATCCACATTCACGCTGGCATCCGTTCAACTCACGGTCAACAAAACCCATATCGTCATCACCCCAATCCTCACTACACTGGTCATCAGAATCCAATAGATTCACTCGAAGAGACACCACCAGACCGACTGAAGACACGGCAAGAATTGTTGGACAGCTTATTGAAAGCTACCTCAGTGACAGATGGGTGGGAGGCATACCGCACCTTGACAGTCATGTTCCCCCATCATATACATCACCTCTCCAGAGTTCCAAAGATACCTCAGCGTCACCTCCATCATCTTGCTCGCCTTCTTGCCTCCACAAAACCTCGAACACGAACCCTTTTCTTACGACTTTCTGCTGTTTTGACGATGCTACATCGGTCTGGGTGTCGCATCTACCTTTGGGAGTGGAATGCCTTACTAGACTGTGCAGGAAAGCGATGGCGGAAATGCAGCCTCGAAGACTACAAGGCAGCTGTGGAAGTCTTCAATAAAATGACCACACCATGGCCCTCTGAGAACCCAGGCGACAACGAGAATCTGGCCGCAGAGCCCGATTTGGGTCATGTGCAGCCCGATATCATTACATACACAACCCTCCTCTATATCGCTGGCCGCTCGCTTGACCCCAGCGCCATCCGTCACGCGTCTAATCTACTCAGAGCCTCAGGGCTACCACCGAACCGCATCACCCATCTATCATTGCTATACTATTATACGCGCACAAAGCAATTGTCCGGTGTTCGATCCACTTTGCAGAAGATGAGAGAGCAAGGCTTTGAGCCTGGTCTGGATGGGATCAATGCATGTATATGGGCCTATGCCCGCAATGGGCACATCGATGTCGCTTCAACGATTTACCGCGTACTGCGGCACAATATGCAACCGGAGCTCGATGTAGGCGAATACGACATCGAGGCAGCTGTCAATTACCTGCTAGATGTGGAGGGCATCGCCATACGGGGCGATATAATACCCGACGAGATCACGTATACCTCCTTGATCCAAGCCTTTGCCTATCACGGACAGATTATGAAGGCGCTCCACGTCTTCGTGGACATGCTCTCTACGCCTAATAGGGAACCGAAGGCTCCTATCAATCAGCAGACAGGTGAACCTTCTCTCTATCAGCCAACACTTGCCGCTTTCCGGGGAATATTCCTCGGCTTCGCACGGCATGCGCAGAAACCGCTTCCCCTGCGGTCCACTCCCGGATCTTTATCCGAGCGGCTCCGTCCTATCCAGAAAAATGATTGGAATCTCGAGAATCTCCATCAGGTGTTCAAGGCTTTTATGAACTTGCCTGCAGATGTCATGCCGAATGAGAGGCTGATCTTCTGGATCTTGGTATCTTTCAGCAAAGCCAGCGGTAATGACGCGGGAAAGCTGCGGAAAGTGTTTTTACAACTTGAACAGCGCTTTGGTGGCGGATGGGGCGGTCGATTGGAAAGGCTGCGGAAAGACATATTTGGCGACAACGGGAGCGGCGGGCAGTAGTTGTCGATCTATTCACGTACGGGCACATACACATCTAACCCTAATATCTGTACAAGCTGCGACAATTTGATGTTGATACATTGCAATGCTCGAGGCGATTTGAATCATGAAATTTAATCATGAAATGTCGTCATCACCGTTCTCCTTCCTCCACTGGACGAACTCCTCCCAGCCAACTTCGCACTTCCTGCTCTGGTATCGTCGAAGTTTCACGGTCCTGAGCGTCTCTTCCGTGATGGCGCCGTTCCATCCTGCCTTACGCATAGCACTTTCCACGGCCTCAACCTTATCCCAACCTTGATCAGGTATGACATCTGGGAGATACGTCGCGGTCAGAGTATCTCTGGAGTTGAATCGCGGTAGATATGCTGACGAAGACAGAGGAGAAGGTGCGCTCGAAGATGGTGGGTATACTGATGGATTCGGGAAACTAATGTAGATCCCGTGTGTGCCAACGGTCCAATCTAGGTATGACGACGCGTCTTCGAAATCCGTCAAAAGGGATATTCTAGGCGCAACGACTGAATGCATCAACATACATATGAAAGGTGTGATACACTTACCCACATTCGAGAGACGGCAACTCTCGACGTTCTATTTTCCGGAAACGAGAGTCTTTGAATGCACTGATCAATGCGTATTCTGCGAGACCCTCCCTGAGGGGCATGGCATCGAAGTTGCCGATGCAACCCCTTAGTCTGGGTGGTCTGCCTGCGCGAGATGATCTGGTATTCCACGTCACAAATAATGGACTAGAAAATCACAACTATAGCACACATTTAGATCGAAGCGTACGGTTCACTTACTATTTCTCGTCAACGAAATTAGGTGAGATAGGCTCGCTAGATGTTAGCGCGCAGTACAATGCATCGAAAGCACGAAAACAGTGCTCTGGCGTGCACACATTGTACACCTTGTCTGCTTGATCTCCTTCCATTGGCTTGGAGGGAAGGAGGGATGTGGTGGTCGAGGCCTGAGGAACGAAACGGACTCATAGCTCGGCGCTCAGCTCTAGCCTCTTCCAGCATTGATGATCCTAACTGCCTTTTTTGGTGTTCTCCCTCGTCAGTCTGCTGACACAAATACCGCCTAGCACAAACCTAGCAAGGGATTAGAAGATCCAAGATTGCTGAATGAGGTGACTATAGACACATGCACAAATTGTATCTACTTAAGGTAGTATATGGTATGAGGAGATAAGGAAGTGAATAATAGTATTGCAAACAGTGGTCCCGAGGCTCGGTGGTATGAGAGAACCTGTAGGAATCATAGAAAGTGGCATAAAGAACATAGCATCCTGTAAACGAAAGAAAACGAGAGAGCTTGAATATCAGGTGAATGAGATTGATGTGACGGGAGAACATGTTGGACGATGTGAGAATGTATGCCGGACCGGTAAGATGCAGATGAGTAGAAAGACAGCAGATAGCTGAGAAGTCTTGATACCTGGCAGGGACAAGATCACGAAGCACAACAGCTCCAACCTCCTGAAGTGGAACGAGCCTTCTCCCGTGCCTCTTCTTCTTCGGCCTGAGCGGCCCAGGTAGGCGTGCTGATAGTCGATAGGAAGACACTATCACGTTTCCTGAGCTCATTTTCGCGCTCAATGATATCCTTCCGCTCGATGATTGCACTAATCAATGATTCGAAGAGGTTCTCGATGCCTATAGACAAATAGGTGAATGAGAGAATCAAGGTGGGGATCGAGCACACGCACCGAAGTCATCTTTAGCCGAAACTTCGAAAAGTTCCATCCCCTTGTGAAGTCCCCATTCCTGATCATCGACATCAAGGTCTTCCTCATCTTCATTTATGCTATTGCTGCTGCTATCCGCGGCATCATACCCTCCTGCATTCCGCCCAAAGTGTGAGCCAAAACGAGATTGTAGTGAACGAGAAGCCTCTGTTTTTGACCTGTTCAAGGCCAAACCTGTCGTCTTTATTCTCGGAAGGCCAGGTCCAGTATTACATCGCTTGAGCACAGATGAATGCGATGACTGGCTAACAGCGGGATCCAAGTAGGACGCGCTGTGTGGCGGAGAAGACTTCATCGGGGGGTTGTTTAGAGGAACTGATCTGATACTAGTAAAAGATGTGAATCTGGGGCGAATGTAAGATAGTGTTGACGATGGTGGGGGAGGAGGGGGAGGAGGGGTCGGGGGGCGCGGCGGAGGAAACCAAGTATGCAGCGATAGGCGGGCTAGATCAGATGTGACCTGTCTGTGATGATGTAGGTCGGCTTTTGAACCAACGATATAAATGATGAGCTCTGGCGGACAATTTTTCTTCAACTCTGTAATGGCGTCAGGAAAGAATTGCCAAAGTGAAACGTAGTGCTACGCACCAGCTAACCATCCTCGAATGTCCTCAAACGTAGCAGCATTCGTGATATCATACAAGAGAAGTGCAGCATTTGCTCCGCGATAATACATGGGGGCCTGATTACGCTGGTAAATCACTTGAAGGTTCATAAGTAAAATTGAGTTCATACCATGCTTCGAAATCGTTCCTGTCCGGCAGTGTCCCATAGTTGTAGCCGAACCTTCAAACCATCGACATGAACTTTCTTAGTTACGAAGAAAGCCCCGGTCGTGGACGTCATGTTCCTGGGATCGAACTTGTTCTGAGTGTAGCGATGGAGTAGGCTGGTCTTGCCCACGCCTTGTTAATTGAGAGCATGTCAGTGAATCAAGTTCTTAATATTCTATTGGTATCCGAACAACGAACCTGTATTGCCCATGACCACAATTTTGGCATCTATCCCATGTTCAACATACCTGGACTTTGAGTACGGGTCCATGCGTGGATACTCCGCCATGCAGAACGACGTTGAAGGTGAATGAGGAGTGCCACGAAGGGCGGGAGGGAGGGAGAGAAAAGAGAGGGAAAATGACTAGCAACAGAAGCAAGGAAGACAATGAAATGAATCAACTCAAAAAGACTGCAGACGCGATACAGAAACCACGTGCCGAAATCACGCCGAACCTGCCACCAGTGCTACGAGCGCCAACAAGAACTCTTTCATATAATAATCCGGCTATATGACTCGGAAAGCGATGAACTAACACTGCCAGACGCGCTACATTCTCTTTAGCAGGCACTGAACTTTGAAGTGCTTAGCACTCAGCGCTGCAGCGCTTTGAGTCTTTGACAATGACACGTTTATCACAGCACAGAACGTAAACAAGACATAAGCGGCATGTCCTTATTTTTGTCGGGGAATGCAGGGAACCGGAACATGTGTCATGATAACGCGTAATCTACTCCTGGTTTACCGGTGGGAACTCAAACGTCACATCCTTGCCCGTCAAGCGGCGGTATACTGAAGAGAACGAATCAAGCTTATACTCAAGAGATGTCGCATCTTTAGGGTCAAGAATGCTGCAATATCATTCAGCATCACGTCAATCCATCATAGAGCACGCCACCTACACTTTCAAAAGTTTTGATCCGTCAACAGATACGCGAGTCCTCTTGCCAACAATCTCCGTCGGGAAGACAAGGTCCTCGAGGATCTTCTCGTGTACGTTGGTGAGTGTACGAGAGCGGGGTCTCTTTTGCTTCACCCGCGAGTTACGGGTAGGCTTGCTCAACATCCGGCGCTGAGCGACGAAAACGACGTGGCGGTCAGAGAATTTCTTCTCCAGCTCACGGGTGAGTCTGCGAGATGGAAGACCAATTACAATGTCACTCTTCCCACTGAGATAACCGTCCTCACCTCTGCTGCACCTTGTGGAATGCCTTCAGTTGGGGAATGGGAACGAATATGACGATAGCCTTCTTTCCACCTCGTACATCAACTTCACGGGCGGCAGAAATTTGTAGAGCGCGCAGCTCAGTCTTGAGTTCAGGGACATTGTTCTCGAGGTCGATTAGGGCCTGAGCGACGGAAACCTCGGTTTCATCAGGGGAGGTAGTGGGTGCATTTGCGGTACGGAGGATCTTGTGGTTGACAGACATGGCTAGAATAGAGGCCCTGTAGTAGATGATCCTACGGTCAGCATCCACTCCTCATAACTTGCATCCACCCAATCAAAGTGATTCGACCGCGATTTTTGCTCCGCAGCTCGATGTGCACATCCATCCTGCACCGTTGAACACCACAACAAGCAGCAATTCGTACTCACCGAGCTTGACGCCTTCGTCGATGTCTTTTTTTTTGCGATGGGTCTTACCTTACGGTGTCTAGCTATCGCGCCAAACAGTGACCAACACATTCATGTGCACGTGCTTCTAAAGTTGGAAATACCCCTGTTCAATTACCCGAATATGAGCTTGTGTCTAGCTGTCTCGTGTCCGCTTGAATTCATCTACCCAATTCTGCTCTACCTCTCCCTTTGGAACAACAACAAACGTCAAACACCCGTCTTTCAACTCCAACCCATCATCAGGCTCCCCTTCTTTCGCCTTCGCGGCATTGCACACGTCCCTCAATGACATCTTTTTGCCAACTTTGAGTAGCCGCTTCCTTCTTGTTATCGCGTAAACCACGAGGGTGTTCGCAACGTACTGCCCAGCTTTATCCCAGTTGGGTGCAGGTGCCTGCGGCGGAAACATTTGAACAATATGAGTCGAAAAGGTGGTATCTTCGACAAAATGTGCTATGACGTCTGATGTCGCATATTGTGGATACAAGAAGAACACGGGGATTATCAGGGTAGTTCCTTCGGGGTCCTCTGGATCAAAGTGGGGCTCATATGGGTTCTCTGATGACCCTTTCGGGTTGTAGACGGCAAATAAATGTCGTTCCTGAAGCATGATCAGGAGACCGATGATGAGCCCGAGGTAGAACGTACCTTGAACGCTATCTGCAGGAGCTTCTTGACTCTTTGTTCGTTATGTATTCGTTCCTGTTTTTCACTCTCTTTGCGGAGCTTCTCTGCCTTCGCTTTTGCGGAACAATCGCGGACTGATCTGACTCCTTTGTTTTCTGGGTCGTACTCCAGACACCTCTCGCAACAATCGAGGGACTCTTCATAGCGCTCCAGCGCGAATAATGCCATAGCGGAGCGGTAATAGGCCTTTGAAGATTTCGTATTCAGAATGAGCGCGTTTGAGCAATCTCGGAGCACGGAACCATAGTTCTCTTCGAATTGGTTAGATCCTCGTTATCAAGCCAGTAGCTCGATTCCTCACTTAGTTCGAGGTTGCACGCGGCACGGTTGCATAACAGAGCTTCGTGCAATACAGTATCAGATGGCTTGGCATCAATTCCCTGCGTGTAGAAGCTTATTGCTTCTCGGTGGCGTTTTCCCTTGAAGTAGTCGTTTCCTTGCTCTTTGAAATTTTGAGCGATCTCTTGAAGAAGTAGCTTGTTCACGAGATGTTACGGTAGACAAGAGAAGGTTCTCACCCACCATCTGGCGTTCCGTCGAAGGCGAGGCTTTGTAAGGCTTGAATCACAGGGTCGTCAGATCCTTCTGGGGGGAGAGATTTCATAAAGAGTGGAGTGCTTTGCAGAGCAGCTATCTTTTCCTCGAAAGAGGACTCCGCCGACTGTGGAAATACGGCAGCCATTTTGATCTTCTTTCCGGTCAACCGTTGAGTTGGCGTCAGTAGTAGTGTGTATTAAGGTAGTGCAAGACTTGGTGCTGAGCAAAAGTGTTAATTAAGTGACAAACAAAGAGCTGATAAGATCCTGATAAGATCATTTGGGCCGAACAGGATTAACCGAAAACCACCTGACCAAAAATCAGTCTCAGGCATGCTTTGGACGCGCTGAAGCCTTCATGGCAGCGACCAAAGTACGAGGGCTGGTGGCTGCGCTGAACTCGACGGGGTGTTTCAAATACAAGGTAAGCCTGATCTTTATGGAGTTTCTTAGAGTTTCTTACACCATCTTCGTCCAGAGTCCAGATGCAGTGGTAGATTTCCTGGTCGTGGGCGGAGGTCCGTCCCGCACATTCTTCGTGGCGCGCTGACGCTTATCCATTGCTAGGTGTCGTAGGCTTGGCTGTTGCCCAGCGACTATCCGAGCGCTTCCCGACGAAATCAACATACCTAGTTGAGAGACATCCACACGCTGGCGAAGAGACGAGGCGAGCGAAATAGGTACTATCATATTTACTCCGCTGACTGAGAGTGGATAGCTCTCGTAACTCGGAAGTTGTACACGCTGGTGAGCTTACTTTGCGACGTGCAACTGTGTCTGTGTGCCCTGATGCTAGTGACTTTCCAGGACTTTACTATCCTCCAGAATCACTCAAGACGCAGCTATGTTTGCGAGGCAGGCACCTCATGTACGAGCGGTGCGACAAATACAATATCCCGTACCGAAAGACCGGCAAACTCGTAGTAGCACACGAGCACCAGCGGGCGTACGTTGAAAGCCTCTTCGCAAAGGCCAGACGACTACCATGCCCCAAGCACTCGCCGCTTCATGGAGCTGAAGAGCAAGTGCTCCCTGTCTCGCTCATAAGCGGTACGCAAGCACGCGAGCTTGAGCCAGACCTCTCACCGAACATAACTGCTGCGTTATGGAGTCCAGAGACAGGCATTGTCGACTCCCACTCTTTCATGGAGAGTCTGGAAAGGGATATATTAGAATCGGAAGGAGGCGAGTTGGTATTTTCTACTCGAGTCGTTCGTGTAGACCCGTACAAGAGCGAAGAGACCTCTAGCCTTAGCTCAGAAGAGGGCTGGGTAGTTCAGACTGTCACCGAGAACGCCGAGCAAGGAGATTCCCTGCTCGCTCGCACCTTAATCAACGCGTCTGGCCTTTCTGCCAATCTCATTCCAAATTCTCTACTGCCCGAGGCATCACGTATACCCATGTTCTTTGGTCGGGGCTCGTACGCAGCTTACAGCGGTCCAGGCATATCTCATATTAATCGGCTCATATACCCATGCCCTGAAACTGGGCCAAACAAGCACGCCTTCCAATCGCTCGGAACGCATCTGACCCTTGATCTACAAGGCAAAGTACGCTTTGGGCCAGACCTGGAGTGGATATCACCGCCCTCTCAGGCTGATGCATCAGAATACGATTTTAACGAGGAAAACACGGAGTTTTGGCGGAAGCATCTAAAACCCAGTGATTCCAGGCTGGAAGAGATGCACAGAGCGGTGACTGAATATCTACCAGGGGTATCTTTTGAAGGATTCAGACCTGACTACGTCGGAATCCGTCCCAAGTTGGTGTTGTCCGGATTCCAAGACTTTACTGTTCGGAAGGACTATGCGGATGGAAGCGGGAGAGGACTTATGGTCAGCTTGATGGGTATTGAGAGCCCTGGCCTGACGTCTAGTCTGGCTATCGCTGAACATGTCGTAGATGATGTCATTGAGTTAGAGCATATCCATATTTCACAATAGGACGTGGTATATATAGAATGTCTTGGCTCCGTACAATCGACCTACGGGCGTGCTTCGCCCCGCGTTATAATCTTCGGCTCCCAAGCATTAATCTTGGGCTTTACGGTGTTATACGACCGATAGGCACCTCTCGTAGCCGTCAGGGTCTCTACCCAGGGCTGTTCTGAAATTAGACTGGAAAGCAACGAAGTGCACGATAGCTACATACCGCTTTCCATGCCGGAGTCATGTTCTGCATGACAGCGTCCTCGGTAGGTGGTTGCAACCGGATATGCGATAGCCACGAATGCCATTCAGGCGGGACCTGAGTAGCATTGTTGTAATGCTAGAGACAGTACACGGTTATACCCGCTTTCGCCCAATTAAAGATGGACGAGAACATACCTGAGCAAAGTCTACCCATCTATGACGCCCTATAAAAAGCATCAAATCAAATATCACGTTGAAGCACACGAACGTAATACGCACCTGGAATTTCATCGTCTGAGTTCAAGTTTTCAAAGTACTTGTTACCGAACCTATCCGAACGATCAAACTCTGCGAGAAATGTGGGGCGAGCACCTACTGGTCGGTCCCAATGAGCGTTCCAGCTTTTGCATCTCCAATGTACTGCAATTGATGCCACCATTGTTTGATCCCGGTTGTGCGGATGTTTCGCACATAACGAATGAAGGACATGTCGGTGAACTGATGCAGAAGACTTATTTGGTCGTGATTGGTTCCAAGTGTTTCCAATGCAGGTTACGTAAGGAATGATTAATGAATCACCACATGTGTGGAGTTATGCCTTGAAGATTCGCTCATGGGTGGTTTCCTCCGAGGTCCATCTCAACTGGTCTTAGCTAAGTGGTTACCACAACAGAATCTAAATCATGTCTCTTGGAATGAGCTAACGCGGGTTTCAAACCTGCTGATAACAGTTTTTCCTATCAGGGCCCGCCTTGAAGATTCGCTGTCGGCCACTGTGGATGGTTTCTGGCCGAGGTGGTTACCACAATAGAATTAAAATCTGTTTCTCTCGCACTGCGCAGTGCGAAGGTTTGGAACGTTCCGATGACGACAATCAGAACACACCTTGACATTCACTCATGGATGGTTTCCTCAGGGGCTCATCGTAACTGGTCTTATCCAAGTGGTTATCACAACAGAATCAAAATCTGTTTCTCCTGGACTGTGCAGGTTCGAAACCTGCTAAATTATGATTTTTCTTTCTCTCAGAACACACCTTGACACTCATGGATGGTTTTGCCAGGGGTTCATCTAACTGGTCTTAGCCAAGTTGTTACCCCAAAATCTGTTTCTCTTGGCGTTGGTTCGAAACCTGCTGACAACATTTTTGCGGTGTATAGATCCTTAGAGGTCCATCTTAACTCCAGTTACACCGAGACCCCCTGTTATGTGATAGTTTGTCCATGAAAAAAAAAATCACCTTCACGCATCGCAAGGGTCGTTTCAGAAACATAAGATATATCCTCGGAGGTACGTACCAACCTAAATTCTCAACAGACTGATCAAAACTGTCGGAGTTCACCACCAAATGGAAAATGATAATTGGGCCGAAGACCAGAAGCATTAATCAAGCTAAGGACAGAGTGATCCTGACAATCAGGAAAATGATGTCATCTCCCGGCCTCGCTGAAGCCTCATCAAAGGACACTCCTTCGCCGTTCGGTCGTCGGCTCTTCCGGAAGAATTGAAAATGGCAGATTAAACCATATCAATATGTTTTGGTTGGTATGTAGTTTGCGTGTGCTCTTGTTTTATGTCAATGCCGAGGCGGAACAAGAAATCTTTACTTCGATTACTGCGGCACTAGATAGAGCTGGAACTTCCAGAACACCCCATAATGGGACACTATACCAGGGCTCAGTGAGAAGATTGTAACCGAAAACTGATGCTAACTGGCAGAAGTTTTGGAAGATCCGGGAAACCGATCGTGTTCGAGAAGAGCCCTCCACTAACGTAGGATCATAAGGTGTACACTGATGTACACCGGCATGCATAAGAAACAGGCTACTCCTAACAACAAACTACAGAATACATTTGCCAACACAGATAAAAAAGAAATCAGAGATGGAGATATAAAGAGAGGAAGAAAGAAGACGAATACAATAAAAAGTCTAAAATATAAGTAATTTGATACTCCCACAACAAACAACACAAAGAAAATAATTACACAACGGTCCGTCCGTCGTTATCGTTATTCAGCGTACAAAACATGCTTCTCCGTGCTATCCAGCCACTCTCGCAAGTCTCTATCGTCGTCGATGCCGATAAATTCGTTGCTTAAACTGTGGCGGTATCGAAGATTGAGCACGTTGCCGCCTAATCGCGCTTGCACCTTCTCCAGGAGTTCAGCGTGCGTCACGCGAGGATGTACGCGAATGGCGATCAGGTCATCAGTGACACGATCGAATATTTTGATCTTGACGAAGGCTGTCTGGGAATTACCAGCGGACATTGGAGGGGCGTTCATATTAGTGGCGTTTGATAGGGAACGAGATCGGGAGGACATGGTGATAGATGGCTGTGACGAATCGGGAGATGATGGAGATGGAGTGGCGTGTTCTGGCCAAGCAGAGTTGGAGGCAAAGGATGATCGAGAGGACGCGCTTGCACGGGAAGTGTCAAGACGTGGATATGACGGAGACGAGTGTCCATTTTGTTTGGACCGGGACCCCGTGCGGTGATGTGATGTCGCTGTATTTGGTCGATGAGGTTGAGGGGTTGCACTGCTTTGTGAGTCACGAGACATAATATGAGTAGGGGGCGTGTGGTCCTCCCCGTAGTCCGAGCCTTCGCTTCGATCATCTCTATCTGACAATTTCATCTCCCCAAGCGTATCACGAACTTCCTCCTCAAATTCCTGCGTTATGGTTTGTTCTCCCGTGGCTTCTTCGGCAAAGAGTGCCCTGACCTCGTCATAGCGAGGATCAATATCATGTTCCACATCTCCAGGTTTGAGCGATAAAAATTCGCGCACAAGCTGATGTTCAAGAATGTAGCTGGCACCAACCGTGTTTAAGGCACAGAGTTTGTGGAGATATTCGTCTAGTTCTTCCCGTCGGGCAGCAGTGATCTCGTCGTCGACATGTTCGGTAGGACCAGGCATGAAGGGTAGTATCCGGACGGAGTCAGGTTCTCGCCCGGCTTCGCGAGAGAATGCCTGCAAGAGGTTAACTTGGAAATCGAAGAAGTCATTATATATTCGGAATAGGACGAGCTGTTTGGCCTTTGGAAGAATTTGAGGGTCGTGAGGATCATAAGGTTGGTAGATGGCGTCTGTGCGGAACCAGTACTCGTTCATTTCATTGTGAAATGAGACGACGTCGGCTGATAGTAGGATACCCTCGGGCAAGAGGACGGGGGAAGACGGGTGGGGGAGTGGTGCGGATACAGGTTGTGGTTGTGTGCTGGAACGCTGGGCATATGGTTCCTCTATGACGCCGAGTGATATACTATTTGCTTTGTAATTGAATACGGCTTTCTTCCATTCTTCGACACCTGGCAGATCTCCACTGTCAATCAAAGCGTCGACATCATCTACTGGGAGATTTGTTGTAGGGTTGCGAACTTCCACAAAAGAAGCAGGGATTAAACCTGGTCGGCCAAGTCGACCAATAGGTTTTGCGACAAACCATTCGCGGTTTGACTGGGCAACTACTGTTATGCAATCGCCGGATTTGGCATCAAGCTCGTCGGCGCGCTCCGCTATGAAGTCGTGAAGAACTATTGCAAAATATGCAGGTGCTTTTGGGGACTTTGGAGATGTTGGACTAGGGGGGGAAGGACTATTTACTGCGACGCTGATAGTAGAAGCGCGTACACTGTATAGATTGTTAAGGCCTAGATTAGTGAATATAGAATTGTACTGACGCTGGGCTCTTGCAAAACTCTTCGAACATAGATTGCGGGACCAAACCTCTAGCTCCGGTTACAGGATTATGTGCATCATACCAATCCCCTTGACTTTCTACATTTCCTGTAACATAGAAAAAGTCACCCTTTTGAAAAGGAAGCTGCTGAGGACCCTGTGGCCTGTATGATGCGATTGCACGAATTACTTTTTGAGGGGGTAGTGAAGCATTCTGAGGTTTAGATACAGAAGGTAGCGGTAGAGGAGTAGAGATTTCAAGGCGATGGATTTCTCGGTTTCCGTTGAGAGATTTACGTAGGGATTTCATGAGCATAAGAAGTATACAAGAGACAGCGGAGCAGACGAGGGTTAAGAACAGAGACCAATTCAAATTCGATTTCAATGCTTTTGTTAATAACCTCTTTAGGGGAATTTTCTCACACTGATAATGACCCCAACTATCCGGAACTTAGCTAGTACGCCAATATTGTCCACAGCAGACTAAAACCTGTGGTATGCTTCAAAGTCGTAGCAAGTCGTTGAAACCGTCGAGCTCGATGTCGCTGGACTGCGACTCCGAAAATTTTTTAAGGAGTTTCATCCCATGTTTATGTAATCTTTATGAGCCAAATAATTGTCAATTTTACGACCCCAAACATAGATCCAAGGTTGCAACTAACTGATATTCGACAATTGTATTTCCATTCACTTGTGTTTTCTTCGTAATGGCGGCCAGAAAGCTGCAAAGTATGTTTTTGTTAACCTTTGCAGCTTCATTTATTCAATTTTATCATATCTTTCATAGCCGAAATTGACCGCACACTAAAGAAGGTCGGCGAAGGCGTCGAGGTCTTCGAAAGCATATATGAGAAGATGCAGGCCTCTACAAACCAAACGCAGAAGGAGAAACTGGAGACTGACTTGAAAACACAAATAAAGAAGCTCCAGCGGTTACGCGACCAGATCAAGGCCTGGGTAGCAAGCAATGACATCAAAGACAAGTCCGCACTTCTGGAAAACCGGAGACTAATAGAAACTGTACGTGTCCATTGCTCCATGTCCTCCCCATACGCGCCTTCCCATTCCGCGACCCTTCCGACGAGTTGTCACTCATTTGTGTATACAGCAAATGGAGAAGTTCAAGGCCTGCGAGAAGGAAATGAAGACAAAGGCTTTCTCTAAAGAGGGTCTAATACAGTCGGCCAAACTGGATCCTAAAGCCCAAGAGAAGCTCGAGGTCACGACGTGGCTTCAGTCGCAGGTCGAAGATCTTTTGTTGCAGGTAGAACAAGCAGAAGCGGAAATTGAGACACTCCAAGGCAGCGGCGGCAAGAAACGCGGAAAGGGTAGTTCATCATCTGCTGGTCGTTTGGAAGATCTAGAACACCTCAATGAACGTCGAAAATGGCACGTCAACCGACTCGAACTCATCCTTCGTCTCCTAGACAATGGTTCTTTGACCACGGATCGTGTACAAGCTCTCAAGGAAGATGTACAGTATTTCGTGGAAAGCAACACGGTTCGTTGCGCAGCAGTATGTTCTACTTTGAGACCTTTTAAGGCGTTTTCTGGGTGCAGGACGAGGACTTCAATGAATATGAGGGCATCTACGACGAACTTAATCTTGAAGAAGAGGAGGAACAGTTTGGTCTGGCTGGTGATGACGATGAAGATAGCGACGAGTCGGATGCCGCAAGTGATGGTATGTATTCGCTGCTTATACCACTCCTGTTGAATTGACTTTGGCAGACCTTCCTCCACGAACGCCGAACAAGCGACATGAGAAGGATGAAGAAAGTGTGGCGAGCAGTAAACGCGACGAAAGTCCCGTGCAAAAGAAGGCTGGAGTGACACTTCAATTGCGGAGTACGTGTTGGTTCATACATTGCAACTACGACTTACAAGGCACTACCAGAGCCATCAATTGCAACTGAAGGTTTGTTTGTATTTTTATTTTATTTTGGGTAGTGATACTCAAAGTTCGTCCGAAAAGTCAAACCACCGCCAAATCCAAACTTTGCACAGCAGCCGATGGCGAGTATTCTACGAGCTAACTTGCAACCGGCAACCACGCGGCCACCAGCGCTTCCGCCGATCCGCTATGCCGCTGCAGCAGCCGCTGCCGTCACTCCGCAATCTTCTCAGCAGAATGGCGCATTGCCCCCGACACCCTCGACATCACAACCTATTCCACACACGCCGTCAACGAGTTTCCCTGAAGCAACGACATCTACACTTTCGATAACGCCGTCGGCTTCGCAAAGTGGCCTGCAAGATTCGCAATTCACATCCTCACCAAGCTTGACGCATCCATCAGTCACGAGTCCGATGCTATCATCTGCTGCATCACATCAGCAGGATGGGTCATTCTATTCTGGACAGGATTCACCAGCAATATCGGATGCTGTTCCGAGCTCTGTAAGTGGTCCTGCGGCCACGTCATCACCACAGCGTCAACAGAAAGGTATGTTTTTCGTACCAGGAGCATGAGGACAAAGGTAATTTTAGTTTAGAGCCTGCACCCTCACCTCACCTCGCCAGGGCACCTTCACCTGCTGCACCAGTAAGTGTTTACCAGTGTTGTGTCCACGATGAAACCTAATGAGACGTAAACAGCCACCAGCATCAGTATCGGCAGTGCCACAATTCCAACTGGTCACCAATGGAACCTCGCAGATTACTCAGCCCCCCACGCAGTTGCCTGCGTCAGCGTCATCGCCACTACCTCAACAGATACATCAGGTCACAATAGCCCCATCAGCACTTCCAACTCCACCCGCAAGTTCGACATCTGTAACACAGCAGGCGCAGTATCCCCCGGGCATAAAGGTCCCACAGAGTGTAGAACAGCAACCGGCCCCGATACAAGCTGTCCAGCAGCCCATTGGAGGTTCGCAAAGGCCTCCTTCAACGGCACCAGCTCAGCAACCGCCGCATCCTCCTTCGCGTCCAGCTACTTCAGGCACATTCCCTGGCTCTCTATCAGACCTCGTGGCATCGTTTGAAACGGTCAAGCAGAAAGGTTTGTCTTTTGGACCCCGTTTGCGTAAAAAATCTTGACGGATAATCAGCTCCTCATCGTATGACAAACCTCGGAGAAGTGCATAAACTCCTTGAAGGTGGTTACTCAAATGTCCCACAGCCACAGGACACAGAGAAGTACGGCATTTCGATCCAAGTACGTTCGATAGGGGCTAATGCGTTATTCATACAGACCAAAATACTATGTGCCGCGGAATCCCTTTGTCACCCCATCATTCTATCCTCAGACTCCTCATCCTATTCTGAGCACCCCAGGCATATTTTCCCAGATAGACGTAGAGACTCTCTTCTACGTCTTCTATTACTTGCCGGGAACATACCAGCAGTACGAGAGCAATCTTACGTTCCATGGAAATTGCTCACGTAACTTTTAGATATATGGCCGCTAAAGAATTGAAGCGTCAATCGTGGCGATTTCATGTCAAATACATGACATGGTTCCAGCGACATTCGGAGCCGCAAGCCATAACAGAAGAATACGAACAAGGCGTGTACGTTTACTTTGATTGGGAGGGATCATGGTGTCAGCGCAAGAAAAGCGATTTCCGGTTTGAATATCGTTATCTTTCTGAGGATTGAAGAATTTTTTCGCTCTTTCAGGTTTTGTTATCCCTGGTTTTTTTTTTGTCATTGCTCCTGCCGTGACCATATGTATCGCCATAAGCGCCACTACTGGACAGTCTTGCCAATCACATTCGTACTAACTTGCAACCCTATTTCATAATTATAGTGAATGAATTATGGCTTGAACTGCTTTTAGTTTGTCCGCACCGTCTTTGGATGTTTTCCTTGTGATACAGACTCGGAGCCTGAGACCAAGATAGCGTGAATATCCCTTTAATTGAGCATGCGCCGAGACTCGCGGTCGATGAGGGTAAGGTCCGAGATCAGGGCCACTCATGGATGATCTCGCGCTTCGCTGCAACACACCTGCAACCCTATTCCTTAATTATAGTGAATGGATTATAACCTGAACATGCTCTATACACAAGACTGGATGATCTACTCAAGCACAACTACTGCCCCCAGTTTTTCTAGAACCTCTTTTAGTTTGTCCGCGTCTTCTTTGGGCATATTTTCCTTGAGAACCTGTGGTACAGACTCCACGAACTTCTTCGCCTAATACCAAGTCAGTGTAAATATACCTATAACGAGCATGCATCGAGACTCACGTCGATGAGCGTAAGGTTCGGGATCAGGGCCTTGACCTCACGAATGATCTTGGGCTTCGCAGCGGCATCGAAGGACTGAAGTTTCAAATTGAAGATAGTCTTCTCCTTTGGTTTCTCCTGCTCGGTTTAGTTTTTTGTCAATGAACACGCCTTCTTAATGTATCATTTCCCACCTCCACTGCTGCTTCTTCAGCCGGGGCGGCAGCGGTGGGCGCGGCGGCTGAAGCAGCGGGCATAGCAATTTCTTGAATATTTAGCCGTGACTTTGGGCGCTATTATGAGTAAGAGTTGAAATATGTTTTAGAAGGGATGGAACCTTCAAGAGCGTGACGAGATCAGCTGCCTGAAGCAGTGTTAGTCCAGAGATGTCGTCTACTATGCGGCCAATTCTGGGGTCACTTGGCGGAGGAGCCGTTGGAGACGACGATACAGATTCTGTTGCCAGCCATCTTGACCGGCTAGCTAACGGAGCAAGGGCAATGCTGCAAGTAGAATTTAGCATTCGAGCGATGTTTTTCAAACATGCTGCTTACCGCGCGCTAGCCAATCTTGATGATGAGCATAAAAGAGTAGAGTAGCGGCTCTGCGGATTCAGTGAGTATGATGTGTGTTGAAAGGTGGGGTCGGAAGCTTACTGCCAGCTGTGCCATGATGTTCAGTCTCGGACAGTATATTTGGACTTTTTTGACACGTACGAATTCGGAGGTGTTATTTGGCCGTGTTATGCAGGGGCTTTAACTTTCGAATTACAAATTGCAAAATTTTCAAGTCAGGCTTCGGACAGTCCACCTCCTACTAGTAGTTAGCCACCCTAGATCGATGTGGCTTGATGCGGCTACCGTTCCCATTAGCCCTTTGTTCTATAGGGTGAACCCTGAGCTAAAACTTCCACCTACTGGTAGCGCACGTCCGGGGATACTAGCCTATAACAAAAATTTAAAGTCCTCCAAGGTTAATAACTTGATCGACGACGCCACCGCACATCAATTACCCTTTGTTCAGTCCTTGTTCTCGACCCTAGGTCTGATCCTTGAAGCTACTGGCAGCCAAGTCTGCTAAGCGCTAGTTCTAAATCTTGATTCAAGCACTACTAGTAGCGAAGGATGGGATCTAACTTTATGATAGACTCAGCACGCGACTCCGTTCCAACCGGTAACTTCCAGTGAAAAGTTGAACACCAAACCTTGTCGCCGTCCGACGAGTCGCACACCCGTTGCCAACTGGCTGGCTCAAGTTGAACCGCGAATATGTCACGAACCACATCAGATTGAACACGGGTAACAATCTTTCGCTAGGCGAGTTCTTGTATCTCGCACATTTGATTGGCAACTATGACAGAGATGGGAGAAAAACAACAGAACATATACTCCGGAATTCCCTTCATTGGGCGCTAATCAAGCCAAGCTGGTATTGGACCCCTTTGTCAGGGCCTTACTTTGGCCGCCGCCGCTGGCCTATCTCATTACTTCATCATGCTGATTTTAATGTAACTGGTCTCGAGCTCCAGCAGTACCTAGCGCGAACATGAGAGTACAACATGTGCGAATATCCGGCTCTCTGATCAACATGTCCATGTCAGACTTGAAGTACTCTCATGTCTACTCAGTCAAGGCCTAGAAACTAACGTCATGAACAGTAGATTTTCCTAGCACTGTAAGCTACTGTACGTTGGAGCTCCGCGATGGAGTACGAAACTGATAAGACCTGACTGGGAAGATGGTAACGTTGCCCTTTGTGCCTTTGACAGTTATCTCAGGGTGATTTCTTGTAGACAGATCTGTGTGCAAACTGTCTATTTATGGCACTGGCACTGGCCGGATCGGATCTCCTTGAATAAAGATGCAGCCGAACGAAAACCGGCGATTCCTAAGCCTTCGCGCAGCCATAACGGAAGCCTTCTGTTGAAGAGACCCCAGAAATCGAAAAAAATTTTAACTTCAGAGCGCGAGCTGATCGGTAATGAAATTCTTCATGGTATGGTGCGTGCTCACTCAAACCGAAGATACTAAACCTTGCTTATGATCATAAAATGCATCATTCTCAAGTTGGCAGCCCTGAGAAGAGTCTCTAGGCGCTTAAGTCTGTGGAGGAAGTGTGTGTTTAATAGCGTCTAATGTGGAAAAATTCTGGCAACTTGCGATTCGAAGCTGCCTGCGAACCTCATGTGTCGTCGAATCACATTCGGGTCGGCCCATCAGTATCAGCTTTAGACGGAAGCACCTGTCACTTCGCAATTTTCACAGTTCACGGCATCTTCCAAATGCAGCTGTCCAGCGAATCTAATCATACAAAAGGTTGTTCCACCTGTTGCTAGCATCAGGCCGTCCCCCCTACCATATATTTCATCAGCACCCCTTATCCGCATTCGCTCACTCATATTCATCTCTACCATGGGTGCTCTGGATAATACGTGCGTATACTTCCAATCCCCGTATACTAATCACTTATTAACAATCAACGTCCAGTTTTGGTGCATTCTTGATTGGGGTCGTAATTTCTGCCACGTAAGTACTCAAATCTCTTCAATCAAACAATGTGTTCAAATGGGAACTTGCATGTTACAGGCTTTACGGTGGTATGTTTATCCGCTCCTCGTTTTTTGGCCCAGTGTTTATGATTCCACAAAGTCACTTGCGTGCAGACATGGTACTACTACAGCCGGTACCCTTCGGATCCCTGGTACATCAAGCTCTTAGTAAGTTCCCGTGGGATCACCTAAATGCGTCCCATTCAACGGGGTTTTTTAATCTAGGTTGGCGCTGTGCTGTTATCAGACTCAGTGCATCAAGCTCTGATCACACACACAGGTGAGCGCGTAATACGAGCTGTGCTTGTCTCGGGGCTGAATATCACATCCTGTAGTTTATACTTATCTTGTAACTGATTTCGGCGTTGCTGCTGACCTCGGGAATCTTGTTTGGAGTCTAATTGTAAGTTGCGTATCATTGGTCCGTGGTTCTTGTCTCAACGTTGGTTTGATGTGACAGGTCGAAGTCTTGTTCAATGGCTTCACAGCACTTATGGTTCAAAGGTCGGTGTGAGATCTTGCCGAAAAGAACGTTCCGTCCTGATCGTCCTGCCAGCTTCCTTACCATGCGTGTATACAGACGTATGTGCGATATTTATCCGCCGGCGAATGTTTGCTTACTTTCAGCCAGTAAGCAACAAAAGTATAATTGCAACTGTGTCTGTGCTGTCCCTTGTCATTGGTGAATTTGTCCTTGTCGTCAGTGAGTATGCGCTGCTTTTGCCAGGAAATTGTCCGCTAATGTAATATTTGAAGTATACGTTGCAAAATCGTGAGTCGTGTAGGAATACGCCTCGCAGTTTGGTTAATGCAAACTACCTCTTTAGTATCCATATGACGACATTCGTGCAACTCTCCACGCTCAAGCCACTGTCTATGTCTGTGAACGCTTTAGCAGCTGCTGGAGACGTCCTCATCGCTGCATTCCTCTGCACGCTCCTTCAAAAATCCCGCACTGGATTCCGGAGGTCCGACACCATGATCAACAGGCTGATTCTGTTCAGTATCAACACTGGCCTCCTCACCAGTATTTGCGCGGTCATGTCCCTCATTTCTGTAAGTAGCAAATTGCGAATAGCCTGTGTTGCGCTCCTGACCCAGATGTGGCACAGATTTCAGTATGGGGTGATACTTTCATTTACATTGCATTCTATTTCTGCTTGGGTCGTCGTAAGTACCATTTAGCTGTATTATACAGTTTACGAGATCGACGTCATTATTTTCAGTTTACTGCAACTCCCTGCTGGCTACCCTTAACGCACGCAAGAGTCTTCGTGGGGATTCCCGAGACGAAAATATGTCGCTCTCGCTTCAGGGAATTCAGAAAACGTCTAACAGCATTGGTACTTCGCAAAAGGTTAGTTCCATGAATAATTTTCTTGCGAAGGGCTTGGCTCATCTATGATTGAATCATATCAGCGGCTACCGAACAACATCTCAATCAAGATTGACACCACGCAGGAGTACGTTCGAGATGAGGTTAGTTTTCTTTTTTACCGGGGCCGCGATCTATTGCTGATCCGCATGAACGGCAGTACTCATCTGCAACAGAACTTAAAAGTGCGCAAGCAGTTTAGTCGGGTTCGGATATGAGTGCCACGAGGGCGACGAGAAGCACAAATTGTACCACTCCATACATTGGTAGAACATTGGTGTTATTCTTTTTTGGATCGTTCCTTGCATTGATTGTAAGTATTGTAACATGTGATCTGCACCAATCTGGTCATTGGAAGAGTCTATTCCTTCGTACATACCTGTGCATGAGGACCATTGTTTGAACACAAATTTGGAATTGGAATATTAATACACTGATTTGCACTGGAGAAACCATAATGCTATTTTATGCCACGATCTCCAAGATCTATCCGAGATAGCAGACATACGTATGATGAATGGAGTGACCCTGAACTTTAGTTGGCAGCAATGATTGACATGGCGGCGCCCTTTGTACTCGACGATCAGAGGAGACTAGGCTAGTAGTACTTGGGTGGATTGGCAAGCGACTGCTCCGTGGGAGCGATATGATCGCGAAAAATAGCGGCAAATTTTGACCCGCGGGTGCCTGAAAGTTGACCCAATTCTAGGTGATTTATCCGGTTGACAACATCTTACGCATCCACGTTACGACTACTCTTACGACCAAACATTATCAGCTCTTGCGCTTCCAGAAGATTGGGACGAATTCAGCAAGGTCCTATACGCAAATATAATACATGCTGACATGACAGCTGAACTTCCTTACTAGCACTCCTCCCTTTTCTTCACTCCATTCAATTTTCTTATCTCACCCCCACCGCTCTTTATTCACTCATCATGTTGACACTCACTAACATCACTTGGCTGGATCTATGTCTTGCCGGCGTCGGAGTGTATATGGTGAAGCAGGTATTCTCCCAGAAGAATCCCGCACCATACCCCCCTGGTCCCCCAGGGCGTCCTCTCATCGGGAATATCCCAGACATGCCTGCGGTCAAGCCCTGGGTCACCTTCACTGAGTGGGGCAAGAAATATGGTGGCTGTCTCCTCTCCTGCCGAAATCCTGCATTCTAACCACTGCGTGCAGGCGATATCTCACATGTGGAAGTTCTGGGTCAGCACATCATGGTTTTGAACTCTGTAAAGACTGCGGTGGAAATGCTGGATAAGAAAAGCTCTGTCTACTCCGATCGTCCTGTTCTACCTATGGGTGGTGAACTTGTCGGCTGGAAAAATACTCTCGTTCTTCTCCCTTACGGTGATCGTCTACGTGAGTACCGCAAAAACTTCCATCGCGTCATTGGCAGTCGTGCCTCCATGGATATATATCAACCGATCGAGGAAATCGAGACCCACCGATTCTTGAAACGTGTACTTGCGAAACCCGACCAACTCCAGTCACACGTGCGACAGTATGTGCTGTCCATCCTTATTCCTATTTGATGTTTGAATTTGCATAGCACCGCTGGCGCTATCATTCTCCGCATCTCTCATGGTTATGAAGTCAAGGAGAACAATGATCCCTTTGTCGACCTTGCCGATCTTGCTGTTGACCAATTTTCGAAATCCACCGCTACTGGTGCCTGGATGGTTGACATCATACCATCCTGTAAGGCTATATTATTCTGAATGTTGCTTCTGAGTTCCTGACTATTTGTAGTGGCTAAGGTACCCGAGTGGCTTCCTGGCGCTGGCTTCAAGCGCACAGCGCGTGAATGGCACGAGTCCCTCGAAGAGATGGTCGCTGCACCCTACAAGTTCGTCAAGGATCAGATGGTGACTATTATTCGTAGCTTTCTCATCCAGTATTGAAGTTTTAATTTTACAGGCTGCTGGTATTGCCCCGAAATCTTTCGTCTCGAATCTGCTCGAAGGCCGTACTGTGACTGCCGAAGAGGATCACGTTGTGAAGTGGTCTGCTGCATCCTTATACTCTGGTGGTGCCGACACGGTTAGAATTGGCCTACATATTTCAAATCGAGACTAATTCCTTCCTCAGACAGTTTCGGCAATATACTCGTTTTTCCTGGCCATGACACTTTTCCCTGACGCGCAGAAGAAGGCTCAAGCTGAAATCGATGCCGTTATTGGTCCTGATCGTCTTCCCTCCTTTGTTGACCGCGACTCCCTCCCCTACACTGAGGCCCTCGCGAAGGAAGTCCTACGCTGGAACGCTGTCGTCCCTACCGGTTTGTGTATCTTGTTTATCGCATCCTGTTGCTGACAAGGGGGATAACAGCTATTCCTCACCGTGTTATTGAAGACGACATCCATGATGGGTACTACATCCCCAAGGGCTCTTTCATAATGCCCAACGTTTGGTTAGTACTCTCCTTCTCCTGTATTCGGTATGTCGAGCAGATTCAATGGTTTGAATAGGTTCATGCTCAATGATCCTCGGACATATACCAACCCCTCGGAATTCAACCCTGACCGCTTCTTGGCCAAGGAAGGAAAGGAGCCTGAGACCGATCCTCGCACGATCTGCTTTGGGTTTGGTAGACGGTAAGCATTGAGTTGTTGTTCGGGAGCAAAACGCTGACGTCCCGGTCCGCAGTATCTGCCCAGGTTAGCTAAACTGAAAGAGGGCACCGATCCCCAGGACATTTCTGACGTCGCTTGCGTTTGATTTTACAGGTCTCCACCTTGCCGATGCGTCTGTCTGGATGTCTGCTGCAATGTCGCTTGCCGTATTTGACATTTCCAAGGTTGTGGAGAATGGTGTCGAGATCACCCCTGAGGTTGATCCCTCATCAGGTACAATCAGGTATGTCGCGCTTGTTGTCGTTTGCCGTGCCAGTCTGGACAAACACCCTCCCAGCCACCCCAAGCCTTTCAAGTGCTCTATTAAGCCCCGTTCTGCAAGGGCCCTTGCGCTCATCCAGGAAGATGCTTAGTACCTCAGGGAGTTACCTGGGGAAAATCGCAGGAATACATCCATTGCCTTGGGTGGCAACTCACTTGACGACTTGACAATGCGTCATACTTTGTATCTTGCACTCAGAGGATGTGCAAAATTGGCCGTACATCTCGATTATCATATATTTATGACATCTTACTTTCATCTTGTTGGAATATTTTACGATGTGCAAATGGTATTACCGTGAATCTTCCCTGGCTTAGAAGCGTGTACCCGGATGATATGGTCACTACCTTCGTTACAATGTTTTGGCAATGGATGTGTGCTAGAAATAAGGACCCATATCAACAGGCGCACACGATCTGTCTGTCAACTTGCTTGACTGGCACCTGCCAATGAGATGTTATGACGAAATTTGGCTTACCGACAAATGCACATGATCATGTTACGACTGACAACAATTAGCTTGTTTGACACCTTCAAGTTCCTCGTGCGCAGTATGCAATCACTTCGGACCGACAGACTCAGACTTGGATAGTATCACGCGCGATACCCTAACCGGACAGACTTCTCTGAGTGCATCATCTCACACCGTCACATCAGTGAACCGATGAGCCCCCGTTGTCAACTCCGAAAGTTCACCCATGGAGTCGCAACCCTCGTGAGCCCATCAGAATTTAGAAAAGACTTTCGAATCGGCCTTCGTTGTCGTGCTCATCCGATCGCGTAGCACGTGCCACGATGATCCCGGCCTCAATCACGACCGTCGGATCATGTTAAAAAAAATTCGAGCTTCACGAATAGATGCTCGCCTGCTCGTTTGAGTTGTGAGTTGCTAATGTAGTGCAGGGCTCGGATCTAATGGATCTTGGGATTATTAGCTTCTTGGATAACCCTAGCGTTGTGCGATGTGCGTGCTGCTTTTTCTGGAGTCAAATTTAGTGGAGCCGGAGTAACTGTAGATCAGGTATAGTATGGGAAATTTGGAATATTCCTTTCACCACCAGTGGTACTGGTGCCGTCGACATAACCATCCCGGATCTGTTCGGGCGAGGATATATTACTTGATAGAAGGATTTTTTTTTCTATTGGTCTGCCTATGGGAGACTACGAGGATGAGGCACCCGGTACCCCCGCATGCTCAGGTCACATCCAGCTGTCGTATTTGTGATGCTCACAGAAATAGTAGGACACACAAGATTGAGGACTACTCCTCTGTCTCTTTATGGTCCTGGTACCGTCTCTTTTTAATGAGTAGTCCCACTGAATCGTTCTGTGATGATTGCACCAAACTTCACGGAGTAAGTTGTTGACTTCTCACTCGTGTTGGCGTTGCTGACTCGGAATTTATTGCTTCACTGACATGACTGGTTCCACAAAAATGGGGCGAGTGTTGGGAATCGGGCACCCGAAGACAGTCAGTAGGGAGTTTTTGCTAAGTGATGTTTGTGGTTTTCACGGTGTGAAACGGTGCTCTACCTGGTGTGTAGGCAGACGTGACATAAGTATGCTCACCTCAGTCTACAGTTGCCAAGTATCAAAATAATCGTGAGATACTTTTTCACCGTTAATATTGTCCTCTGAACGCAAGAGGTCGAAGGAGATGCGAAGCTGTTCACCGAGATTGCGCATTCGATCTTGTTGGAAGGCGAAATTGTGAGCACGGAACCATTCGCGCAATAGGGGGGGTGCACGGTCTTCATCTCCTTCCTGGAAAATAATGTGAGGACTGCGCACCCCTTCCAGCACGGCTCCATGACGAAGGTAATTGATATCGGTCAAGAGCTGTTGCAGAACATCGGGTCGAGAGACTGAGGTCCACAGTGCGGATGCAGCGAGACATACACGTAATCAAGGTTTCCGGATACATCTCCTTTGCGAACAACGACATCAGGGACAGTTTTTTGTGATTGTAATTGTTGAAGACATTCAAGGCGTTTTAGCAGATGTCCTTCACGCGTAAATTTCCTTCTAGTAAGGTGAAGGTCAATTTACATACTTATTTAATACTGACCTCGGTAGACGATTGTGAGACAACAGTCAACGGACGTGTAGTAACGAAACAAAGGCACCGCCTTTGAACGAGAGACCTCGGTATGATTTTCACGCCGCTCGGTGCTATTCATGATCATCCTCCATAGCTCGAGAAGTTTGTGGAACGTATTCGTCCCATATGTTGCGGACCCAGAAGCTCGTTTGTACTCTAAGTCCATGGCCTGCGTCTATTCATCATCATCAACATAGTCACCAACAAGTAAACTGACTGACTCACCTGTGCATCGGCAGCGTCAGCCATCGCAGGACTTAGTATCCGCATGTTAACAATCGCACATTCGCGGTAGAGTGCACTTGGGTACTTCTCCTGGAGCATCTGTGCCTCGGCGAGTGTTACTCTTGAAAAGAGTTGGGAGAAAAAGGACGTGCAGCACAGATTTCATAGCAGGTATTCGAATCAAATGAAGAATGTTGCCGAATGTAGATTGATCCCATCCTCGAACTACGTTTAATGACGGTGCAATGGTATCTGATCTAGAGAGTACCGGGACACACGGATATGGCGATAATGTTAGACTTTTGCACCTTGTCGCTGACGACGTGGATGATAGAGTCATCTGTCTTGGGTATCTGCCTGCCCGATGGCAGTGCGTCGAGGACACGGTGGAGGTAGCGGGTGAAAACAACCATTTGAAGGGAGTTTCGGCCTTCTTGGTGGAAAAGTGGATGTGGCTTGGAGGTTGAGGAGTAAGAGAGAGCGGCGGCTGCATAGAAGGGGTTGGTTGACGACGACGATGCGTATGTCGCGTTCCGAGTCGGTGAGTGCGACGAGAAGAGTGAGAGTTAATAATGATGCTAGTGATGTGTTTTGGGTCAGTACAGTAGGGTCCTGGCGACCGATGATGGAGCCTGGCTGTTGATACTTGTGAGCAAAGATGATAGCATCCAGTCTCAGGCTAGTCTCCGACTCTCCTGTGCCGTGAGGAGAACAGCGGCTGTCGTGACGTATAAACACTCGTGGCCTGATGTTCTGCTCTGCATAGGATTAATCTTGGTCTCGATATACCGATCAGAACCAGCCTGGAGTAGTACGAGAGTGAAAAGTCGATGGGCGATGATTGGATGATTAGATTCTTTTTCTGCCAATTTCCAAATATGATGCTTGTTTGTAGCCGCAACAAAGCGGCGGCCGCAATGCCTCGAGGCTTGGAGTAATAATGGTCTGTTATGATTTGAGTTATAAGTAAATGATGTAGGACTCTTCCTTTATTTCGCTACAGACTGATTCTGCATCTTGATCGTCAACTGCTAGCTATTCACAATGAGCAGAGGCAGTTCATCGACGGATTCGATTCAAGAAATCCTCACAACTAGTGAAGCAACAGCTTGTGAAAGTTCGGTAAGTGGCTTATGCCAAGGATCACTGAGCACACTCCACTCCAAATACTGACATTGATGTATCCTTTGTCTAGCACCGACCCCGTGGCAAATTCCGTCGGTTTCTGGGGGAGGTTAAGGACGGTGTGAACAAGTTAAAAATCTCAGTAAGTCTACGAGCATGCGTAATGAGTGTATTGGAATACGACTAAGATTGCAACAAGCGCTCGAAGGATTCCCGCAGTCACAGCCAGGCTGTTCTTCCGAATGTTTATCACAAACATACTTCATCGACCTCGGTAGGTTCTCATACTTGCCCTCCAGTCTCTGCGCTCTCTCTAAATTCTAGTGATTGTACAGGTTCAGGCTGCTCCATCTGGTGTGGAAGTGGAGGCTGATACCCAATCGATACTTCGAGATGCACAAGAGGCTGTAAAGTGCATGCATCCACTTTTGGGACCTGCGATAACCGTGGTTTCCGTTGGACAAGACGCACAAGTGGATCTCGATGCTGCCGATAATTTCCAGGACACATATCTCGAACCCCTCAGGATATTCGACGATGTTATCGGGAAGATTGCGGATGTATGGACCCTCCTTTTGATCGGAACCGTACTAATCTAGTTCCACAGGTACATCCATATGCAAAGATGGCACTGGGCGTGTTGTCTTGTACGGCCAAAGTATGTTTTCATTTTCTCTCTTCCTATCTACCACCGCTCAGGAATCATTTATGCAGATTATTTTAGCTCAAGTAGATCGCGATGCGGCTCTACTCAAACTTCTCGACAAATTGTGTGAGGTTTACAGCTCCATGACACAAGATGAGATGCTTGGCCAAATCTCGTCGATGCGCGCTATCCTTGGAAAGATTTCCCAGCAGGCCCGTGAATGTGCCTATTTTATTAGAAGTTATTCAGAGACTAGAAGCTTTTGTGAGTGTTACAAGCTATTGCGCTCTGTACGTCTCGAGCTTCTACCATAATCGCAGGGAAGAGACTTGGAAAGAACGTCATCTCGGAAACGACAGTTACGATTCAAAAGTACAGTGACGTGTTCGATGGGCTCATGCAAAACTTCCGGGACCAGGTTGCTCACGACGTAGCCATACACGTTCACGACATAGGCACACACGTCCACGACATAGCCATACATGTCCATCATACGGGTAAGGGTTCGGACGTCCTTGTGACTTGACATATATTCATACCTTTTCAGAAGAAATATTGGACCTCAGCGGTATGACTTATGCAGAAGGCGCGGGACTAGATACCAGAAAACAATGCCTTCAAGGGACGCGCATGGAAATCCTTTCCCAGATCACGGAATGGGTCACCAGCACTGGGGACAACGTTCAACGCGTGCTGTGGCTATCTGGCCCTGCAGGCAAGGGCAAATCGGCCATCGCCCACACCATTGCTAAGTGGTTCGAAGACGTGGGAGGGCTTGGTTCGTGTTACTCTTTTGACCGCCAACAAGAAGCAGATCATCGCCATGAAAAGATATTTTCCACGATCGCGCGCGACCTGGCTGACCGTGACCCAGAGATGAGGCAGGCATTGGCAGATGCAGTTCAGGCCGCGAGTTCGCTCAAGAAGACGGCTGATATCATACAGCAGTGGCAGAAGCTTCTTATCGAACCACTAGGGAAGTCATCTGGATCAACTGGCGAACCCATCGTGATCGTGATCGATGCGCTGGACGAGAGCGGTGGAGTAGAGACACGGAGAGACCTCCTCCGTATTCTAGCTGGCAAACATCCAAACTCCGCAGTTCCAAAAATCACAGACCTCCCAGACAACTTCCGCTTCATCGTTACCTCTCGCCCACTTGGTGACATCAACGACGAGTTTCACGGTGTTCAGCATATTCAACGGATGTCGATGGACGATATTCCACCAGCAGTCGCGGAGCGCGACATCCGTGCTTACGTATCCAAGGAGTTGGAAGATATAGATTTTCAGGACAGAGAGTTTGTAGTCCTCGCTGAGAAAGCTGACGGACTTTTCGAGTGGGCGCGTCTCGCCTGCGGATACATCAAAGAACCCCTTCCTGGGATATCTCCTATTGATTGCTACGAAGCTGTGATGTCACGCGATCCGGCCGAGAGAAGCATGTTGTTGAACGACATGTATCGCCTCATTTTAACAGATATCATGCGCAGGGATACACCTGCCAATGTTCAGCATTCGCAGAAACTGCGTTCGACTGCGCTAGCGAGATTTCGATCGGTGATGGGACAGATACTAGGGACAGCTGAGCCCCTTCCTTTAGCTTCCCTGAATGCCATGAGGCACCATTTTCCAAAACAAGAGGACCATTTCGACGTGAAGCTTATGGTAAAATGCATGGGTTCCCTCCTTAGCGGCACCACCAACCTAGATTCCCCAATCCGACCCCTTCACGCATCCTTCCGCGATTTCCTGACGGACAAACTATGCAGTGGAGAGTTTTTCATCGACCTGTCGAAGGCGCAACACGACCTTGCATTCGCGTCACTTCGACTGATGGAACACGGTCTTCGCTTCAATATCTGTAATTTAAAGTCGTCGTATCTGCCTAATTGTGAAGATCCCGGACTACAAGAACGAGTTCAAAAATGCATCCCTTTACATCTGTCATATTGCTCTCGATTTTGGACGTCACACGTACGAACCACAGTCTTCGAGAAGGAGCTCGCAAAAGAAGTGGAATTGTTCTTCGACCACGAGCGGCTGTTTTTCTGGCTCGAGTCACTCGCCCTGATCAATGCGCTCGGCGGTGCAGTTCCTGCTCTCTCTCTCATTTCCCAGTGGCTGAGGGTGAGTACATTGCTACTGAGTGCCAGATAAAGTGCTCACGCGCAACCACAGGGCCATTCCGAATTCAAAAACATCTCATCCACTGCAGTGGACGTACAGAGGTTCATTCAAGTCTTCGGTGGCATCATTTTACACAGCACGCCACATCTATATGTATCAGCACTCCCATTCTTGCCTGCCAACTCTCCGCTATCAGGAAAGTTTTCTGCACGGTTTCCGAATACTCTTCGTGTGACATCTGGACATGATGTGAACTGGCCGGCTGTTCAGACCGTGCTTAGGGGGCACACTGATTTTGTCAACTCAGTCTCATTCTCGCCGGATGGCACTCGCATCGTCACTGGTTCTTCGGATAACACTGTTCGGCTGTGGGTTGCATCGACGGGGCAGCCAGTCGGTGAGCCCTTCCAGGGACACACTTCTTCAGTTACCTCAGTTTCGTTCTCGCCGGACGGCACTCTCATCGTCACTGGTTCTTTAGATAAGACTGTTCGGCTGTGGGATGCAGTGACGGGGCAGCCAGTCTGTGAGCCCTTGTGGGGGGACATGTCAGTTACCTCCGTTTCGTTCTCGCCGGACGGCACTCGCATCGTCACTGGTTCGACTGATAAGACCGTTCGGCTGTGGGATGTTGCTACGGGGCAGCCAGTCGGCGAGCCCTTCCAGGGGCACACTTCTTCAGTTACCTCAGTTTCGTTCTCGCCGGACGGCACTCTCATCGTCACTGGTTCTTTAGATAAGACTGCTCGGCTGTGGGATGCAGTGACGGGGCAGCCAGTCGGTGAGCCATTGCAGGAGCACACCCATTCAGTTAACTCGGTCTCGTTCTCGTCGGACGGCACTCGCATTGTCACTGGTTCGGACGATAAGACTGTCCGGCTGTGGGATGCAGTGACGGGGCAGCCAGTCGGTGAGCCCTTGCGGGGCCACACTCATTCAGTCAACTCGGTCTCGTTCTCGTCGGACGGTACTCTCATCGTCACTGGTTCGAACGATAAAACTGTTCGGCTGTGGGATGTAGTGACGGGGCAGCCAGTCGGTGAGCCCTTCCAGGGACACACTGATTCAGTCAACTCGGTCTCGTTCTCGCCGGACGACACTCGGATCGTCACCTGTTCTTCGGATAACACAGTTTGGCTGTGGCATGCAAGAACGGGGCAGCCAGTCGGTGAGCCATTGCAGGAGCACACCCATTCAGTTACCTCAGTTTCGTTCTCGCCGGACGGCACTCGCATCGTCACTGGTTCACGGGATAAGACTGTTCGGTTGTGGGATGCAGTGATGGGGCAGCCAGTCGGTGAGCCCTTGCGGGGGCACACCAATTCAGTTAACTCGGTCTCGTTCTCGCCGGATGGCACTTGCATCGTCACTGGTTCGGACGATAAGACTGTTCGGCTGTGGGTTGCAGCGACGGGGCAGCCAGTCTGCGAGCCCTTCCAGGGGCACACTTCTTCAGTTACCTCAGTTTCATTTTCGCCGGATGGCACTCGCATCGTCACTGGTTCACGGGATAAGACTGTTCGGTTGTGGGATGCAGTGACGGGGCAGCCAGTCGGCGAGCCCTTGCGGGGGCACACCAATTCAGTTAACTCGGTCTCATTCTCGCCGGACGGCACTCTCATCGTCACTGGTTCTTCGGATAAGACTGTTCGGCTGTGGGATGCAGCAACGGGGCAGCCAGTCGGTGAGCCCTTGAGGGGGCACACACATTCAGTTAACTCGGTCTCGTTCTCGCCGGACGGCGCTCGCATCGTTACTGGTTCGGACGATGAGACTGTTCGGCTGTGGGACGCAGTGACGGGGCAGCCAGTCGGTGAGCCATTGCAGGGACACACCCATTCAGTTAACTCGGTCTCGTTCTCGTCGGACGGCACTCGTATTGTCACTGGTTCGGACGATAAGACTGTCCGGCTGTGGGATGCAGTGTCGGGGCAGCCAGTCGGCGAGCCCTTGAGGGGGCACACTCGTGCAGTTAACTCGGTCTCGGTCTCGTTCTCGTCGGACGGCACTCGCATTGCCACTGGTTCGGACGATAAGACTGTTAGGCTGTGGGATGCAGTAATGAGGCAGCCTTCGCGGCAGCCCACCCAGTTTGATCATTCAGCATTCTCAGAACATCTCAAGATCGAGGCCATCACTACCACGACATTGAACACTTGGAACAATCACTTCATTTACTTCTCGCCCTACCCCATCCATGCACTGTGCAACACTTCTGAGTTAATGGAGGGAGCATCTCATGACGACCGCAGTTCGACCCCCTTTTTCCTGAATAGTGACAGTGGGTGGGTGGCAGGACCCAAACATCGACTCTTGTTCTGGGTGCCACCCGCTTCTCGACACTCATTCTATAACCCCGTGACTACATTAGTGATACCCAGAGGAGGTCCCGAGCTTGATTTGAGCCGCATGGCACATGGACAGCACTGGCAAAAGTGCCGAGAGGAGTGAGTTTCTTCAAAGCCCTCCGTTCCTCGCACTTACTAAAATCAACACTTGCAGACCTTAGTACCAATGATGATCATAGCAGTGGATCCATTTTGGAGATTTCAGATACAATGTAGATGTGACCGAATGCACAGTGGATCATGCTTTGTATTCTATTCTATGCCAAGGATCTAGTCCGAGTTCAGGGTTGTCCAAGCGAACGACTTTGTGGCACTCACGATGTTTGTACTGGTTTGTGAGAATGCTGATACTACCAAAGATGTCGTGGCGCGTGCCTCATGCGGAGCGGAGCCTTGAATTATGTTGAAGTCTATACACCGGTGCTTCCCCGACACACAACGTTAGTGGGAGGGCTCCGTCGATAGTGTTGTTGGCAGAATGATGCCATTCTGCCAACGGCAATTGCTACGTGGCTATTGTCGGCAGTAGGTCCGAGTCATAGGCCCGAGGCAGAAGTCGGCAGAAGTCACTTTGACAGCACTCAAGCCATCTAATTGACCGTACTTGCTAAACCTTGCAAGAGCAGATTTAGCCTTCAACAAGGAGTTTGATATGATAGGTTCGAGTGCAAGTAGCGGGAAGCTGGGCGACTAGGACATTTTGGACAGCGGTGTCACTGGCAGGTTATATTAACTCGAAGTTTCATCACAGTATCCTAGTGTTATAGTGGAGCTGAAGAGGGTTGACAAGGGTATCATACCAACTGGGTTGACTGAATATTGAAGAGGTTGACGTACTTAACCTTGATCGAGGCTCGGAGAACGTCTTTTGACATCCCCCGATATAAGTATATGGCATTGATTCAAAAGATGAGGTCATAATAATACATGATGTACGATCACCAGAATCCTCTATTTCTGAGAAAGAAACATGACGGAGTGAAATGTTATCCTTGTGCCTTTAGTAGTTAGCATCCTGCTGAACGAGTGCAATTGCTTTTGCCGAGCGAGCCCGAATAGAGCACTTGAAAGGCTTGGGGTGGCTGCGAGTGCATCTGTTCATACCAAAACCTTCAACGCGATAACGTGGGCGACATACCTGATGGTGAGTGATGACGGGTCAACCTCGGGGGTGATCTCAATACCGTTCTCGACGACCTTGGAGATATCAAACACCGCCAATGACATCGCCGCGGATATCCAGATGGAGGATTCAGCGAGGAGGAGACCTGTACATCAAAGACAGGCAACGTCAGAATACTGCGTTGATCATCGACGCTTCTGCGAGTTAGGGATACCTGGACAGATACTGCGCAGGAGAAAGTCAGTATTCCTCTCAAAGTAATTTCCATACTTACCGTCTTCCAAAACCAAAGCAGATTGTCCGAGGCTCTGTCTCAGGCTTCTTTCCGTCATTGGCCAAAAAGCGTTCAGGGTTGAATTGTGAGGGATCAGAATAGGTCTCCGGGTTATGGAGCATGAACCTGGCACGATATACTGTGAAAATATCGAACGCGGAACGAGGGGGGTACTAACCAAAGGTTGGGTATTATGATAGAACCTTTTGGAATGTAGTACCCGTCATGGACGTCGTCCTCAGTTACACGGTGGGGAAGACCTGTCATTGAGGACTGTTCGGCAACTAAAAAATGTAATAAACGAGGTACGCATACCGATAGGAGTGACAACATTCCAGCGCAGTACTTCTTTGGCAAGCGCCTCGATATAGGGGAGGGAGGCACGGTCGGCCAAGGAGGGAAGACGATCAGGACCAACAACGGCATCTATTTCAGCCTGAGCTTTCTTCTGCACATCAGGAAAAAGTGTCATGGCTAGAAAGAGCGAATATATTGCGGACACAGTCTGAGAAATCAGGTATTAGTCTCATTGACACACAATGACTTAAGTATGTGAAATATGTAGGGAGGGACCAACTGTGTCGGAACCACCGCCATATAGAGATACAGCAGACCATCTCGCAATGTCATGTTCTTCCGCAGTCGGAGTTTGGCCTTCCAACATAGCGGAGATGCATGACATTGGGGCATCGCCAGCAGCCTATAAAATTTAAACTTCAACCCGGATGACCGGAAAACTACGAATGTTAGTCACTATCTCATCTATGGCGAACTTGTAGGGCGCAGAAAACCATCTCTTGGACAATCTCGTGCCATTCACGGGCTAGACGCTTGAAGCCAGCACCAGGAAGCCACTCAGGGACCTTGGCCACTAAAAAGATAAGGTCATTGGAACCAAACCATTTCGATGCTATAGCTTACAGAATGGAAGATAATTAACCATGAAGGCACCAGGAGCAATGGACTGTGAAAATCGGTTGTGCGCGCGTTCTGCAATATTGATAAAGGGATCGCTGCTCTCTTTCACTTCATAACCATAAGAGATGCGCAGAATGACAGCGCCAGCGGTGCTATAACAATTCAAGATTATGTCAATGCAAGAATGAATTACATACTGTCGAATGCGTTCCTGTAATTGGTCGGGTGTTGTAAGCACACGCTTGAGGAATCGGTGAGTCTCAATCTCCATAATCGGCCTATAGATGTCCAATGCCGCACGGCTGCCAATGACGCGATGGAAGTTCTTGCGGTACTGACGAAAACGGCCGCCGTAAGAGAGAAGAGGTAAACTGTCCTTGAAGCCAACCAGTTCGCCAGCCATGGGAAAAACAGGACGGTCAGAGTACACCGTGCTCTTGTTATCCAGCATGTCCATCGCAGTCTTGACAGAATTCAACACGATGGTGTGCTGACCCAGAACCTCGACGTGCGATATTTCACCTGCAGACCAGACTTTGAAATGCATGATTTATGGAAAACGAGGGACTTACCATACATCTTGCCCCACTTTGCGAAGGTGAGCCAGGGCTTGGCTTGGGGAATGTCTAGCACATTCCCAACGAGAGGCAACCCCGGAGGACCGGGTGGATATGGTGCAGGGTTCTTCTTTTTGAAGACCCGCATTAGCAGATATACTCCGATACCAACAAGACATGTTGGGTTCAGCCAAGCGACATAGGTAAGCGTCAACATAGTTTACTAGCAGAGGTCAAGAACAAAGTTGTGCAACAGCTCTTATTAGAGCCCGTCTAATGAGGCAAGCCGTCGACGACTCGATAGACGGACTGCGGAAAACCCTGTTCGGGACTTAGACATTGCTTATAAGTAAGATGAGGAATGGCGTACTTACTCGAGGCCTGCATCATGCGCTCATCAGAAGGTGTAGCCTCGATATAGTAACTAGAGATATTTTTGTCATCAGTGTGACAATACGACTTCTGCCATTCTGCCAATTGCCGTTAGATCTGCGGCCATTCTGCTGATTACCGTTCTGCGGCTATTTTGCCACTTGCCATGTACAAGGCTCCGCCCCTAGTAGCTACCTGGTCAAGTCCACTGAGGAATTCGCCACCGGTGTTCAGTAACTTATAGGTGAAATGGTACGAAACGGTACTTACTATTGACTTCCTTCGAGTCTTATAAGGCTCAATCTGTCACCTGTAGGTTTCCACTGGGATCCAGTCAAATTGATGAGGCCTCGTGATGGGCGCAAGAAAGGCACCTGAGTTTGGTCATAAATTGAACACGGTCCGCAGATAGGACTTTTGTTATTTAATCCTTCAAGCCCCACTACATCCGTCCCCCTCTTGAGTCGATCGTCCTCTCCTAGTACTAGACCATGTTGACTCTCACCAACGTCACTGGGCTCGACCTGTGCCTTGCTTGTGTCGGAGTATATCTGCTTAAGCAGGTATTCAACAAGTTGAAGAACCCTGCATATCCCCCTGGTCCTCCGGGGTGGCCTCTCATCGGGAACGTCCTGGACATGCCCCACATCAAGCCCTGGCTCACCTTCACGGAATGGGGCAAGAAGTATGGTGAGTGTCTCTCGTTTGCCACAATCTTGCATTTCAAGGTCTTATATGTAGGTCATATGTCGCATATCGAGGTTCTGGGTCAGCACATCGTGGTGCTGAACTCTGTCGAGACTGCGGTGGACATGCTGGACAGCAAGAGTGCTATATACTCTGACCGTCCTATTCTTCCTGTTGGTGGCGAACTTATTGGCTGGAAAAACGTTATGACTCTCCTCCCATACGGCGACCGTTTACGTCGGCACCGCAAAAACTTCCACAGCGTCATTGGCACCCGCGCCGCTATGGGCAAATACAGCCATGTCGAGGAGGTCGAGACCCGCCGATTCCTCAAGCGTGTGTTCACGAAACCCGATCAACTACTGGCACATGTTCGACAGTATGTACTATTTATCTTTACATCGACAAAATCTTGATTTTTATAGCACCGCTGGCGCTGTCATTCTGCGCATCTCTCATGGTTATGAGGTGAAAGAGAACAACGACCCCTTCGTCGACGTTGCAGACCGCGCTCTGGTCCAGTGGTCGCGTGCCACCGCTCCTGGCGCCTTCATGGCTGATGTTGTGCCATTCTGTAAGACATAGCATTCAGACGTTTACTTCCAATCGCCTCACTATTTTTAGTGGTCAAGGTCCCCGAGTGGTTCCCTGGTGCTGGCTTCAAGCGCCTGGCTCACGAATGGCACGACACCCTCGAAGAGATGGTTTCTGCACCGTACAAGTTTGTTGTGGACCAGATGGTGACTATCATTTGTAGTTTTGCGAGTATGCGTTGAACTTTGACTTTCCCAGGCTGCTGGCATTGCCCCGGAGTCTTTCACCTCGAATCTGTTGGGAGGCAGTCCTTTGTCAGCGGAAGACGAGCATGATGTAAAATGGTCTGCTGCAACTCTATATGCCGGCGCTTCTGACACGGTTGGTCCTCCCTCCACATTTCTAATAATCATCTTCTAAGAACACTACACTTCCTTCCTCAGACTGTTGCTACTATCAACTCGTTCTTCCTAGCTATGACGCTATTCCCTGATGTGCAGAAAAAGGCTCAGGCTGAAATAGACGCTGTTGTCGGTCCTGATCGTCTTCCCTCCTTCGCCGACCAAGGCTCTCTTCCCTACATTGAAGCAGTTGCCAAAGAAACCCTACGATGGCATACTGTTATCCCTACCGGTCCGTGTATCTCGTTTAACGCATTATTAAGTCGTCGAACGGTATCTCAATGTCAGGTTTTCCCCACTGTGCCTCTGAGGACGACATCCATGACGGGTACTACATTCCAAAAGGTTCCGTGGTCATACCTAACATCTGGTTGGTACCCTTTTCTCTCCATATTCAATGTTTGAACTTCAGAATATAACGCCAGGTTCATGCTCAATGACCCTGAGAGATATGCTAACCCTTCGCAATTCAACCCTGAACGCTTTTTGGCCAATGACGGAAAGAAGCCCGAGACAGAGCCCCGCACGATCTGCTTCGGTTTTGGAAGGCGGTAAGTTTGTAGTAGGTTTTTGTGCCATGCTAACTGTCTGCTCTGCAGTATTTGTCCAGGTATGCCCAACTCCGAGACTGTATTCTGAGTCCTGACGCTCGATTGCCTTTCGTTTACAGCTATCCACTTCGCTGAAGCCTCCGTCTGGTTATCTATCGCGATGTCACTGGCCGTGTTCGATATCTCGAAAGCCATCGAGAACGGTATTGAGATCACCCCTGAGATTGATCCATCATCAGGCACGATCAGGTATGTTACATATCTGATCACACCCGGCGCTGATCCGATAGATACCCTTCTAGCCACCCCAAACCCTTCAAGTGTTCCATTAAGCCTCGTTCTTCGAAAGCCGTCGCGCTCATTGAGCAAGATGCTAACTACTAAGCGTGTGATGATGAAATACGAAGCTGACGAAAATACTTATTGTGGGTGGCGATTTTCACACCTGACATCTAGGTCTGTCATAGTTTGAACTTTGCATAACAGTGCGGGATCAAATGTAGTGTCACATCGCGATACAATTGTACATGTTTTCTTGTCCTATGTTATTGACACATCAGGAAAACTACCGGTTCCTTTTTTTACTTATTTCGTCACTTAATTACATGAAAAGGGATGTACAAGTCGATCGAGTGAAAAAGCGCGAGCCGCTTAATTAAGCCCACTCGTCGACTGGATTTTCGCTTATTTCACACTTATTTCACTTAAATAAGTAGAAAAAGCAGAAAAAGCGGCACAAGCATTTGATACCAGCAGGATACTACTACTGATAGGGATACATAGAAAGCGCGATAAGTGCAAAGTTAAGGAGACTCCCAGTAACATAAGGAACTAGGGGAATGGGGAAAGGGCAGCTGGTAGTAGGTGCTGCAACAAAAACAAAATCCTGCAACAATAGATGTCAGTGAGAGGGCACCTGAATGATAAACACTTACAAATCATAGCACACTGGTCATCCTCCAACTCATCCTCGTCGAGCGAGCCTGACGGTGTTTCAGTGACCTCATTCAGGGTGGCACGTGCCATCTGTATCGTGGTCTCCAGGTACCCAGGGGGCTTTCCTAACAGAGATTTAATGTACGAATTAGTTGGTTTAGTCCAGCGAGCCGCCGAAAATAAGAACAGAACATTGGTCTCCTTCCCAGTAGCTTTGTTCAGGATCTTTGGCAGCCTTATGCTAAACCGACCTCTTGACACGGACAACAGAACATTTTCAGCTTTGAGTTCTTTATGCACGATCATGGTGACAGCATGCTTGATCTGAAAAAAAATGAGCACAATTAAGCCACTCTAAATTGAACTCACCGCTGCAGCAGAAAGAGTGTGAGGCTATAACATCCCACTCATTGCAAGTGCATCAGGGAATTGACCTGAAGATGACATAACTTTGTAAAGCTTTGTCTATCATAAAATCTATATAATAACTATCATAATTGCAACCAGCTTGACAATGCTTTAGATAGGCAGCCTACGCTGGGGAAAACTGCCAAGGACACAATCATGACACACATTGTGAATATCTGCCATCCTTGACAAAGTTTTATAATATCACCCAGCCTTGACAATCCTTTAGATAGGCAGCCTACACTGGGGAAAACTACCAAAGACACAATCATGATGAACATCTATAATGCCAGACTACTTCAAATAAAATTGCTACTAAATTACTAAAGTCTCAATCTTGACACTTGTTTTATAAATCAAATCAAGTTTTATTTGGGGTTGGGGCATACATAGTAGTATTACTGCAGAAGATATCGAAGGTAAGGGTCAAATTAAAAACGGAACAAAGAAAAAGAAACGAAAACGGGATGTCGAGGTAAGGGGAGGTGAGGTTGTGGAATATGGGAGATAGATGACTATCAGCGCCAGGTAAGCAGGTCAAAAGACGAGGACATACACTTCCTGAGAGCACAATATGGCCATGGCAGTGCCAGCATCAGTAGGCAGGTCAAAACATGAGATCATGCACTCTCTGAGAGTGGGACATGGCTATGGTACCATCAGCATCCGCTAAGAAGCTCAAAAGACGAGATCATGCACATTCTGAGAGTTGGACATGGCCATGGCACCATCAGCATCGCCTAAGAAGCTTGAAAGACAAGATCATGCACAGACTGAGAGTGGGACATGGCCGTGGCACCATCAGCGCCACCTAAGAAGCTTGAAAAACAAGACCACACACCAATTGAGAGTGGGACATGGCCATGGCACCATCAGTGCCACCTGAGAAGCTCAAAAAATGAGACCATGCACCAACTGAGAGTGGGACATGGCTGTGGCACCATCAGCGCCACCTAAGAAGCTCGAAAGACAAGATAATGCACAGACTAAGAGTGGGACATGGCCATGGCACCATCAGTGTCGCCTAAGAAGCTTGAAAAACGAGACCATGCACCAACTGAGAGTGGGACATGGCCATGGCACCATCAGCACCACCTAAGAAGTTTGAAAAATGAGACCACGCACCAACTGAGAGTGGGACATGACCGTGGCACAGTCAGTGTCCTCTAAGAAACTCGAAAGACAAGATCACGCACTTTCTGAGAGTGGGACATGGCCGTGGCACGGTCAGTGTCACCTAAGAATATTGAAATACGATATCACACACCAACTGAGAGTGTGACATGGCTGTGGCACCATCAGTGCCGGAAAAACAAGGCCATGCACATTCTGAGAGCGGGACATGGCCATGGCACAGTCAGCGTCACCTAAGAACCTCGAAAAACAAGATCACACACATTCTGAGAGTGGGACATGGCTGTGGCACAGTCAGTGCTGCATAATAACCTCAAAACACGAAATCACGCACAGACTGAGAGCAGGACATGGCTGGGGCACAGTCAGTGTCACCTAAGAACCTTGAAACACAAGAGCATACATGACAGCGAAAATGAGCACAGAGGACAAGTGCAAAAATGAAGCAAACTAGAATAATGAAATAAATAAAACGAGAACACTTGCAAGTGCAAATTGAACTTGAACTTGAAATTTTTTGAAGTGCACAACATACCTAAGCATCTGCGCAGCACCAGGTGATACTGTCAGAATATTTGTTAGTTTTCTTGCCTTGTCTTTCAACATCAATTTGCTATGCTTATATCAAGCTTTATCTAGTGGGAATAATCTTATATAATCTGGTGTATTTTTGATATGATTTTACCGACTAAATCTGTAACATGATAATAAAATGTAATGACACTATCATACTGTTGTCTGCTTCCAAGACAAACATCAAAATGATATTTTTCTGACATAGTCATATCATATGTGAGATATTTGTGAGACTATGATAATAATATCTAAGGCTAAAACATGACATGTAGTAATGTTTTTGATTACCAATTATATCTAGTCATATCAAGTTCCGGTCAATTTCCTGATGTGCATGCATGTCAAAGGAGTGAACCTCCACATACCCATTGATGGCGTTGAGGTGTGCTGTGCCAAATAGCTGCAATATGAAAGGTGAGCGGTATGCAGTGAGTGGAGATGGACTGTCAGGGTCCTCAAACAAGGATGCCCAGTCAACAAGAAGGGATTTAGTTAGTTTGACAGGATCCACGTTGGAATTTTGTGACAAAAAGTCCATGATAATGACTAGCCCTGTAGAGCCAAAATTGCTGCGCCATTCTGAAATGTGCTGTGCAGTCTGTATAGATGTGGTAGTACAAGTCACTAAAACTAGATAAAACAGTGGACTCACAAGTGAATGTATCACACCACCATGAACAATCACAATATTGAGATCGCTGTACACTGCATTAAAAACAAGCTGAGTGTGATGGAGAAGGACTTCATCTGGGATACTCCAGATATCTTCATAGCTTCTGGCCCACAGCATTATGGTAGGGATAAAATTCTTTGCCCAGTGCTGGTCCACTTGCATTGCTGCAGGTAAGTCAACTGTGCGATAGGCGCCATGTGTTTTGATGTTGTCCAGTGTGGTAGCGACGTTCTGCTGGCGTGTGGTAGCAGGAGCGCTGTGGGCATGTGATGTGGAAGATTAAACCTTGGCCTTTTTATGAGCCAGCGGCTTGCTGTTGACAGTAGCCTGATATGCAGTAACAGATGTCTGTACATTGTCAGAAATGAGTGTGATTAGGGTCAGAATCCTTACCAAATATGTGGTACGCAGAACCTTCTCCTCCTTCACTGTGTTAGGTTTAGCGGGGAGTGGTGCCTCATCAGAACTCATAATTGGGTCTTCCACAAGTTCTGCTGCCAGTGGGTTGCCATCAATCTCCATGGACCACTGGGACACCAAGGACTCATCATCATCCATGGTGAGATCTTCACTAGCTTTCCGCTTGAGCGCATAATTATCTACCTGTGTGAATGGCACCCTAGGCTCCTGTGAGTACTGCTCCCCTACTAATCCTTGTGTCAATGGAGCCATAAGCTCATCATCCGAGTCATGTGATGCTTCTGTGAGTGGAGCCTCAGGCTTGTCAACATTGTAGTCCTCTTCGTATAGTGCGACAACCTGTGAAATGTAAGGATTACCAATCATTTGATGCCGGTGAGGCGATCTCAACCTGGCTGGGCTGATATGAAATATCTAAAAATGCTCAACCAGTATAAGTGAGTCTTGGCTCTGCCTAGCTGCTATACTCGCAGAATGCAAGAACGTTTGACCCTAAAGGGGACTGCTACTGAACACAGAACCAGATGAAAGAAAGACCCTTGAAGTGCAATGGATGCGCGAAAGCGCAAGAAGAAAAGCGAAGTGACCGTGAAGCGCGAGAGAGCGCACTAAGGTAAGCGCGAGCGTGGGAACGTGAGCGCTAAGGCGCGCGTTGTGCGGAAAATACCGGATAAGGAAACGGATAAGGAAGCGGATGTGCAAAGCGAGTGCAAACACAGAGCGAGTGTTATAACGAGTGCGGATAAAGGTCTAGTATAGGCGGATAACGATAACCATTGGAAACACAAAGTGCGCCCAAGTGGTGACTACTACTTTAAAGTAAAACCCAATAGCGAGGGAAGTACAGCAAAGGGGAGTAATCATGATGGTGTAGTAAGTCAGCAACTTTATACTATGGAAATCGCATCGGAAGCGGAAGGGATAGGAGCAATAAGCGCTATGAATACGTAATGACATGTAATAATGCTGCAATGCTTGTTACAAACCACGAGGCAAGGCATATGACGTACCAATGAGGTGGATGGACATAGAGGGACGTTCCTGGATGATAGGCAATGCAGGGCAATGCAGGGCGCTTAAGTGCAATAAAGCGCGCAAGGTGCGCGTGTGGGAATGCTGCGCGTTGTGCGGGAAAGTACCGCGCCTATGGCGCGTTTCGCGGGAAAGCTGCGCGTTATGTGTAAAACGACTAGGGACATGATAGAAGTCGAATATAGCTGATGGTGCAAGTCGTGCATTGCAGGCCAATTATCAGAAGTTGTGAAAAGGTGCGAAATGTGCCCATATGTGCCTGCAGAAACGCGAGTCTCTACACCGGAAATAGCCATTTCAATGCTTACCTCAACCACCATCAGCACACTGCCAGCCTCGGTCAGCACGGACCTTGACTCCCTTTCAACACTTACCTCTCATCATTGTTGACCCTCAGTTCTCATTCTCCGTCACCATCACCCTATTTTTAGTTCGCCATCTCCGAATCTGTCAAGTTCCACTATGCAGCTCTCGTCACTTTGTCAATACCATATTCTTTTATATTGCCACTCACTCAATTGTTTCGTATCCCCTTCCCTTTCAGTCTACTCTACCCTGTCAGGCGTGGATGCCACTCCCTTCAGCGCCCGTCGTCACATAATCGATTCAGCATAGTTATACCCGGCCCTTAAACGTCTCGCAGTATTAAAGTAGCCCATGTACACTCACTACTGCAGGCAATCATACCAGTCTCCCAGTCTCAGTCTCGCACTTGTTATCTAAATTGTATCGCTATATCCATCGTTTATCGTCTCGCACTTGTCTCGATTATTATCACATAACATTCATTAACACTAATCTAGTTCTATAGCGTTTCAGCATCACACTAGCGGTCTCCACACCCCTTTGAACTCACAGCAAGAGCCACGTAGGTTCTTACATATTGGAGCCCACTGCAAGGGGTGTGTTTTAGATCTCTTGACTTATCTTAGCGCATCCCACTGTCCTTACTATCCACGCTGGCCCACATCAGAGACAACTGCGCTCTTGTCGGCCCTTCCATCCCTCAACCAGCCCCAGTCACACCATCAAATCCCATTTCCTGCCCCATTTGTCCCAGAATAGACTCAGACTCAGACTCAGACTCAGACTCAGATGACAACAACAACAACAACAACAACAACAACAACAACAACAACAACAACAACAACAACAACAACAACAACAAAGACGAGAATCCGTTTGCACCGGACAACCTTAGACCATCATATCCCACCGCTACTGCACCCCTACAACAACCCTCATTTAATTTTCAGCAACCACAACCTTTCATCTTAAGACCCACCATCTTCACTAATACCCAAGCTCGAGCTACAACCCAGCCAACTACTACTGCCATGTCTCACGTGCATCGAGGCACAGGTGCCATGCCCAGCCCTAATTCTAGCAAAGCGCCAATTTTTAACAGCGAGATGTTGGAGCTGTTGGAGTTCTTCGAAGTGTTTGAAGATCTCGCCTCTACTTACGGTCTAACAAGTGCTGATAAGTGCAAAAGTCTAGTGTGCTATGTGGATCGTCAAATCAAGCGTTTTTGGATAATGCTTATGGGCTTCGAGAGTCGTGAATATGGCACCTTCAAGAAGAGCATTTTGACCCAAAATCCAGGTGCTAGCAAGGGACAGCGCTACACCATTCACGAGCTCGAATGCATCATTGTTAATCAAGTGGACAGCAACATTAATACAGAGAAGGAGCTTATGAATTATTACAGTCAGTTTTGAGCCATAGCTGTCTGGCTCGTCAGTAATAACAAGATCTCTGGATGCGACCATGACAAGTATTTTTGGCAAGGGCTACTGGTCCGTGCTCATCATCAAATCCTTCAATGGCTCGAGCTTAAGGACCCAGATTTCAACTGCAATGAGCCAGCCCATTTCAAGAAGGTCGTAGAGGCAGGTCATCATGTTTTCTTGGATGAAGCTTTCAACGCTGAGTTCAATGATCCTATCACCCTTCGCATCCAGTCCATTAGAGATCGTCGTGCCCCTCTGACTACTACCAGCCATCGTCGAGTGTGAGAGAGTCCAGCATATGACTCAGACGATTTGGACAAGCGTCATGATGCTCTTTGCAAAGTGCAAACAAAAATTGTGCGTTTCATGCAGCCTCAAGTACCTGTTCAAGCACCACAGAAGTCCACTATGGATGAGGTTGATGCACTTGCTTGACATTGGCAATATTAATGATTCGGCATGTTATTCACAGCTTGCATGTCTCTCTCCCACTGCCGCTAATGCCTGGGCTGCCCCCTGTACTCGTCAACTCTGCAGTAATGTGTCTACAGCTCCTCCTGTACCCTCCAGCGCCCCACTTCTCCCAAAACAGTGTTTGTTCTGCGGACAGTCTCACTACCTTCAATACAGCCAGGTAGCTGCTGAATACCTTCGCACAGGACGCATCATTCGTGAAAACCTCTTCCTTCTCAATCCCGACAGCTCGCGAATTCAATGACAAGGCATCGAAAACTTACAGCAAGCTGTAGATAGGCATGCCCAGTCCATCGCATCATCCACTCCATCCTCGAACCCTCCTCCCACGACCATTCCCTCCAGTGCCTTCATGTCTGAAAGTTACTTCCTTCAGTGTACTCGAATTGTGGAGAACCACGCCACAGTCACAACAGTCAAGGATGATGACTCGGGCGCAGACACTCTCGCCATCACTTGTTCGAAGGCCAAAAATGTGGTGCTCAATAGTGATGACCCAGCACCTTTGCAGGAGAAGTCAAATGAGGCTACCAGTTTGCTGTCCAGTTCCCATGCTCACCAACAAACTCGCTCCATCAATGTTCCCCTTCCAGACATCCCTCTCGCACCTCCAAAGAAAACCCCAGCCTATGTCTACGAGTCAAAAGCAGCCATTCCGGATGCTGCTTCCTGCATCTACCAGAGCATGCTCAACATGGCCGTTCCAAATGTCACGATCACTGATCTTCTCACAGTTAGTTCGGATCTTCGCAGGGAAGCTGTAGAACACTGCAAAACACACCGAGTATCCCCTCCTTCGTCTGCCACTACTCTCGCTGCTGCTATTCCTGTCCCACCTCCTCAAATTGAGCATGCCACGCCACTTCGAGAACTCAAGGTCACACTCAATGGTATTCACATGGAGATGGCATTACTTGACGAAGGCTCAGAGCTTGTTGTTATTTGAGAAGATGTCTGAAAGAAAAATTGAGCCCCAATCAACAAAGATATCTGTATGTGCATGCAGACTGCGAACAGAGGCTCTCAAAACATGTCTGGGTGTCTTGAAATGCTCAAAATCAACGTCAATGGCATAAAAACATGGGCGCATGCTTATGTTATAGCTGATGCACTGTACCACTTGCTTTTAGGGCGCCCGTGGCAAAAGCTTGTTCAATTATTGAAGTCAGAAATGTCGGAAATGATCTATGTTACTGTCCATGATCCCATGGATATCATGCTGTCTTACTAGGATGTGAAAGGCAATAAAAAACACCAAATTTCACTTATCCTCCACAGTCAACGGTTCAGACAAATACCAACAGTTGATAACGTGGTTGTTCGTGGGGGTGCAAATATAGATTGTGTTCTCCTTGAGCAAATTTACCAATGACTAAAAAAAAGGTGAGATATTTAGGAATCTCAGGAACAATGCCCGTCAACTGGCTTGATGCAGTACTTAGGGTTCTTCAGGAATAATGATGTGACAGTATGCAGATTACGGAAACTTACGTGAATTACAGTGATATGTGGTGAGTCAGAGCGATATCTCTTGGATACTCCTTATTCTCACAATCAGGGGAGATCAAACTAGGAGTCGGATACAATTGAATCAATCAAATATGTGGCTTTGGAACCAACCTTTCTGCTGCTCAGGATCTCACAATGAGTAATGACGCAGTCCAGACTAGAATACACCTTCTTGATGTAGTCTTAAGTGGCCAAGCTCTTAATATTGTTGACTAAAGTATAAGTCCTATTTATCGTCCTCAATCGTTAAAGTACGTGGATTTCTCCCCACAGAATTGATTTCCTGTGTTGTAAAGAGAATTGCAGTGAAACTACACTAGACGACTAGTAACTGTGCACTAGCTAGAGTAATTTAATGTGACTTAGAGGTGGCCTCAGGTAGTCAGAACATCGTGGGAAACAGTGACAAAAGAGTGGAGGGAATAAACTAATATTTACTCAGTATTCACACAGATATTAAGGGGTGAGAAACTTTCTGAGAGATACGCAAACTCTCTAAAAGGGATCTTATTGCTCAAAGAGGGAAACTATGTCGCTTTATATACTACTCTACAGGTGGCTATGCAACTACTAAATATGGAATAGTGACTCATAATGACTTGGTATGAGTCATAACAAAAATGACTCATAATGACTCCATGTGACTCACTGTGACTCAGTGTCCAAATGTTCACTTAGAGGTTACCGCTATTTCAGAACTGTCCAGAAACTATGACTAATCATTAAACAAAATGTAGATTACATAAGAAGATTGACACTGCTCAGATGATGACTGCGCAGATGTTGAGATGTTAAGATGTTAACACGAATATAGCTCATTAGGTGGGAAAATATACAAGAAAATCCTAAAAGGTGCAGGAATGTGCTTACTAATGAAAGGATAAGGGTTTGAACGCAGTTTGTTGACTGTGCTAAGTATGTAATATGAATGATTAATTCATGTAGCTATGAAAAACCTTCAAGAAAATTATAGTAAATTGTGATAAAGCCATAAGAAATTAGAACTGCCTTTATTGGCAGTATTAGGTTTGTACGAGAGTATGTTATGTGTCTGTGATCATGTACGAAACAGGTTTTGTGCATGTCAGCGGCACTATCTCACTCCCAAACAAACTGGATGTCAAAGAAGATACACATAGGGCTCGAGTCATGATGACAAATCCAAATTCCAAAAGAAGGTGTGGCTGACAGGCCAGGTGGAGCCGGTATGATCGTGCACATGGAGAATTTTGCTGGGAGGTACCCTTTTCTAGGGTACAGGAAAAATCGTCAAACCAGTCCCCTTGAAAGGGTCCTGGAATCTTCAGCCACTACTTAGAGCCAGTTCAGCAACAAGATGTTGACCAACATTTGGCTGAACCTGTGTGAGATGTTCTCAGCTTCAAGTGTCCCAGACGTCGGACTTCGAACCTTACTGCTCCTACCTGTACATCTACCATGAATTCCTATCTTATTGACTGTCATTGTCGCCAAAGAATCTGTACTAGCGTTCTCCGCCCTTACTGCCATCTGTGCAAACTTCACAACGGTACTCATGGCTCAACCTGAGATCACACAAACAGCTGCCGACAACTTGGAGCCAAAGGCACAATGGCAAGACTCAGAAGTGGATATCCTCCTTCAACATTTCATCCAGAATCACGCAGCGATTGGCGACAGTGGGAACTTTTCAGGGCCTACCTTCAACAGCGCAGCTACTGCTATCAATTCCGATGAGACAATTCAAACAATGGGCCCACCAAAGACGGGCAATATGGTTAAGACCAAATGGACTGCAGTACGTGATCTTATCTCAATTGATCATGATCTGATCAGACTATTAGCTCAAAAAATATTCAATCAAATCGAGGCCTACTGCAATGTATCTGGCTTTCATTTGGACAATGTGCGGGGAGCTGGGATTGAGGGCCCTGCTGCTGACAGTGTTTGGAATACATATGTTGCTCCAAGGGTATGTGATTGCATATGTTGCGACACTCACTAACATTGAAGTAGTCATGATCTGCAATGCGCCCCTTTCACAACAAAGGGTGGCCACTATATGATGATATGTATACCATCTTGGGAGAAAACAGTGGTGCTTGTGGAAGGCATGCCTTCCACCCCGCTACCACAGCCCCTGCCTCCATTGATGTTGATATAGACGATGTGCTTGATGGGGGGCTTGCCCTTCTTGATGTAGATGGAGGAAGCACGTCTGCTGGAGCCACTGGCCCTAGCGATGTGCCAGACATGAGCGCTGACCTGATGATGCCACCTAGCGCCCCGTTCCTTGCAACCTCCACTGCTACTGGCTCCCAGTCCAGCAAACGTGTGCACACCAACACTTTGCTCAACTCCATGGAGACATCATCTTACAATTCCGGTGGCACCCCCATGTCCAGCTATGCTGACAGTCCCCAGTCATCATCTCTCCCCCTTTCGTCAACATTGGCGCCATTGTCCCAGCCATTGTCCCAGCCACCAGCCTTGAAGAAGGCTCGAGTGTCAATGCATGGTAGCTCGCAGACGGGGGTTAGCAGCACTGCTAAAGTCGCTGCCAAGGTCACACCAGCAGCCACCGTCATGAACATGCAAGGCACTATAAATCGCCTCACTGACGTTATTGAGAGGAATATGATGGCTCCATCTGACCTACCTGTTGTTGTTGTGCCAACCATGATATCCTGTGGCCTGTCAATTTTGCGTGGTGCAGATGGAGATCTGCCTGTTGCTCAGAGAGCCAACCTCTTGCAGATACTTTTGCGCTCTGGAGGCAAGAACAATCTCGCTGTATATGTTGGGCTGGAGGATAACTTTGAGATGCACCGTGCATTTATCTTGAGGCTCCTGGGGTCCATACAGTAGAACTATCTTACCATTTGTATTGCCGCTGTCCTGCATGATTTGGGAATCATGCATGGACATGACTACTAGGTATCCCCCTAAAAGACAAAGTCTGTTAGCTTAGTCCTCAGACTAGTCAACCCATACCTTGGTATCAAACCTTGGTCCAATAGTTTCAGTTTTCCCTCAGTGATTCATGAATCCACCATGTTTTGAAGAAAAGTCATATGTGAGATGGGAATCACATAATGACCTAGTTGATATGAGAAGCAAAATGAAGGTTAAGGTATTGCCTTTCCTTTGGCTTATTCACTTTGGCTAGAGAAACCCATAGAGAAAAGTTCAAAGCCTAACAAAAACCTATCTAAAAAGCCCACGTATTGTGTACTATTATTTGTTCCATTATTTCTGAGTTGTTTTCTCTAGTGTTTCTTTACTTTACTTTTCTATTAGGATGCTCTGACTAATCAGATGCTTCATAAAATTGTACCTACAGGGTATGATGTCATAATGATGTCATAGGACTTCACCTACACTCCTGCAGGTATTTTGGTTGAAAGATATGATATCATAGTGATGTCATAATGATGTCATGTTCCATGGAATTTGCTAGAACATTCCAATGACTCATAATGACTCATAGTGACTCATAGTGACTCAGAATGATGTCATTATCCCACCATGAATATTCTGGAATGTTCTTTTGCATCTGCTAGAACATTCTGCTCCAGTTTTTGGAATATTCTTCTCACACTCTGAAGTCATTACATCACCTTTTTACTTACATAATATTCCCACACAAAATGTATATAAGGAGAGCCCATTCTCCCCCAAAAAAAAATAGATCTCCCACTTGTTGCATTCAAGAACTCCCACTTGAGCAAATTGAACTCTCACCTAAGAAGCTTCAGTCTGAACAAATTGCTGCTTACAAAGCCCATTTCCTTTGTAAGAACTGTCCAGGCAAGTGCAGGGAAAGTGTTTCCCTTGAGATTACATAAGTTTCTCGCGATAGAAACCCAGTTTTGTGAGACCAGTGTTCTCACCACATAGTGTTTACTGACCAACACGAGCTTTGGTCAACATTGTTATTTGTGAGACCAGCGTTCTCACCAGGTATTTGTATACTGACCAACACGAGCTTTGGTCATTGTTGTTATTTGTGAGACCAGCGTTCTCACCAGGTATTTGTATATTGACCAACACAAGCTTTGGTCCACGTAGTCACATTTGAGACCAGCTTCTCAACAGTTAACCATATATTCAGGAAACCAGTTCAAGTGTCTAGACGGTATATCCTAGACAATCCCATAGTTTCAATCAGAGATAATAAAGCTCCGGCTAAGTTAATCTGACTGATTGGTTTAGCAAGCCTCCCAAGAACTCACACGTTATCTACCACGAAAGAAGAAAAGTCATAGACCGTGTTAATCGAGGACTGGCAAGAAGTCTTATCCAGTGTAATTGTGGTGTCATTACATTCTTACATGTATTTATATAAGACCCTCGGTTATTAAGACACCGCGTGCGTGCCTTGCGCACTTTCTCGCGCTTAAGCGCCCTGCATCACGCATCATCCAGGAGCATCCATCCATCGTCCAACCAGTCCCTTGGTATGTCCCTTTTCGTTATCTGACTATATTTGGCATATTACACTTCCTATTTCGTCATGGATCCTTACTTTACATCACTTTACCTCACTTACATACTTAGAGCGCTCCCTATTCAGCTCCGAGCCCTGGGAGAGCGCTTAGGTAGAACTTACATACACTCATGTTCGTTTTACACCCAACTATTCCACACCCAGCTTCCTACCACCTTAGCTTCCTACCACTCAGTATCTATCACCAGTTAGTTCCATGCAATGCATGTGTCCATCATCGTTTTGAGGTCCTAGCATCAGTCTATAGCTAGTGGGCACTATCAGTATCCGTCTAGATCCGCACTTCTCCCCTTATCAGTCTCAGTATCCATCGTCTACACTTGTGCACCACTTGCACTACCTTCCCGCGCTCTGCGCACTTTCGCATTCCGCTTTCCCGCGCGCGCCTTCAGAGCATTTCTTGCGCTTTCACCGCCATTCACCAGGGTTGTTCAGCATCATTCCGTGGATCCTTGCTTTCCTTGCTTCCCCTTTAGGGTCGAACGTTCTTGCATTCTGCGAGTATAGCAGCTAGGCAGAGCTGAGACTCACTTATACTGGCTGAGCACTTTTCTTATATGTGCCTGCTGGGTTGTGATACCCACACCGCTATACTTCTCCATACCTTCAATCAGCAAAATCGGACACATTTGGGTCTTATAAGACTTACGAGGCATGGCTGAAGACTCAGCATGGGGCCAATATCAAGTACTTACGCTCTGACCATGGTGGAGAGTACCTTAACGACGAATTCAGCCAACACCTTCGCGTCAAAGGTACAGAACAAAAACTTACCACTCACGACACACCACAACACAATGGTGTTGCTGAGCGGCTGAACAGGACCCTCATTGAACGAGTCCGTGCAGTTCTGCATGCAAGCGGACTACCGAAATTCCTCTGGGGAGAAGCCATCATGCATGCAGTCTATGTAAAGAACCGCACAGCCACGCGCATGCTAGACGGCAAGACCCCATATGAGATGCTGTATGGTAAGAAGCCAAACCTTGCAGACTTACCTGTCTGGGGCACTCGTGTATGGGTACATGATGACACTCGAACGAAGCTGGATATGAGAGCACGTGAAGGCCGGTGGGTAGGATTTGATGCTGAGAGTGGAGCACACTGAGTATACCTCGAGGATTGTCGAATGATCGCTGTTGAATGAAACATCTCGTTCGAGAGACAGGTTGGGACTGCATTGGGTCAGCGAAGCTCGCAGCCTGAGGAGGAGAGCGAAACTACAAATGGTAATCAGCCAGCAACTCCTCACACTGCCCAAACCCCTACCTCGAGCACAGAAGCACCAGCACTTGATCCACTAGGATCAAACTTCGAGCATCAGCCACCCGGCCCTAGACGATCCACTCATCAGCGGACAGAATCGCCATATATGCGCAGGTTGTGCAGCAGAGAAGGTACTCACGATGGAAGAGATGGCGACCCAATTATCCCTAGAGGCATGCAGAGGGTAGAGGAAGAGAGAGAAGAAGATAGTGGAGGCATGGGAGCATCTGGAGAAGGGTTAGGAAGTGAATTGGGATTTGACGAAGAACCTACCGCTTATGCAATGTTCGCGGGAATGAGCGAGGCCGAAGGCATGGAACCAAGCACTATTGAAGATGCGAAGACACGATCTGATTGGGCGAACTGGAAAGACGCCGTCAGTGCAGAACTAAAGAGTCTCGACGAAGCACGTACCTGGGACATTGTCCAGCGGCCCCGGAACAAGAATATCGTCAGCTGTAAATGGGTCTTCAAGATTAAAAGAAACGCTGCAGGAGAAATCGATAAGTATAAGGCCCGGCTGGTGGCACGAGGCTTCATGCAAGTCTATGGTGTTGATTACTACGAGACTTACGCACCTGTGGCTCGTCTCGCGTCATTGAGACTGATCCTCACTGTCGCTGCACGCCAAGATTGGGACGTTGATGTCTTCGATTTCCACAGCGCATTCTTGAATGGCAAGCTGGATGCCGACGAAGAGATCTATATGGAGCTACCACCAGGAGCTGACATTGGCGGAAAAGACAAAGTCACAAAGCTACGAGTTGCGCTGTATGGATCTAAACAAGGCGCGTTAAAATGGTACAAACGTTTATGTGGAGAACTCGCCGAACTAGGGTTCAAACGGATGGAAAGTGACTGGGGAGTGTTCACAGCGCACATAGGAGAAGACCTACTCATCCTCACAGCACATGTCGACGACTGCACCATAACCGGCAGCTCGAAAGAGCTAATCAAAGCGTTCAAGGTCGAAATCGCATTGTGATTCAAAATAACTGACCTAGGACCTATCAGTTGGTTACTAGGTATGAAAGTCACTCGAAATCGCGAAGCACATACCATTTCACTGTCCCAAGAGTCCTTCGTCGAAGCTATTATCATGAAGTACAATTTCATCGACGCTAAACCCACAGCGGTGCCTATGGACCCAAGTATGCAGTACACGAAGGACCAATCCCCCACTACGACAACGCAGATCGCTGAGATGAAGCGAGTCCCATTCCGTTCTGCGCTCAGGTCGTTGATGTACCTGGCAGTGGGAACACGTCCAGACGTCGCATTCGCAGTTTCGACTCTGGCACCACAATTCGCCGATAACCCTGGCTGGGCGCACTGGGAAGGGGTGAAGAGAGTATATCGTTATTTGTTGGGCACGAAGAAGTGGGCACTTACCTTCGGAACAACAAAGAGCGGACTCCTCGGCTATGCCGATGTCTTAATAACCGAGGGTCTTATATAAATACGTGTAAGAATGTAATGACACCACAATTACACTGGATAAGACTTCTTGCCAGTCCTCGATTAACACGGTCTATGACTTTTCTTCTTTCGTGGTAGATAACGTGTGAGTTCTTGGGAGGCTTGCTAAACCAATCAGTCAGATTAACTTAGCCGGAGCTTTATTATCTCTGATTGAAACTATGGGATTGTCTAGGATATACCGTCTAGACACTTGAACTGGTTTCCTGAATATATGGTTAACTGTTGAGAAGCTGGTCTCAAATGTGACTACGTGGACCAAAGCTTGTGTTGGTCAATATACAAATACCTGGTGAGAACGCTGGTCTCACAAATAACAACAATGACCAAAGCTCGTGTTGGTCAGTATACAAATACCTGGTGAGAACGCTGGTCTCACAAATAACAATGTTGACCAAAGCTCGTGTTGGTCAGTAAACACTATGTGGTGAGAACACTGGTCTCACAAAACTGGGTTTCTATCGCGAGAAACTTATGTAATCTCAAGGGAAACACTTTCCCTGCACTTGCCTGGACAGTTCTTACAAAGGAAATGGGCTTTGTAAGCAGCAATTTGTTCAGACTGAAGCTTCTTAGGTGAGAGTTCAATTTGCTCAAGTGGGAGTTCTTGAAT